CTGAGAAAAAAACAGGACTCAAAAGTTTATCAGATTTCCCCTAAATTTGAACAAAAAGAGAAAAAAATGTTGGAAAAGCGGGATATGTGTATAACACCTTTGAGAGTTTTGAGTTTTTGTCATGGTTTGAAAGTGAGGGTATTATAGGTGTATGGTAATTTGTAAACTGGTCTGCAGAATGCATGTGTAACGTGCAACGGCAAAGTCGTCGCGTGCAAAAGGTTGTAGCTATTTCAACGAACACGATTCTGTAAGTTAAAAATGGCAAACATATACTATAGTATAGGCCTATTTAATTGATAGAAGTGAGACTGCATGTGGTTCGGGTGTTTTTAGCCCACAGTCATTCTGTATTTGCCCCCGGGCGAGTGACATTGAAAAAAGAAATAATACTTTGTTGACAACTAAACGCTTGGTCGGCCAAGCGACGGCGGCGGCCGTGCCCGATTGGAAACCAACAATTTGCTCAGCGGAAATCACTCTCTAACGAGGGCTTTTGTTGTCGTCGTGAACACCGCAGACGACCCGTGTTTATTGGGTACTCCAAAGAAGTCGGTTCGGTCTGTGCGCACGCACAGGTATATATAGACAATTCATATTTGTAGCATTTTTACCCCTTTTCAATTTTGAAAGAAATGAAATCAGCGGATGCTTTGATATGACTGAGTATCTCCCACGAAGGTTTTTTTTTGGGAAAACTCATAAATCGTGATGGCGGAGAATTCGTGTTATAGTCACCGTCACGTGCGATTCTATACACAGTTAGGAGTTTATTTTATATTGAATGGTAACTGCACTCAAGATGGTTACACCTATATGTGCCGACACCCCTATATGTTCCGACAGCACATATTCCCATTCCTAACCATAACCATAACCCTAACCCGCACAATCTTGTCGGAACATAGGGGTGCCGGGAACATAGAACGGTCACCATTAAGATTACTGAACGGAAAGGAAACTTGCAGCGTGTTCCAAGCCGCTCAATGGGCCGTCCGCCGTCTGGCTTTATCGGCGGAGGTCGAACGTCACAATCCGCCTATCGCGAATCTCAAATGTGAAAATTTGTCATTATTTTTCCATCAGAACGCCAAGTATGAAAAAAAAACCACGCAAGGATAACGAAAGATAAGTAATTCTTGATTGTGTGAAACACAGGGATGCGATGTTATCACACATTCAAGTCAATGTATAACTGTTCCATTTTGTGCATGATGATAGTTCTCAAGTATTGGTCTACATAAAGTTAGGCATGTGTATATTTCTGATGGATGGCAAGACCGAAGTGTACGCGATGGCATCAGATATTTGAAGGTGTCAAGTGGCTAACATGTCATTCATGATCCACGACGTAGATATCTGATCGCACTTTACACTAGTTGCAGAACGACATTCCACCGTCGAGCCGAACCAAAATCATAGCAGCCACTCAAGTTGACCGAACCGATATTGGTTTTAGACAGGCAAGCCGAACCTTATGTATTAATTTTCCATTTACTATAGACACTGGAGCCGTTCTAAACGACTAAAACAGTCAATCTTTCGCATGCTCGCTCCTTATTGTTTCAAACGAGAAACTGAAATCAAATCTAGCGAATACTATCGGTTCGTCGTGACTCTGGAACGCCAATCTGACACGCGTGTTAGTCCACTGTGATGGGAGGAATATTGACCACCACACAAACTCGGCCTGAATGTTTGGGTTGTCAAATTGTGGTTTGGTTGCAAACAGTTCAGGCAGGACGCACAAACTGGTGACGAAGCTGAGAATTATATGAGAATGTTCATAAAAACTGAAGAGATTTGTAAAATGTCATACGAGAGAGGCAAAATGATATAACTATCTGTATTGCTTGAACAGGGGCCAAGCATATACGGTATAGGGCCCATGTCGCCTGAGCAGCTCGTCAGCTATACAGCGAGCAGGGCTCAACACAGCCGCAAAATCAACCAAAAGTCGTAAACTCAATGCCGACAATTGTGGTTTTTTTTAGCACGAAGAAAACGCCTCTTCTGGACCCAATGTTTTCGGAGCTGTTGAGAAGACAAGTTCAGCATCCACAATCAATAAAAACCATACGACATTGCAATTTTAAAAATATACAAATACACACTTGAACACAAATGTCCATCGACAACCGCCAAACGATTTATTCCTGTCACAGTCATTCCTTATACCACCACGAGGCACTCAAAGCCCACATTAATTAACACGACACTTGCCATCTTTATCTCTTTACCACCAAACACTATCAGTAGCCCGTGCTCTTCAGCATAACCTCAGAAATCAATAATTTGTGGAACTGATTAATTTGTAATCGCGACTGTCAGGGAAGAAAAAATGGTACGCTGTTGACACGGCGTGCACCCGTCCGATAAACACGCCTGAAAACCACGGGCGTAGATATCACTGTTGAGGGTACAATAATGACATTCGCGCGTGATGGATGACAGTGGCACCGCAGTGGGATCTCTCTGACAATAAATAAATATCAATAAGTATTTGTTGTCATCCAGTCCCCCGCCGTGGCCGGTATGTTTGTGAACTGAAGTGAGCCTGAAAAAAACTTGTCAAATGATTTTACACAGGAACACCTGTATTTAACCTCAGTCGAGTTACACCTGGTGTGCACACAAAGTATCAGAACGGCTCAATTGGTGTTTAAATATAATCTACCCATCGATCAATAAGGTGTCAAGCTGCTACTAACACCTACCACAAGAAAATGATATTTCCGGTTACAGGATATCAATAAAATAAACCAAAACTGCACATTTAAAAAAAAAAATTTGAAAAGGGAGACTTGAATTCAAAAAGTTGCAAGTGTAGCCTACCCTACAAAAAACAACCATACGCTATTTTGGCGGCCTGAAAAGCACATGGGCAGCGTGTCCAAAAATGGGGAGTCTTTACTTTATACTGAAAACAGATGATTCCCTCTGTTGAAAAAAGAAAATTTAGAAGACTTCTTATGTCTGGGCAGCGATACCCATTTTGTTCTGATCACTAATAAAGGGGCAAACGCGAGCCTGCAAGGCGCGGTTTATATTACAAGAGACTACTTCTGGATCATAATTCGTTGGACAGTCCTGCCCCTTTAAGGCTTCTCAGTGTTGATATTGGTAACAATGCAACAAGATTTGCAGGCCGAGGCTGCAGGTGGCCTTTTTAAATAAAATAATTCACAAGTGTATACGCAATATCCGAGTTACTTACAGAATATCACTGCATTAAAAAATGACCTTGAAAAGAAACAGTTTGAAAGGCCCATGCAACAAAAATGTATCCATAAAACCTATCGCTTAGTAGAAAGGTCACGACAAAAAAACCAGAGAAAATGCCGACACGGAACAACCATTGTATTCGTCAACGAATTATTTGAAACATCCATCATTGATGGATAAGTATGTGGAGTTTTCAGCATGCACTAACGCTGTCATTAAATACTTGAATGTTGCTCCTATAAAGCATTTCAAAATGTTGATACCCGCCGAAGTCATGTGCAATAATATTCGCACGAAAATTGACTTTGTATAGAGATCAGCACTTCCTTTGGTCCGGAATGACCTCGCAACGTTTTTTTTTTTTTTTTTTGGGGGGGGGGGGTTTGCCTTTTGAATTTAAAATGTATTCGCAAATTGCTAGAGGCCCATTAATGCTGCTGGCGCGTGGGAGGGATGCTTTTGAATCAAAATGCTGCCTTGTAAATAAATTTCACAGTTTTTCTATTTCCGTTCTATATCTGCACGTCTGTCTGTAAAAGTGATAAACAAAATTCCTGTTTTCCCCCTAAAAAGAGCGAGCGTGTCCTTGCGCCTGCCCCCGCATTACCCAATTAAACTTTGGCACAGATGAGTGCGTGTGGTGAGGTCCATTCTGAGAGCATGGCTTACATACAAACATATTTGGTGGTCAAAAGTTGCTCCCATATTATAAAGCACTCATACAATTTCACTTAAAACTGTTCCACTTTTGACCCCACCCTGATTTCAAAACAAGCTAACAGACCGCAGCAATAGTCACGCTGGAATAGCCGGAATAAAACTGCCTCATGATTATGATGAATCCAGCAAAATCTGAAAAATAACCGTGCAGCTAGTTGTTCACTCCAAGTTCGCAAAGCGATGCGATTTGGAGAGGCGGCAGGCTCTTTGCAGGCGCTTCATCACGGTATTCGTTAATCGGAGCTACAAGGTCATATTTAAATGTTCCTCAGTTAAGTTACAAACTCTATTTGTTTATAAATTGAATCCATTCATTTCTCATTTATAAGCACAAAGGAAAAAAGACAACTGAATTATGAAAGCGATGATATTTGGGGAAGACACTTGCTCTTTTGACACAAGCTGTTTAAGTCGGATCTCGATGGTAATGTTAGGTAACTGTAATCTATAAAGCCAGTGGCTTATACCTGTTTGGCTTGTATCTAAATTTCTTTTCCCTAATTTTTTTCACCTAATGCACATCCTCTGACTTAATATATGTCTTTGGTTTAAATTCAAAAATAGGATACACAGTGAATGATGACATCAGGAATGATAATAGGTCTAGTTAAGTCAGTTTAAACAAACAAAAAAGAATCTGCCGAACAGGTCCTTAAACAGATCGGAGCACTGAGAGCAAAACGATCAATAGACTATATCGCATATATTCTGGACTTGACTTCATTAAATTTATCTTTTTTTTTCTTGTTTTTTTCTTAATTTTTCTTAATTAGTTGGAATATCTTACATAGGGCTCCTTACCAAGCGTAAAGGCACCCCCCCCCTAAAAAAGAGGGATAAAAAAATGGTTCTGGACATTGGTTCTGGTAGGGTGCTGAAAATGCGGCGACTAAAGTAAACCAATAGATATAGTTTGTCGGTGAATGATTGAAAGCACTGGCTCAGGTTCACTGTCAACTTGATCCCTTCATCTTAACAGGTCACTTACCTGCGGTGAGCCTGAATTATGCCTTTATGCAAATGGCATAAGGAAATAAAACTTTCTTGAGTCTTACCTTTCTTTCAAGCCAGCCTCATCAGCGATTTCCTGTGACGTCTTGGGCTGCCCCTCGAAGCCGGCCAGCACAGAGAAGAGCCCCGTCTCCTTACCCACTGCGATGGATAATGCGATAAAGCCGGCGTTGACGGTCTCCATAATACGAGCGCCGAACTCCGGCATCGATTCGCCGACCGTGTGTGGGGGTTTGGCCACGGGGCCCTCCGCGTCGTCGTCCGGTTGGGCCAGCCAGTCGATCATCGGTGGTGGGCCGACGTTCATGACGGGCGGCGGGCACGGTGGGAAGAGCTGTCCGCCCATAGCCTTGCTGGGAATCGTATTGACACCGCCTTTTCCACTCTGCATTTTGTCGGATCCCTGTGATGGGTGAGATGAACTTAATCGGAACGGATGTGGAAGTAATTACTCGTTGACTTGCTCAGCAGTACTTCTTTACCGTGTGCGTGTTTGTCCGTGTCGAGCCTAGCTCGCTTTCAATCAAATGAATACGTGTACGTACGGATATACGGTGAACTTTACATTCAACGTCTTGCGTAACGTACGCGGTAACTGTATCCCTGCGGGCAGCAGACAGGTCCTTAGCGCGTCACGCTCGATGGTGCGTGCACGCACAACGTGAACAACCGCAGAACTCAGAAGCTCACGCTGTCAGTTGATTGGTCAGAAGATTGATGACGTCATGTCATCCGTGTCACTGAGTGATGTATCACCATGAGGCAGTATTTTTATGGAGCCACACATGATTGGATCACAGACATCCCACATCTGATACCATTTTTTTCACATGTAAATTATGCAGATACTGTAATAGGCCGCATGCTTTTCTACTAAACTGTGATGATTAATTATACAAAATCTCGACATTTCATGAATATTTAGCTATAACAGAAATTGTGGAAATACCACAGAAGAAAACAGATATGTCTGTCATCACGAGTCATCCAGTTTCAACAAGCTGCAAGTTCGTGCAACAGATATACACTCCTTTATCATTGTTCACCCTCTGTTAGTGACTGGTGACTTTGATTGGACCTGTGCTTTGGTTTGTGATTTGACTTACTGCTTTACTGGCTGTGCTAAAGCTCTCGAAAATTCTATAAACGGTGACGTTTTTCTCTAGTTCATCTGAACAAAACTGCCTAGTTCCTCATTTTCATTGCACGCATTTCATTGGAAGGTAAAGCTTTTGACAAACACATTATTTGCTTCGATTTAGTCAAACTGATCAAACGTTTAAGATTTGAGCGAATATTACGTGTGGAAATTAAGAGTCAAAGATCACAATGTGTGACTTAGCACGTTTATCCGTACGAACTGTCTTGACAGGCTTCCAATTTTCACACGGCAGGCCTATAGACGAGAGAGTAGACAACCTCTGGTTTAAGCAAACATTCATACCAGTATGTAAGTATTTTATTTCCCGAAATACTTCAAACTGTCATTACGGTTGGCAACATATTAACTGCTGGCTTCTTTTTCTTTTAAACACTGCTGTCCTGCTCCCCAAAATATACAGCTTTGAATGAGACACAGCCCAGAAATACACACACCGAAAATAACTCGGCAATGTTGGAGGGGAGGGCAGAAAAACTGGGTTTGAGTGACGTTGAGGGTTCTTGTGGCAAACACTATCAATCATAGTCAATAACCAGCAACAGGGTTGAAACCACCACACTCAATCGTATCGGGCTTCCAGATCGCCAGTTCATCACACAATTGAAGTAAAAAGGAGCGGGACCATTTTTGTTCTTGTCCCGCGCAGAGAGCGCTGTTTGAACTTTGATACTATATTGTAATCCGGCGGGAAACAGGGCGAGTCAAAAATGAGAAAAAAAATACACACGTTTAGGATGTTGCTAAGAAGTTGAAGAACTACGACCGTTGTCATGGTTGTTGATTTGAAACAATTCAAAAGATAAGTCCAGCCTTTTTTCTCATAATATGCAGGAAAAACTCAAAATGATCCAAGTCTTATTATGGTATCATCGAAAAGCTTGAAGTGATGACTAATGTTTTAGTGAACAGAGCCAAAATCACCGAGCAGAGGACTGTAAATACTGTCCGCTGCATTCACTGAGTTTCCTTCATAGATTATCAGCTGAATACTAATCAAATCAACGCATGACATTTTGGTCCAGTCGCTGTCAATTTTTGACAAGTAATTTTGCTTGAAAATTAAATGATACCTAACAATTTCAAAACATATTTTAGTCTCCAGCTCAGACGCTCTTCTCGTTTAGAGATTGCCTCAAGTTTTGGCATGCATAATTCCAATCGTATTTATTTTAGCCCATGATCAAACGCTTTCTTTGGGTAACTATATGTACCTCTAAACACATTGCATCAGTAAAACTTTTCACCGAAGGAGCCCTTATTTCAAGAATGCCTTTTATTTGTTCAACTTGTTTTGTCGTGGAGTTGTTATCGATCAGTAAGGCCATAACTAGTAGGGCAACTCGGCTGTTCTTCAGTAGCTGGTCCTGATGCTGGATTTGTACGATTGCATTTTCTATTTTCTAATTAAGAGATTCCCAATTTTCACAAGATTTAGTTGGAGGAGACTAGTTCCGAGCCGACTATATAGAACACCCACGACTCATGGCGCAGCGTAATCGAGCAAAAACCACTCGAGAATCATCAGCGAATCTAAACGAAATTTGTCTTCATCGTCTAATCTGAACACAAACACTCCCAGCAAATAAAAACAAGACACAAAAGTCAGGGCAGAAAATAGAAGCCGCTACCATCAGTTGTCGTATCACCTCGGACACAGCGTGTTGACACAATCGTTTTTCGCCATTCCCAAGTTTGCGTTGTTATTATCGTACCCAAAGTCAACACCACTTTGTTAAATTGACTTCTGTTGTGGGCATAATTGCTGCCAGATAAACCCCGGGTTCCTGGGATACGGTGGAGGGTGCAATTGCAGAGTAAATGAGCCCCTGCAAGGGCCTCATTTTCGGCACAATGTATCCAAAAAAATCCTATAATACGTGGACTCTGTCCCGGTCATTAATATCCAACTCGCCAGGGGTATGAGCGCCTGAGGTTGGCGGGAGATTGAGCTGTTTGTACGGTGACGATGTCTGTCAAGTCACAATCATCGGATCTATGTAAAGGGTTGGGTTTTGAAAAATGCAGTTGAAGGGTCTCGTTAATCAAAAAGATTCGCATGTAAGGTAACTCTAGAAATCTGCTCCTTTGGGCTTCGACTGATTATGTAAGAATGCCAGAAATGTTAAAATAACTTTTTTCAACGTAAATTCTGTTCTCTTCTATTTTACTTCAAGCTTGTTTGTAAATCAGAATTTCTAATTTTCTTGGTTATGTTTTGGGTTTTCTCCCAATGCTTCCCTTTTGCTTCACTGCCAAATTTTGCTAGCCTAAAATAGCCGCTAAATTAGTGTTACTGACATTAAGTGTCTGAAATTGTCATTTGGGTTTCATTTTGAGTAAAACTATACCAGCACGAAATCATTATTTTATTAAGGTCCTACCTCCACTGCCAGGTTTGCATCTTTTTCTCGCTAAATCTCCTATAACTATTTACATATAGGAAACAATCATTATTACTTCCGTCAAGGAGGTTATGTTTTCATCGGTGTTGATTTGTTTGTTGGTTGGTTGGTTTGTCTGTTAACAAGATAACTCAAAAAAATTTATGGACGGATTTGCATGAAAATGTTTTAAGGGTGGTCCTTGGTACAAGTACAAATCGCTTAGATTTTGGAAGTGATCCGGATCTGGGTCTGGATCCAGGATTTTTTTAAGGATTCTTCACCATTTATGCGAGTATTTCTTTTGGGTGTACTGGCAATATGGCGGGGAATTGCTTAGCCTTGGCGGAGGTTTGCGCTCACTGAGTGCTTTGTAGTTGTAGTATATTTCTTAGTCTAATGATTTGCGTAATCATGGATGTCGGTGCCAGACATTAGTATATCGATGACTCCATATACGATGATGAATAGTGAATAATTGGCAGTAAGAACGACTTTCCCAGAACCGTGGTGGGCGTGTACTGGAATGAGGGGTGAGAAAGCGGTGAAACATGTCATCATGATCAATCTAAATCAAGCTGATTACTTCTTTCATTGTTGTCCTAGTAGTTTTTCTTCCATGAAAGTCCCTCCTTTAAGGTGGATATACAAGATTAGTTCTTTTTTAGGCATTGACAGTACGAAAGCTGAAGGGGTGAATTGAAGTTCACAAATGGTTTCTTGCATTTTTGCCACCGCGGGGTCCAACTGCTGTACTATGTCCCCACGCGCCTTGGCTTCGGTCCGACATGAGCGCAGCCCTGCCGGTCAAGGGTGCTGTGCTGGGGCGATACAAGCAGCTTACACAAGACTTTCCCGGGAGCGTGGCTCCCATCCCTGAGGGGTCAGAAGGGGAAATACAGACATTAGTTCTCCTCCACAGAGGCGCTTTCACGCGTGATCGAGTCCGATGAATGAATAGCCCTAACGACAGTCTCACCGTGTGGGCAGGTTACTGTGACGGGGTAACAACGACCTGCGAGACGGCGGAGCGCCGGAGCCAGGCACGGTACAATAGGCCGATTTCCGGCGTGCAGTTTTACCCCTTCCCTACTTCGTTCTATTCAAGGGCTGCACATATTTTGGAGATTAAAATATTGTTCACTGTCGTATCGGTTTCCGGGGCATTGGTTCATTCGGAGGTCAGGAATAAATCCGTGAATATGACTTGGGGCTTCACATTGTCCCTATTTTGTGGGTTTTCCTCATTGCATATACATGTGCGATTTGGGTTCAGCAAGTATTTTGTAAGATACATTTTTACGTCAAATACTGATTTTTTAACAAAAGTCGTTTTTATAATCGGTGCAAAGTTGAGATTTTTTGTACAGTTCTTGATGAAAATTAGGCCGGTGATTAAAAAAAACATGCTCAACGTTTATTTATTTGCTGTGTTATTCAAACAGGGTGGCCATATCAGGTAAAAATACTTTAGTACAAATGATAAAAAGAGATACAATATGAAACCAAATAAATGAATACAAAATAAAATTAAAGATAATAATAATTGACTTTTATGAGGAAAGAAAATGTGGAAACGGAGATGGTTTGGATTTTTAGTTTTCACAGAATTAAGAAAGCGCTAACCTAATGGTCGATGCTTGCCCCAAAGAAATGTGCCCGTCATGATCGACCCGACCATTATTTTGGATGGTTTCGGATCTTAAATAAGCTTGAAGGTGCTCTACAGGATACTGTATTTTGACCTTTTATTAGATCATTCATAAAGAAATACCCAATGCTAAAAACGCTATCAAGTTAATAAACCATCAAACCGGTAAACAACAGGGATAGGTGGCGCTATATAATTTTGTGGACACGGGTACACGATGGAGTCCATTAATAGAATGAGGGCGCTCGATTTGTGATCAAATTTCGGGATATGGACCTTATGGATGCAGACCAGTAAATAAACTGCCTTAGACCCCAATGATAAATGCCCCCACTTCAAAAATTCAGGGAAAATACTCACAACTCTCCAAAGTATTCGAGACACACATTAAATTAAAGCTAATTTCATCATCTTTCATTTTCTTCTCAATTTTTTGGGGGGGTTAACTCATGACTTTTAGGAGAAATTTCCATCCGAAGATGATCACACCTTAGTTAAAATGGTCCTGAAGCCCATACGCCATTTTGAAAAACGACGCCTACACTCCATTGCAAAATAGAGCGCAAGTTCACGGCCCACAATATGCTCAAATAGCGAAGAATTTGAGGGCATGCAAATCGTGATTTGGCCGGCGTAGGCGATTTCGGACCGATTTACTGGCCTGCAACCTTATGGGTGCACCGATAAGCCAAAAATCCGTCCGCCGAGCTCATGAATTAAGTTATACATGATATTAGACAGTTATGAGAGCCATACAATTGGGGAATTGAAGAGATATGGTAATGAACCTCTGATCCGGACTTGGGGCTTCCAATTCTGAGAATTTTGGATGCTATTGGCTCGAAAATGGCGCTATTTGTGGAGGGATTGTTTTTCAAGATGGCTACTTTTCCGCTGGGGGGGGGGGGGGGAAATAGGGATCGTCTTCTTTGGGTGAGAATATCTCAAAAAGTCAATGGTCAACCCACCAAAAAATGAAAAGAAACTGAAAGATGACATGTTGATCATGATTCCGAGCAGCTTGACTTCCTGTGAGAGTTCTGAGTATTTTTAAATGAATTTTGAAGTATGCGCATTTAGCACTGGTGTCTATGGGAATTTATTGCAGGGTTGCACCCTTATTTATGAGGAAGCCATTTTTGTCGTGTTCCCTGAATGTATTTTATAAATTGTGAACTGTTGATTGGGATGGTGCCAGACTATTCAAGCATTCTAGCCACACTTTCAATTGTTTTAAAATGGGGCTTTTTAAATTCACTTTAAAGGCAACATTTATTTCCATACTTTCCACAAATAAGTCGAACTAAGTTTTCAATTAAAAAGAAGGTAATTGTATAGATTAAATAAATAATAATGCAACAATGTAGTACAACGACTAAATATATTAAATTAGGGCTTAAAACATTAGGAAAAGTTTAATCACAAATATTAAATTATTCATCAGTCACAGCAGACTGGTATTAATTTGTAATTTATTTCATGTCATTGCTTTCATTTCTTTTCCATGTTCCAAAAATGAACAATTTCCCTCGCTTTCAATTTACGGCCGAATCGTGAATAAAGCTCGTATCAGACGTCGCGGAATTGAAGCAATTATTAGGGAAAAAAGATAATATTTTCAGTTAAAAAAAATATATATTTGTGCTGAAAAAAGCCCGGCTGGTGAGCCGTTATGAAAATAGGAAATGTTTTGATTTAGGCTACCTTCAGGCTCTTCCAATATCTGTTCGATTTGGGGGTGGGGGGGGGGGGGATTTAATTCCGATGACTTCTGGTTGATTTTTTCTCACTCCAAATTATGAACACCCCTAAAAGCAGACTGTCCTGAAGCCCAACGCCGTTTAGAAAAATATTCTATCCACTCAATTGCCAAAAAGGGGGTCCAATTTCATCCCAAATGTCTCACAATACAACTTCATCAATTAAGACCGGTTTACATCTGGGAACCTTTCTACAAACCCTCAATTTCACGGTCCACAAAATTATATTAAGAGAAACATTGAAAGTATTAATCAAATCGTGATTTGGTCGGCGCGGCGTAGGAATATTGTGCCTGACTGCATGCACCACACAGGGCGAGTCAAAAAAGCGGAACCCAAATCCCCCAAAATATATTTCTGATTTAAAAAAAATATGTGGCACCAAAATTTATAACGACTGAAAGCCATTTTCATAAACTACTTTTTGATGAAAAAATTACTGAAATTGCTCAATCCGTTCAAAGTAGGGCCTACATCACCATTTACACACAAAATGAACCTAAAACCTCCTTCGTCCAAAAATACGATCTCAACAATCGTCGTTACATTATTGTCTTCAAACATCACCAGCGATAAAACCTCAGTTTAAAAGTTACAAATATTCAACAAAGTACTTTGGAAGGCCCGTCTTTTAAAAAAGTGGATTTTATAAATCATATTGTTTGCCTAACCAGGGTTGTTAATAAAGATATTGTGTACTACAGTTGTTGAAACAAGTATTCGGTGCCATTTTCTTTGTTGTTCCAAGCAGTCAGAATACATAATAAATTGCTTTTATTTTGACGAAAGAGGTTTTAGGTTGATATTCTTGGAACGGATTCATCAATTTCAGTATTTTTTTCTTATCTAAAAGTAGCTTATGAGATTGGCTTTCCAGTCATTATTATTTTTGGTGCTACATATTTGTTTAAATATGGAATATATTTTTGGGGGTTTGGGTTCCGTTTATTTTTAATCACCCTGTCGTGAGCGTGTGTGTAAAGTGCGCCCGCTTCGGTGAATCGCTAAACAGACCACGAACATCACTCGTAGTCTCGTATACGCGCCCTGCAAACAGACTAATTACACGATCTAGGTTGGCACTCTTTTATTCACACACCTCAACAGGCGCTATACACTCAACTATGACCTATACAGGCTCTTGATCTGCACCTAACCAGGTTGTGGTCCCTATAAAGGTCTTTACATTTATTATTCAATTTTATTGGGTGAAAAATACATAACTATGTAAACGCCGAGCCCATATCTTTAGCTTTAAAATGAAAAATGAAATATCGTATTTATTTTTTTCAGTTAGGGACCACATCTTACGAAAACGTTTTGATTAAAGCCTAATAAAAGCGAGATTTGGGTAAACGGTGTTCTCAGTGTAAATCTTATAAATGTATAATGTTCAATGTCTAATTCTTTGACCAAAAAAACATGTATGATACTGTTTATAGAAGTAAAGCAGAGTTCAGTATATTATCTGAAAAAGACAAATTTATTTTTCTCATGTCATCTAAGGATAAAATTATTATGCATTGTTTAGCCAGGTACATTTTCTGTCTACTTAGTTAAAAGAAATTAATACTATTAGTTTAAAATGAATAAGCTCCTATAGGTAGCTGGCAGTGAATCCCAAAATTAATACACTAGGAGGCTTTCCCACTAATGTATGCTAATCAAATGCAGGGCGGGAACCAGTCTACTTCGCCCGTACCCCCGCCCTGCAAACAGGCTGCTGGGAAGGGCATATGCCTTCACAGAATCTTATGTAGGAAGTATGGATGGCATTCTGGGTAACTTATCATCATACCTTCGCATCTTGCTAGCTAGCCGCTATACGTATGATAAACAGATGTAGCGAGTTTATGTGTTGCGTACTACGTCACGGGTCACGCAAAATCTATCCAATGACAGCCCTTCCCAGCGTCCTGTTTGCAGGACGGGGGGTACGAGCAAACCTGTCTACTTGTTTCCCATTTTGTTAAGCGCCCTCTCGTGTTAGTGGGTTGGTAACTTGGGCAGTTTGGTAAAGGTTATTAAGTTGGGCAACACACTCCGGTAAATCGTATTGCCAGCATTACCGGTATCACGAGAAGGGACAAACCTCCATACATCATAAACACGATCTCGTAGTCACTGGTTACGTCATACGTCCAACCTGCACGAAAAGAACACAATTATGACAATTAATCAAAAAAACATTAGTTTGCTTCATTTCAACCCCCCCCCCCCATTTTAATGAAACCAAGGATTGCATGTTTGCTTAACACCGAACTCACCTGAGATGGTGCCGCCAAATATCTGTCCAGCGCCAGCGAAAAGGTACAGCCAGCCTAAAGCGGCCATCTGACGTTCATCTTCGCCTACGAGATCTCGCGTGATGACGAAAGTGAGCGGGTAGGTGTAACCGATTGCCAGGCCTACTGCCGTAGCCAGACCAGCCAGGGCGGGTAAGGACGACACGGCAAGAGGGTCGATAAGGCAGGAAACGCCGCAAAGGAGACAGGCGAGGATAAACAGGTCCATGGGTTTGATTAGGTCTCGATCGGTCAGGAATCCGCTGGTCAGGCGACCCACGAGGGAACCGAGGCCGCCGAAAGTAGACAAGAACGAGGACGTCTGACTGTCGTAGCCCAGAGCCACCGAGTGGGGGACCAGAAACAGCTGCCAGCCGGAGTAGACAGCGCCCATGACGAACGACGGAAGCTGGAACAGGGAAAAGCGGGGCTCGGTTATAAACATCTTGGGGTCAAAGCGTTCCAGCAGAAACCCGTTGCACGCTTCACACTTCCTACTAATCGCTCCCACTGCACCATCATCATCTCGTACTTTCTCGGCAGCACTGACTTCGTCTTCATGATGAAGCTTTTGATATCTCGTTGAAGAGCAAGACTTGGCTGAGCAGGGTCTGAGAAGCGCGCCGAAGACGCAGACATTGAAAGTGGCCGTGCCCAGAAGAAAGAGGGCGGCCCTCCATCCGTACAGTCCAATCAACCACTCGGCTATGGGAGGGAGGGCCATCATACCAACGGTGCCTGCTGCGAAGGAGATACCATTCACCGTGGCAAAACTCTCAGGGAAGTAGTCCATCAACGGCTTGAACGCAGACACGTTGACAAATGATCCTCCGGTACCTTTTAATTATACAAATGGTTGGAAATAGTCAGAGATGGCATACTTAAATACAATAATCAGTTGAGACGTCAGATGTTGGAATCAGACGGTTATGTTTCGACTCTGCTTTTAGACGTCCACTGGTTCATTTAAACACTTATTTGAAATTGGAGCTACTGTCCGTTGATTGGCAAACTGGAAATTAAACTTTTCTTCACTCGATATATACTTCTATTGTGAAATCCCACCATTGTTCATTATAAAACTTTCAGTCACGATCTCTACGTACATCGCACAGTTGCAAGCAGAATGCAATGCGTACGTTGTACAACACGTATCTGGTATATTTTGGAAGCCTACATTACTGATATACTGAGCTAGCTATTCAAGCAATCCATCTTCATGTGGCGGTTTGCCAAAAGTCAGTGACTTCATGGCGAAATAAAGGCCTTACCAGCACCTATACCCAGTGTCTTTGCCAACATTTTCAAAAGGAATCTCAAAAGATATAGCCCAGCATTTAACGGACCCGATGAACCGGTTTTATCGTTCACACAATGTCTCTTGTATTAAACCCGCCATCTTGATATCACAATTTTCCCACAGATGTCGGTATAAAATCACAACACCATAACTGAACTATATAATTACAACAGCATTAACGAATTGTGAAACTGCCTATAGCGATGACCTCAAAATATCTCCTGAACGAGGACAAGGCCTATTGTCTGCATTCATAGAGATCTCAAGAGTACGTGATAAGGAATTACTTGATAGGGCCAGCCATAATGTAAGATGAAGTGAGTTGGTCGAGGCCGCGGCTCCCATAGTCCCAATGGCCATCACAGCACCACCAATGATGACAAGCCTCCTAGGCCCGTATGGTGTCAATGCACTGGCCAAAGGAGCTGAAAATAAAAAGAACAAAATATCACATTGGAACTCTGAGTTCTACAGAAACTCAAAGATTTTAAAACATTTGACTCGCAAGGAATCTGGCTCTATTGAACACGGATGAAAGCACTGTTTCAATTCAATTCAATTCAATTGAAAATAGGCCTAATGTATTTATCCTTGAAAAGGCAATTGTATATGGTTGGACAGCTCATTAAAAAACACGTAGTAAATTACAAGTCGAGTAAATATATAAAACTTAAACAAACACAAACATCATGTTCTTATCTCGATTAAAATTGGTGTAAAATGTCATCTTATCTAGAAACGTAGTATCTTATCTATATACAAGAAATAATTAGACGATGAATGTACACATGATGACGTCAATGGTAAAATGGCAAGAAGAAAAAAAATATTAAAATGATGGACCTATAAAATGCAGATATCCATTATTTTATGGTCTAATGGCCACTGGAGTAATGACAACTCGAAAATATTAATACTGATACCCTCCTTCTGTTCAATTGTTGCATATAAAAATGAGATAAAATGAAATGACAAGTGAAATGATGGACCTAAAATACAAAAAAATTATCAGTAATTTATAAGTCTAATAGCCACTGGGATGAACGAGAACTTCCTTCTGTTGGCTTAACATGGAGGGCATCTTAAACGACGTCTCGATGGGAGAACTCAAACATGGTTTTCAATACATGATTTTCACAGGCTAAGATCGACTTGGCTTTACTTGTTGTTCGTAAAACTGACTAAGGTCTCTCTGGGGCTCTCCGGTAATTTTGGACCCCAGGTTAACAATCTTTTGCAAACTGTTCCTGTTCTTAGCACTCAGGTTAAAATACCAGGAAATAAATGAAAAGCACAATACACTTTCAACGAATGACCGATACAAAAAAGACTCAATGCAAAACAATTATAACCGAATCGCAACATGTTAATTCGCCAAAAAAGAGACACAATGTCCTGTCCGGAGTCATACATATTGTATGAAAATAGAGGGAAAATCGTCGTTGGTATTAAATTGGTTTATTTTGGTGAAACAACGAACATACCTTTTGACGTTCACATAACACAATGAGGTTGTCAAGTATTTTGTATTTTTTAAAAACTAGCCCCGCAAGGCGGTTGACATATGTTTTGCCACCCACAAAATTAATACCGAAATACTTGTCATTACTGTGCACACTTACCGTGTGTTGGGGTATACTGTAAACATTATCTTAACTGTTATATATTTTACAATAATCCACCCTTGAAATATCATTCATATATGCAGAAATATTATCATTCTCCTAAAACGAAATATAAAAGCTGCAATTAAGTGTCGGATTACATTGATTATTTTAACGGGTAGTATGGCCGGATGACCATAATGCGCATTGTGACTCAAGTTTTACTTGCAATTTTGAATACTGTTCGAAAACTAAACACACACTGTGAATATAAACACTTGAAAATAATAATAAATGGCGTCACATGTTTAAATTTACAACAGATTGACGTGTTTTCTTTTTGACTGTGTGTTTACTTTTAAAACGTCAGTAGTATTTAAATGTTAAACACCTTTGATGTATATATTTTAAACACTGTTCCGTTTAAAGATTAAACACCGTCAGTGTGCTGATTTTAAACACCAAATATGTTTTCAAATTAAGCATGTTCATTGGATAAGCTGCGTCACATGTTTAGAAACTGTCACAGATTAGTGTTTATTTAGGTTTTCTAAACCTAAACACCGAGTAGCAAAACAATAAGTATCAATAATTCATAAGGTGGATTTTTTTGCGTCGGGTGATGTTAATCAAATTAGCCTAAGTATCAAATTCAATTTGACAGGCATCGAATACACCTTACTGAACAATAATTCATTAACAATACGTTGGAATGCCTCAACTTAAGCCCCGCCATTAAGACTTCACTGTCAAACCTAGTAAACACATTATAAATGTCTTTTTGCAACAGTTTATAAACTGACGCGTTTAGGGAAGAGACGCAGCAAAGGCCTATAGGCTCCATTTTGAGTCGGATACATATATATGCAGGAATGCCTGCACCAAAAACGAAACCTCAAACAGCCGGTTGCAGTATTACAGCTGCTTGTAACTGAAATTTGACTTCCAGGGAAAAAAATACAAACATTACAATCCCTCGTGTTTATCTTATAAATGCTCCGTGAACGGTTCTGTTTAGGAACACTAAACACCGTATTTAATTAATAAACGCTCCGTGAACGGGTCTGTTTAGGAACACTAAACACCGTGTTTAATTTATAAACGCTTCGTGAACGGTTCTGTTTAGGAACACTAAACACCGTGTTTCATTTATAAACGCTTCGTGAACGGTTCTGTTTAGGAACACTAAACACCGTGTTTAAATTATAAACGCTTCGTGAACGGTTCTGTTTAGGAACACTAAACACAGAGTTTAATTTATAAACGCTTCGTGAACGGTTCTGTTTGGGAACACTAAACAGTGTTTAACTAATAAACGTTTCGCGTGAACGGTTCTGTTTAGGAACACTAAACACCGTGTTTATAAAATAACTTATAAACCCTTATGATTTTACAGTGTTTAGAAGTTGAATGTTATGACATCCAAGGATCGAGATGCCAACATTGGCAACTTACCTAACACAGAGCACAAGCTACCGTAGATACCGGTCGCCGTCCCAATAGCGGCCACCGACGCGCCAAGGTCATCCACCAGGTACGGGATGAACACGCCCATGGCTTTGAACAAGCCAAGAGCAAAGAAAGACAAAGATGCCTTGGAGAGAAGAATCATCCATCGCCAGGATGAACACAGAGAATTCATTTTCGTTGTCACTTCTGTGGCGCGGGAGCTACGTCGGAAACACCCAACAACTGTGAACTGCGTGTTGCAAAAAGGGAATAAGAGCAGTAATTATTTATGCAGATTGTACACGTATTATGGTTTCAGCGAAAGTGATATGTTATGTATTTATAAGATGAGATGATATGGTATGTTTCTTTAGGCTCGTGCCATATTTTCAATGAGGAGCGCTGATAAAATCCTTCAATCAGGCACACTATATTAACTATAAAAAGTGTACACATGCACCTTTCTCACGACTATTTATTTAGGGGGAGACCGTTCGTATGTACGTCACATTCTTCAATTTTGCCAGTGGAAACATTTTTATGGAATTTTGTTTTTTGGTGGGGGGGGGGGGGGGAAATTAAATTTTGGGGCTAAAGAGCCCCTCTAGGCCCCCCTAGAACCGCCAATGCATGGCACCTGGTGTGCTTTTATTTTCAAGAACTTCTGAACACAACATTTCAAACAAGTCAGTGTAACAATGTTTGCTATGAAACTAACCCCTAAATCCATCCATTTCTGAAAATTACAGCAAAAGCAAATGCTGTATACACTCTGGTGGCCAGAGTGTATACAGCAATCTCCATTTTTTGTGTCGTTTCTCAGTGAAGCCTGGCGCATTATTCGCCTCCTCGTCCATTCCAATCTCCATTTTTTGGTCGTTTCTCAGTGAAGCCTGGCGCATTATTCGCCTCCTCGTCCATTCCAATCTCTATTTGTTTGTCGTTTTTGTTCCATTAAACACCCAACCCTGTAATCACGCTATTAGTATTACATTACGACGCAAATTAAAGGTAAGGGCCTACGTTGATTTCGCGTCTTTTTGAGAGTTTTTTCTAGTTTAAATCCAAAAAATTGCTCAAAATCTGAATTAGGTTGCATAACAAAAACCCTGTTAAAGTTTAGCTCTGGGATAAATGCATATTTTGGAGAAAAAAAACCCAGAGAAAATCTAAGCACATTTGGGGGGGGGGGGGGGGGTCTCGTTAGGGGATTCCGTTGCTAACGCACGAATATACAACATTTTATTGTGCACACCAAATCACCATGCTCCCCTAAGTTTTGCTACTAAGTCACACAGTCAAGCCATTTCTGCATGCACATTTCACGAAATGTTTCATACTCAATCTTGAACTAAATTCTTAAGATTGTGGCCCACCAGTGCACCCCTTAGATGTGACCATAATGATTGTGACCAGTCACTCACTCATTCTCATGACATAGTCGTGGGAGGACACGAGGGCGCGGGCAAAGTGGGCATCAACCATGGCGACTTCAACTTCCCATTGTCAGGGCTGTCCAAGAAAACGTAATAACTGTCCTAATTTTCCCATCCCTGACCATTATTATCGAAGTGGTATGATTGTAAAATCTTTCCAGGAAATGCTTTTAGTCATAAAACTCACGGCCTACGGGGTTTTCGCTAAATCTTACGGCTTACCTACTTTTGCAGGCAGTCTGTTACACCGGCGCTAGAAGTCGGTGGTATACGGTCTGCGTTTACTGCACTTCACGGTTACGACGGTAGGTCTATACTCGTAGTTACTATGGGTTTATCGCACTGTTTATACACAAGGCGTCTCACCTGCCAGGGTGACCGTAAGGTTATGGCAAAATTCTGCTAGATGCACTTCAAAAATCTGCTAGATTGAACAAACATCTGCTAAATCACCTATTATTGCACGAAATACATTATAAACACTTATACTCACATGCAGATGTTGTAAAATTTCCTAAAACAAAAACAAAAATCATAAAATTTCTTTAAAAAAAATGATTACTATCATAATTGTTTTTTAATTGCACGTGTCTAGCCTGGCTTGCAACAGTCTAAAACTCTTTACTGTGTGTTGATACACGTCAGGCTACCTCCAATTGAAGCTTTTTTCAAAAGTAATCAGCTGTATTTTTCAAATTTGCCATATTTTTAGGTCAGATCACCAATTTTACAGAATTCTGCCAGAAATCTGTTAAAAATTCAGCAAAAATCGAAGCTCATTAATTACCTCCAAAATTGCACACTCGTGGCCAGGCCTATTGCCATTTTGCAACAGGCTGGCTGGGCGCGCGCAAACATTACCGTTGTGATTTAGATATCACGAGGCGAGGCGGGTTCCAGACCTACGTACGTCATGCATATGCAAGATTCACCGCTAGTTACCGGACCCTATTTTTGACGTCCAAATGAGAATGGGGTCAGGGAACCAGAGACTACAGAACCCCCGGCGCTTGGGGTTTTGTGTAGAATGATGAGAGGACCACTTTTTACAGCAATGTGTCAGAAATGTGAACATTGTCCAGGCGAGACAAAACCAGAACGGAGCGGAGAACAGAGGCTCACGTGACCACTCCTACAGAAATGGCCAAATGTCGAAATGAATGCCTTCACAATGTATAGCTCCACAATGTATAGCTCCAGGCTTAATAACATAGATAAGGCCAACAAGTCCGGTTTCTGGTATGCGCGCGCATCGGCGTAGCCATGCGCGTCGGCAAAATGAAAAAGTTTTTTTTCAATGACAGATGATGTCTCAATACCGCCAAACTCACTGGTTTGACTGGAATCCTGCTGCTGCACAATTTTAACGTGTTTTTAGATCGGGGGTGACGAACGAGAATAAGCTTTATGTGGCCTCTCTGGACTCCCATTATATTTGCGCTAAAATTAGTCGGGCACCATTTGCAGTCATCAGCCGACATTTGAAGGAAAAAAAAGGTAAAAAAGAAAAGAAAAGAAAGCCGCGTCGCCGCACCACTTTTTGGGCAAGCTTCATACCAGAAACCGGAGGCTTTTTTTTAGGCCTAAACGAAATTCCAGTATTATTCCTGAAGTTAAAAGAAGAATGGGCTTAGAGCCGCAAGGTTGCAGGTGAAAGGACATGGAGCTGCACAATCACTGAACCGGTCCTGGCTGGCTGCCTCGACAGCCTCCAGGGCAATAATCAACCTTCTATTTGCGTTTTGTAATGCGACAGTACCATGCTCTCACGACCAAAACAGAAATTCTGGAAATACATACAGTCATGGCGTTTCCAGCGAAAGGGGTAACGGTGGATAGGGGATAGGGAACAACAAGAGTTTATCTCCAAAACGCGATACGTCACGCCATTTTCTCTTCAGAATACTGCTCTCTCTCCTGGCTGCCCAAAAGCAACTTAGACGGCTGTTATTGTACTTAAAGACAACTTAACATCTGTTCATACTGTTTTTATTCTTTGAAGTGTCACAACCGTGCAAAATGTTCACCTTTTTCAAATGGATATGTCGCGTTGCAAATAATATCTTCTCAAGTAAAGTAAAACAGTACTTAGTACGAGAGCTACATACATGCACGGAAGTGCCGGCCTGCAGTGATGATGCATACGTCCAATACACTGTATTTAGTAGCCTATTAAGTATAAAGTAACCGCACGTGCGAAAAATGACTCGCTGCACGAAGTTTCCCTCGGGCCTACCGAGACTTAATTCCGTTTCTGGCTCAAGCTTCATTGCAACGAGGTACTAGGTGCAGTCAGTGCACGAAAAGGCTAAAGCTGGTTAACTGTTAACATTTTAATTCAAAAGTCGAGAATGGGGGAGGGGCGCCCGTGCCCCCACCCCCACCTCTCGTTGTGCACTCACATATCGTAAACTCAAGCCATGTTTGCCAAACAGCAAAGTGGACTTAAATACTTGCTAAGGAGAGTTAATGCTTTCCCCATATTTAGAGTACTACTTCTCGTATGAAACTCACCACGCATAATTTTTATGTGGCGTTTTTAAAAAAATCACTGAAGCTTACCTTTTACATGCGATTGATGTCTGCTACAATGACCATTGCCGCATTTAGCACCGTTTCAAAACCAAAATCATCATGAGCTAAAACCAGACTGTGGGTTGCAGAGCTTGATATAAATTGTACAACCGCCCAATCTCGGGAATCTGCACATAGGCCTACAGTGAAACTCGATGCAAATCAGGGAAAACGAATAAGAGTATACGTTGTTGTTGCGCAAACAATAGGTTTATAATGGATTGAGACCGCAAATTCAACTTGAATAAGTTGAATTGAAACTGGACAATAAGTTTGCTGAACACCCAGCGGGACAATAACAATGGAAGGCAGTAGAGCATACAAAACTACAAAAAAGGGTAACGGTGCAACCATAGGCCATCCGTAGCTTTGGTCAAAGCGCTAGTTGTTATTCATCCCGGCCGTAGCGCGGTAAACGATATCCTCGCTAGCGCTATGCATGCGTGCATTAAAAATACAGCCCGAACAGCGACCTCACGCGGCCACCATTTCTATGCAAATCAGTTGGACCCAATCTAGCGCCTTGGTTCAATCGTCGGCAAAGGCTTATGTTTTTCTTTATTTTGCGCTGGATTTCTAGCGCACGACCTCGTATGCGAATACAGATAAGTGTAGGCGGGGCTATGTGGAGTGTCCAATCACACCTTGGTAAATCCGGACGTCATCAAGTTATTTGCAGCTATTCGCCTTTTGCGGACGTGACAGGAACCACAGTTTTTGTGCATTGGTGCCGTGTGCAGATACACAACTTGTACGTGTATGGTTTATTTACGGTGCCACGTTTCACTATGCACGTTTCCACGCAACGATCGACCAATAAGAAAACGCCACTTACGGTCAGCTAAGGCTATTAACATAATGAGCACCACCCCCAAAACCTCACATGGACGATTGAACCAAGGCGCTAGATTGGGTCCAACTGATTTGCATAAAAAATAGTGGCCGCGTGAGGTCGCTGTTCGGGCTGTATTTTTAATGCACTGCATGCATAGACATATGACTGCATGCATAACGCTGGCGAAGATATCGTGTACCGCGAATACGGCTGGATGAATATCAACTAGCGCCTTGACAAAGGCTAAGGCCATCCGCCGAGCTTTAACCCATCCGCCGAGCTCATGAATAAAAGTTATACCCTCAAAATAACTAATAGAGAATTCTGAGCGCCATAAAATTGGGGAATTGAAGAGATATAACAATTCAATTCAATTCAAAGTAACATTTATTTCCACATGATCATAAAGAAAAATACATTAAAAATAGACAGATGTGGAGGCACGTTCCAAAAAAGCGGGGCTTGACAAGGAACAGCCTGTTTACAAAAAACAAAACAAAGTAACAGCTTCACAATAAACGAATAAACCAACGAATAACCACAAAAAAATGAAAAGAAAATGAAAGATGACATGTTGATCATCAGTTTTCTGTGCAGTTTAAATACCTGTGAGAGTTCTGAGTGTCTTTAAAGAATTTTGAAGTATGGGCATTTAGCACTAGTGTCAATGGGAATTTTATTGTAGGGCTGCACCCTATAGAAAATGCGCTACTAGTGCCGCGGCAGTGGTTTTTTAGTGGGCGGAACCTACGGGGGGGAAAAAAGTATTTTAAAGGTATCTGTATCTGTATTAGTATCATTATAGTCTGTAAAGCATCCCAGGAGAAACATCACACCAACTCAGAGAGAAGACAGTGAGAAGAAATTACAGTTTTAGAGGTGGGAGGAAAAGCCCAGAAGTTAACCTACTCTTGCGACGTCACTCTATTCAGTAAAGATGAATGTACAGTTAAATATACATGCTTAAAAAGAATGCACAGTCAACTGAAGATAAGTCGTGAATCTATAGGCTTGGTTGTGAATGGCCCCTGCAAACAATTCCAAGCATAATTGGATTTATTGGAAAAGTAACGGTTATAAATTGTTCAAGTTTTCGGTATTTTGAACATAAAGTTCCTGACTTTAATAACAACACACATTTTCGCCATAGATTGAAGGAATCTTTTACAGTACATGTAAAATAACAGTGTATCTTCGTGCTGGCCATGAAAAACTGGACAATTCAAAGATCTATGAGCAAAATATGGAAAAATGCCTTGTAGTCTAGGCGATATTTAAAAGAAGTGCTCATTTAGGGCAAGAAGAGGCATCTCTATTTTACCTAATTTCGGGGTGCTGAATCCGAAAATGATGGTTACCAAACTGGATTTTTTAGTGGAAAAATGCCTTAATTGCATAAATCTTTATTACGTGTCGTGTAATATATTTTGTTCCCATATTTGGGTATATTTTTTATTATTTTATTTTTGGAAAAGTTTATTTTGGTGATTTTACTCACACTACCTTCACTTCAATAACATTTTCTAAAGCATATAAGTGACTGAGTAATTATGAGGGCATAGAAACCATCCAAAATGGCCACCATTATACCCTATAAGGTCGCGCACATTTACTTTTCCTCAGATATCATCAAGTAGTCTCACCAAACGTCAGTATTGAAGTGCTTCAAATTCACAAAGCTAGTTACTAGCACAGTTACCGTAGCAAAAATAATGGGACATTATGTGAAAAATGACAATATCTTGATATCTAGGCCCCCCCCCCCCCCCGAAAAACAGGGGGAAAATGAGGTGTCCATAAATTGGGCTAAAATATTAGGCGAAGGGTTTTCTAACGCGGGGGACTTGAACAACTTCAAGGAAATTCCACCCAAAAGATTATTGTTGCGTACAATAATAATGTCAACGTCAAAACGTTTTCTTACCAATAATATTGGGAATTTCCTTGAACTTGTTCAGGTATCCCACGTCAGGCAACCCTTCAACTATTGTTTAGCTCAATTTATGGACACCTCGTCCCCCCCCCGTTTTATATCACAATGTTATCGTTGTTTACATGATTTTCCAATAAGGTTTTTAGTAGGGTAACTGTACCAGTAAGCAACATGGCAAATTTGAGTTTAATCAATACCGAGGTTGTCAAGACTGCTAATGCTTGATGATATCTGGAGACAAGGTAAATGCGCGCAACTTTAGCGTGTAATAGTAGCCATTTTGAATTGTCACTATGTCGTCATAATCATTCAGTCACTTGTATGCTTTAGAAAATGTTATTTAAGTAAGGAAGCGTAAGTAAAATCACCAAAATAAACTTTTCAAAAAGTAAAATAAAAAATATACCCAAATATGGGAACAAATATATTACATGACAGGTATTAAAGATTTGTGCAAATTAGGCATATTTCCACTAAAAATCCAGCTTGGTAACCATCATTTTTCGGATTCAGCACCCCGAAATTAGGTAAAATAGCTATATATGTTACCAACTTCAACTCAAAAATGCCTCTTCATGTAACATTTTTTGAAATATCGTCTAGTCTATTGAATACGCTAAAGCTACGTCTAGTGGGGCTTTTTTTACAACACAGCTATATCCATTAAATGATGAACAATGGATCGAATTTATTTCATAGCTCAAAGCATTAACTTTGATAAGAAATCGACACTTTTTTGTTCCCTTGTAAACCGGACAATTGTCGGAGAAACAACTCAAAAGGTGAATTCAAAAGGGCTCGGATGCTTCGCGTCATCGCCCATTCGAACAGTTTCTCCTTAACATATTCTGGGAAAAACCCACGGAATCAGGTAGGGACTGAAAACCCAATCCACATGTGGACCAGGCGGGATTCGATGACCCAGGTCACAGCCGTGGAAGGCAAGGAAAGTACCGCTACGCCATGAACCTGAGGTATCAACATGGGCTTTTCCGCAGCAGATGCTCCCAAATCGTAAGGAAAGGGGGGGGGGCATTTTGAGCTTCAGAGAAGCTGAAACTCCATTTATTGTTGTTTGGGCGCTCTACAGCCAGCAGGCGCAAAAAAGGCACTATTTTCGGGCCTAATATCGACCTCGGATAATTTTTTTCTTTCATTTTTTTTTTTGGATGGGATATGAATAACCAATACTTCCTCTTTGCTCTAAAAATGTTGGTTTTTTTTTGGGGGGGGGGGGGCATTGCAAACGTTCGGGTCTATGGGGTGCTGTGGTCCAATGGTTACGGTGTTCGACTCGTGTGCCGTGGGAACATGGTGCTTGTCCTCTTGAGCAAGGCACTTTATCATTATTGCTTCGTCCTTTTCGGATGGGACGTGAAGCCGTAGGTCCCGTGTGTTGTGTAACACTTATCGCTAAGAGAAGGGGTTTGCCCCGGTGTTTCTGGCAGTGGCTGCAATATGCGCCGCAGCACCTTGTAAACCCTTATTAGGTGCTACATAATGGGTCTCATATTTCTCATAAACTTTATTTACCTTTCTTTAATAATAGACATAATTTCCAGCGCCTTGAGTACCTAATTGTTGGTAGATGCGTGCGCTATATAAGACTCCATTATTATTATTAAAGGGTGCACACCGGTAAATAGGGTTTAACCTATCCGCCGAGCTTATGAATAAAAGTTATACCCTCAAAATAATCTATATTAGAGAGTTCTGAGCGCCATAAAATTGGGGACTTGAAGAGATAGGGCAATGAACCTCTGGCCCGGACTTGGGACTTCCATAGATCCAATTCTGAGCGTGTTGGATGCAATTGCATGGGCTCGAAAGTGACACTATTTTGACATGTTGTGGAGGGATGTTTTTCAAGATGGCTACTTTTCCGCTTTGGGAAAAATAGGGGTCATCTTCTTTTAAGTGAGAATTCCTCGAAAAGTCAATGGTCATTCCACCAAAAAATGAAAAGAAAATGAAAGATGACGTGTTGATCATCTTTTTTCTGTGCAGCATAAATACTTGTGAGAGTTCCGACTATTTTTAAAAGAATTTTGAAGTATGGGCATTTAGCACTAGTGTCTAGGAGAAGTTTATTGCAGGGCTGCACCCTTAAGAGCGGTCCCTTTGCAAAGAATGGCTTTTGTAGACTTGCGCCATTGGGCGATTTTCAATAATGCAAAAAAAAACCCAACCCAATAATAAAGATGTAGGTCAAAAGTCAAATCACAAGTCAAGTTCAATGACAAATGAAAATGTCCTTCTCTCAGTTCATGTTTAGATACTTTGTCACCAGACAATAAGAAAGCATGACTTTGATTGGCCTGTGATGACCTAATGACCCAGCTAAACCACGCCTAGTATCGGAATAAACACAACACAATAAAGGACCCACTGCACATGATTTCATTTGATTCAATTCGGGTGTTATTCATAATACCAAGAAACAGATACAACTGTTTCCGAAAGAAAAATCCATTTCGTTTAGACTTACCACTAACTGGTTTTCAAAAAACGAAAGCTTTATGTAGGGTACCAATTGTATAGGCCTACAGCTATTGATTAAGAATAAACAGAGTAGAAAAGACCATCTGCGAACCTATATCAACCGATGCTTTACGTCTGCCAATTATAGGCCTACCTTTGGCAGATAAGACACAATCACAAACATGCAGTTGTCTCATTTTATAAATATTTCACTTGTCATTTTTTACAATTAATTTAATACATTCAAATGACACCTTCTTAAAACAAATTCTATGGACACAAAATCACAAGTAGGTATTCGGTAGATGCCTATAGTTATTTACACAAAAATATTTACCCCAGCCCGAAACGTCGGGTTTTCAATCAAATGAGATTTTAATATTCATATATTTTTCTCCTAAAGCGACCTGACCTATTATTGTCAGTCGGTGAACCCTGAACATGAACCCTGTGGTGCCCAATTAGAATTCGTCTTGACAGATGAAGAAAGTCGCCCACCAAAGTTTGTGTTAATAACAGATTGTTATATGGACATTTCACAATATTGCCTAGGCATAATAATTCTTTACAATATCTTGTAAGTACAATTTACTGCGCATGCTTTTTTTTTATTACATACCCCATTAAGATTTTGCATCCAGTGACTAAATGTTTTCAAAGTCCGATTAAGAATCGCGTCTCTGCTGCCACCAAGACTTTAAAAATGTCCAACTTGCACCTCCAAATCATTGCGCTTTGAACTCTTATTTTTATACCGACGAAATTATATATACACCAAACTCTTTTTACCTGAACGCGAAATAACTGAACTTTTTATGTGGTATGCACAGATCGAAGACAAAACTCAATACTCTGAACTATATCTTATTATAATTTATATCAAAGTCGTGGGTAGTTTTCTTTCTTTCATATTCAGTACATGACGTGAATCTAACCATCGACATGTCAACAGTAAACACTCTACAGCATTTTTAATGTCTGCAGGCTATACTAGTATTCTACAAATTTATTTCACATTTTCAGCGAGCGGATTTAATGATACAGCAGATGTATCTCATTTTTATATCACATTCATATAAAATTGGACATGTACACCAAACGCGATATTCCGTACATTATGGAATACAAATAAAAGGAAAATACGGACACAATGCCTTTAAATGTATGTATCGTGCAAAGAAAAGCAAACGCAAAGCAAATATCATATTACATGTCGTACATAAACATTCAAAGGTATTTTTTTCTGTCACTTCATGGTATTTTCAGGCTATTAAGAACTGGGGAAATCCAAGACAATGTTCGTACCAATATGAAATAACTATCTTTCGTTATACCATCCACAATAACGTTTTGTCAAAAATCACAATTAAAGCGTCATTTTGAGTTCTGTGTGTCATGTATTAGAAAAAAAAATACTACTCGTCTCGTAAACATGACGTCAGGTACATACCATGTGCTGTGTGACGTCATACCGCCGGGCAATCCAAACATTTAAGCATCATTTACATGTTATTTTGCCCACATTAAACAATTTATGGCAACACTTTTACACCCATTATGTTTCATGAGATACTGTAGGAGAGAACACTTTGCTGAAAGTTGGAATCACGTGTCAACAACGTCCAATTTCTAAACAAATGTAACATGGTCTGTATTTTCTGACTGATGGCATGCACATTTTACACATTTTAACTGAAAAAAAAACCCCATGGACTTTTCACGTATTTTGTTTTAAAACTTTTGATTACTGAATTTATTTCCGACGACTTTCACGGACTTAGCCTAATGCTGTGCACGTTATATTTAAAAACAAAATGTGATATTAAATAAGACCGATTATTGCTTGTACAACTGTAATAAAGCTTTTAGCAGACTTTCACATTACAGGATTCATACTCTATATGTATTGTGATTGTGTACATACTAGACTAAGACATAAGCTGGTTCCCCTAACAACATGGATTACAATGCCCAGATTCCGGCCAACTTTGTCTCTGCCTTCGAAACAGGGAAGGGTTTTACCTTTGCCTTTCCGAATTTCGGTCTATCACAGTCAAACAGTCATATTCCAATTGTGGATTTACCTAAAGTTTCCTTAATCCACTCCCCCCCCCCAATATAAATACGAGAATATTTCGAAATGTCTCATGATCTCCTACGCCATGTTTGTCTTCTACCAATCTTTCTGTTTTTTTTTTTAAATTTGTTTATTAAAGATCATCCATATATAGTCATCCTCAGAATACATATTTTATATCAAAAAGGTACCAACAAAACGCAGGCTATATTCAAACATCAATGTCCAATGTGCGTCGTCTTTAGTAAAACAAAGCAAAATGCAAACTATCTATTTCCATGAACTGAAGATTTTTATAAGCAACTGAGAAAACGATCTCACTGCGGCAATTGCTGATGGAATGTACACAGAATGTTTGGGGTGTTTTGTATATTTATAACATTACAAACATTGACTATGACTATGATTACATGTATCTATAGGTATGGATAACTCATGCCTGGACATTTACCAGGTAACAGGGCTTAGGTTTATACATTTCCAATGTTCTATTGCTCTCAGATACCACTAAACTTTGATTTACTTTCGAGATTATTAGCCGACCAAACTACACCAATTTCATTATTTATATACACACGCTGATTTTGTCTTTTATTGTATTTATGATGAACTGGTATGTACACATTTGCAAACGGAATCGTGCTCTGTTTATCGTTAACATTCTCTTGCTCCCTTATAATAAGTTATAGATTATGGGACAGAGAAGCATGCGTTTACTTCTGTTAAATCTACCTTGAACGGTTTGAAATAACATTCCCTATGGTTACCCCAGGTACATTTTTATAAAGACATACATTTCGTGCAATTACATACAATTTACTTGAGAAGCTGCGTTTAACTGGTACTCATGACTCAACAGGATACCAGTATATAAAATTGCCACTTTGGAAAGACAGTTACCAGGCTTAGCTGGTATCCAGACATGGCCACATACTGTACATTCAACACCTACGCTTTTACCACGGTAATTTGGTATGGCAAAGTTTATATTATGCACACCTTTTTTATAACTTCTCTACAAATACTATGTATAGGGCAAACAAAGTTTGTTCCTGAAAACATTTTTTTTTTCAGGCCACTGTGAAAAATCTTAGTACTGCAGATTATGCTGTCTTTACTAATAAATCAATTAGAGCTATCAATTCACATTGCCAACAAAATCCAACTTGGCTAAGAATTATTCAGTCTTTCGCTTAGCAATTCTAATGCCACCAAAAAGGCGACCTTTATTTTTGGAAAGAAAATAAAAGAAATAAGATTTTTAGCAAGCGAAACATTCTTCAGAAATAGATATTTAATTGCAAATCTCATAAACTATACATGGAATTAGAAAAAGAAAATGCTAAATTTTTGTAATCTTTTGTTATATTTAAGCATCTTGGACACGGACGATAAAAGCTTCATAGTCTATCACGTTATCTTCACATGGACAACCACGTGACTATCACATGGGCAATCATTTAACCACCTGTACAATGAATAACAATAGGTATATGTATATCTACTGTCCACACCTTGGGCAGAACTTCCAGCCTCCTTAAGGAAACCCTGCGTGATTCTACAAACCAAGCTTGACATGGAAAAGTTAAGTTTAATTCGTTAAAATTTGGGCATAGGTCGGGCAAGAAAGTGAAAAAAAAAATAGAATAAACCAGGGGCAATCTCTCTACTTAATTGTATGATGGAATATTTATATCGAGAAGATGTCAATTTAATGTAAGTATATAAAGTGTGTTCTCACTAGTCCTCAGACAACACCGAGTACACATTTCTTGTTTGATTTTTTTTACAATTACGAATACAAATTTTTGCTTTCTGGGAAACATTTCTTACACAATGTGTACTTATTGTTGAGATAATAATGAGACTTGAGTCAATGGTATTGAAGAGCAACTTTTTAAATAGTGTTTAGGTTCTCCAACGTTTAGGGCGGGGAGCTAATTTCATTTAGGATTTTGTCCTTTAGGTTGAGATCGCCTGACAGTAATCACATGACTTTTAGAACAGGGTTTTATGTGAAGACGGGAAGCCTGCCGTGGTGCCACTTTACATCCTGTTGTTTTGCTGCGACACCGAGCTCATGGCCCCGCTAACGGCCGCGTCTGCTGCACCTGTAGCTGCAGCCTTGCCAGCGTCCCGGGCTGCGTTCTGCACGGACGGGTTGGTCACCACGCCATGGGCAAACTCCTGTTGGGCCTTCTCAAAGCTGGCGCCTGTGCGACGGTACAAGGAGTGTACCTGGGTGGGTGTGGGATAACACGGGAAACAAGTCAGGTAAAAGCAGTGTTGCGTGGAGTCCATCACAAGGGGCCACAAATCCTCACAACTCATTCACAAGTCCTTCAGTCTCAAGTCAAGTCACAAGCTATTCAAATGCACTGTGACGAAAGCATTCCTCGGTTATTGCTCATCATCCACTGGTACTTGTGACTGTACTTGTGACTGTACTTGTGACTGGACTTGTGACTGGACTTGTGACTGGACTTGTGACTGGACTTGTGACTGGACTTGTGACTGGACTTGTGACTGGACTTGTGACTGGACTTGTGACTGGACTTGTGACTGGACTTGTGACTGGACTAGTGACTGGACTTGTGACTGGACTTGTGACTGGACTTGTGACTGGACTTGTGACTGGACTTGTGACTGGACTTGTGACTGGACTTGTGACTGGACTTGTGACTGGACTTGTGACTGGACTTGTGACTGGACTAGTGACTGGACTTGTGACTGTACTTGTGACTGTACTTGTGACTGTACTTGTGACTGGACTTGTGACTGGACTTGTGACTGGACTTGTGACTGGACTTGTGACTGGACTTGTGACTGGACTTGTGACTGGACTTGTGACTGGACTTGTGACTGGACTTGTGACTGGACTTGTGACTGGACTAGTGACTGGACTTGTGACTGGACTTGTGACTGGACTTGTGACTGGACTTGTGACTGGACTTGTGACTGGACTTGTGACTGGACTTGTGACTGGACTTGTGACTGGACTTGTGACTGGACTTGTGACTGGACTTGTGACTGGACTTGTGACTGGACTTGTGACTGGACTTGTGACTGGACTTGTGACTGGACTAGTGACTGGACTTGTGACTGGACTTGTGACTGGACTTGTGACTGGACTAGTGACTGGACTTGTGACTGGACTTGTGACTGGACTTGTGACTGGACTTGTGACTGGACTTGTGACTGGACTTGTGACTGGACTTGTGACTTGTGACTGGACTTGTGACCGGCCTTGTGATGCACTCCAAGGAGACAGTACATTATTGACCGGCATAAAATGGGCCATTAGGCCAAAACAAAAAAAGTCTCCGGTTTCTGGTATGGAGCTTGCCCAAAAAGTGGTGCGGCAACGCGGCTTTTTTTTTTTGTTACCTGATTTTTTTTGGCTTAAAATGTCGGCTGATGACTGCAAATGGTGCCCGACTAAACTTAGTGCAAATATATGGGAGTCCAGAGAGGTCACATAAAGCTTATTCTCGACCATAACCCAATCTAAAAACACGTTAAAATTGTGCAGCAGCAGGATTCCAGTCAAACCAGTGAGTTTGGCGGTTTTGAGACATCATCTTTCATTGAAATTTTTTTTTAAAAATTTTGCCGACGCGCATGGCTACGGCGACGCGCGCGCATACCAGAAACCGGAGACTTTTTTTTTTGGGCCTTAGACCTCGGCACCTTTACTCATAATTTTTTGACATAAAATCACATTTGGGTCTTTAGTTATGGTTTAGAATCACTATCACACAATGTAAATGCAGTGTTTGTAAAACACTTGAGATGAAATGAAGTATGTGGCAATGCAGCAGCAATGTGCATGTTTGTATACTCTTAATTCTACTGTTTATTTATCATTTCTCACTGTCAGTTCATTTCTCAATAAAGTGATTTACTTAATTGTTAGTTACTTGCATCACCAAGGCAAACAAATGCATAAAGGCAAGTTAGCTTATCAAAACAAAACTGCAAAAGTGATCTGGACTTCAGCTTAAAAATATTAACGTGAAAGCTTCTAAAATGATACCATATTGTTCAAAATCAACTCATTACAATGTTCACAATGATTCACTGGTACCCACTGCTGTGTCCGTGGCAACTGGTCACCGCTTATCTCTGTCACAAAACTTGTGTGTGGAAACTGCAGCCATTGCAAAGCATTCTGGGTGTCTTACCACCATTATTTTTGCAAGTACAGTACATCCTGTGCACATGACATTTGGACTGATAAAGACAGCGCTCCATCAAATATGGATAATGAGATGTCAAAGAAATGTGAGGTCACCAGAGCTCCAGGAGAGGACAGTGAGTACCAGAGAGTTTGCAATGACAGCAAATTCAAGCAGAATGATAGAAGCGTGAACCTTTTTTATATAAAAGACCATTAAGACGGCGAGTAGCGAGAACAGCAGGCCCATGATTAGCATCATAACGCCGACAGCCGTGTGACCTGGTGTTGTGGCCGCACCGATGACTTCTAACCCGTTAATCCAACCACTATCAGAAATCAAAGCAGAATGGAGGGGGAAAAGCATTATGAATGTAACAATGTGGATTACATGAAAGCTGTTTGAGCGACCGATTCCTGGTAGAGAGCTTGCACAGAGCGCCCTCTATGTGGACGGGTCTTTGTTTCTCTATGACACACATGATGTGAGTAGAAACGTTGTACATTCATTGTCTCAGAAAGTAAATTGCCCCTGTCCATAATGAGGGTTCACCGTACAAGTTCCCTATATGGTCTCTGTACACAGCAGATGGAGCTTTCAAACCACTCCTCTAAAGCTGCCTTCCACCTGTGTAGCGGGCAAGGTGAAGCCTTGTTTACAAATCATTATCAACAAAACAATTATTAATCAATTTATGAACTTAGAAATTACTGCAGAGGGAATTTCACTGAGAAAAAGAAAACATAAATCTGGGAGCAGGAAAATAAAAAATGACTGAAAAAAAATTGCTGGGGGGGGGGATAATTTAATTAAGAAAAGACAAGAAAACATTAACTGGGACACAAAAAATAACGGGAGTACTTGTGCATGAGTTTACAGCAGCCACTTTTTTTTTGGCCAATAGTGCTAGACCTTGGCAAGGCTCATTGGGGAAACGGGCTGGTGACTACAGTTCAAATGAGTTTGGCTACAATGACTCAACGTAATAACAATATAGATTCATATAGCGCACTTATCTGGAAACCTGATCCACATGATCAAGGCGCCTACGCACAAACAATAGTCATGCTCCAGAATTAGTAAAATAACTAGTGAAGTAGATGAGATTTCAGTTCTCTTTTGAAGATGTCCATGGATGTTTGACGGAGTCTGGCAGGGAGTTTATTCACGATGGCAGGGACAGACTTGGCAAAGGAACGCTGACCATAGCTGATTGTTCTAGTTCTTGGTTCTGCTAACAAGTACATGTACCAGTATAAGCCTGAAGATCTGAGAACCCAACCTGTTTGCTTGAGGGAGATAAGCTCATGGAGATACTGAGGAGCAGGACCAAGCAGGATCTTAAACACAAGGAGGCAGATCTTGAAACTGATCCTCTTGGATGCCGGAAGCTGATGTAGTTCTCTCAGAACAAGTGAAATGTGGTTGTATTTTCCACATCAGACAATGACCGAGCTCATTATTCAGAGATACAGATGTAGCTGCAAGGCCAACAAGCAGGGCGTTGGAACAATCCAGACATGAAGAAACAAAGGCATGGATGGCCTGTTCTGCTGTTTCCTGTGACAGATACTTGCAGATTCTGCTTATATTGCTTAGGTGAAAATTAGCACTTCTCCACAAACTTGCGATGTGCGAATCCGTACTGAAAAGACGGTAAAAAACAACTCCCAGATTTCAAGCACAGTGGGAGACTGACAACTCGTGGTTCGTGATGGTGAGATGTGGTGAGATGAAATTCGAGTGATCAAATTGAGATCCAAGTATGAGAATCAGTGTGTTTTCGGCATTGAGACGTAGAAAATTGCAACTCATCCATGACTGGAAGTGGCAGAGGCAGTCATGCATCTGGTTGAAGGATGTGGCGGTATCAGCATCAGGTGAAAAGGCCAGGTAAAGCCGAGTGTCATCAGCAAAGAAGTGGAACTGGACACTGTGATGTCTGGCAATGTCACCCAGTGGTAGCGTGTATGTTGAGAAGAAAATAGGACCCAGAAATGAGCCCTGTGGGACTCCGCAATCAGATTTAGTATCAGACTTAGTATCACCAAAAGACACTATTTGAGCTCTCTCTTCAAGGTACATGTACATGTAAGGCTTGATTGGTTGTAGAGCCAGGTGAGTGACGCCAAGCCTGTCGGAAAGACACTGCAGTAGAAGCTGGTGATCTACCATATCGAAGGCGGAAGATAAGTCAAGAAGAACCAGAAGAACCATCTGACAATTGTCGATGGCTTGAAGGATATTATTCCGACAAGAGCTGTCTCCACACTGTGCCTTTCTCTGTATGCTGACTGCCTATCCTCCAGGAGATTTTTGTCCTCTAAGTAACTTGTGAGTTGGCATAGGACAACTCTCTCCAGAACTTTGGAGACAAACGGCAGAGTTGAAACTGGTCTGTAATTGTACAACTATTGGGGATCGAGGTTCTCTTTCTTCAAAAGAGGTGTCACATATGCCAACTTGTACTCTGTGGGCACCTCAGCAGTTTCCAGCGAGGAAGTAATGATGGAACTGATGCAGAGAGCAAAAGACATCGCCAAATGCTTCATCATCCATGTTGGAACTGGATCAAGTTGACAAGTCCTGTTAGGAGATATGGCAATGATACCAACAATGTCGCCTATGGAGACAGGCTCAAATGTTGCTACACTGGCAGAAACATTGGAATCTGGCTCAACTGTGGCTGCAAGCCCACTAGTTGAATCACAAACTATCTGGATCTTTACTACAAAGAAGACGCTAAATCTATTTGCCAGATCCAAGTTACTGGTGCTAGATGGTAAAGCAGCAGTCTTTGAGATGCTCAGGGGGTTCTTGAACATCTTGTATAATTGGTTTGGATCATTGGAACATTTCAATATTTTGGAATTCATGTATTCAGTCTCAGCATCATTGGTCAAATGTTGCGTTTTGTAACAAAGGTGGTGCGATCTTCATGGGAATGTGACGCACGCCAACGCCTCTCAGCACACCTTACAACACGCTTGTAAGATCTAATGCACTCCGAGTACCAAGGAATGTGCTGGCGGAGAGGAATGGATTTCACTGGTGGATGAGCATCCAAGATTTCTCGAGACTTAGTGTTGTACAGGTGGACTTTTTGAGATACGCCATCTATCGTATCTAATGAGAGAGAGGTGCGTATATCCTAAAAATACTGGATCACTTAAAAAACCTTGTGAGAAAACTGTTTTCCTTTGCAGCAAACAAGACAGTCTGAAAGGAAGCAGCGGGTTCTGTATGTAGATACCTGTACAGGTCGCAGGAGGGAAAGCGGTTAAGTACATGTATATCGAGCAGTCATATATTCAGTAAATAATTATTCAGTTAAAGGGAATGTACAACAATTGCTTTTGCTGCTATTTTCAGAAATAAATGGATTTGGAGAATTAGCATGTTATAGCAAATATTGTTAAACTGACTTGTTTTACATTTTGGGCTTGTTTATGCTGGAAAAAAACAAGAAAACCAGTCATTTTCTTGTAGGCTGGTTCCCCGCCCCCACTTAAGATGAAACGGAGAAACGTAAAGACTTTGGGGAATTATAAGGTCAAAGAATCACTCTAGCAGGTTTGTACCCCTTCACAGGTGTGTAATCTATTGCAAAGAAAATGCGGAATAACTAAATATGAAAAAAATAGCAGCAGGTTTTGAACAAAGCCAGTTTTTTCCAACGCTGGTCGGCCGGCCAGCGTTGGAAAAATACAGTTTTTCTTGAAAATGTCAGCACACCAGGAGCCAAGATTTTACAAGATGCTGTAGACTGTCAATCCCTAACAATTCAGTAAGGTATTACGTGATAATTTGATCATTTCGTTTTTTTGATGTTTGCAAATGTTGTATCTTCCCTTTAATAGTTAGCAACAACCGCTACCAATTAGTGGAATTATTGCTTATTGATAAAGCTGCAGAGGCACTCAGCTTTGCAGAGTCATACCGATGCGTTGACATGACACGAGTCCACCAATGATTTTACATTTGACAATCAAGCGTACTGGTGCTCAAGTTATACCCAGTTACCATGGTTACCTTCATAAGGTATAGAACCATCAATACGGCCAAAGTGGCCCACAGGAATCCCATGACGATCATCATACCAGCGACTGCCCGCTTGCCAGAGGTTGTTGGGTTTGCTACTAGAACAATCCCATTGTAAAATCCACTAACCGTCCAAAAAAAAGAAAAAAAAGAGAGCATGTACATGTCAAGTACTCAAGTCAGCAATTAAGACAGAATGCCAGTTGAGAATGCCTGCTTTCAAGACTTCTCACAGGATTAGGGCTGTCCTCAATTTACTGTATTATACAAATAATGAATGTTTGTGAGTGCAATGGTAAGAATAATTTCATGAGGTGACAGATGAAATGTTCCATTCCACAAGGCGAAGCCGAGTGGAATGGAACATTTCATCTGTCACCGAATGAAATTATTCTTTCCATTGCACGAACGTGAAACTTTCATTATTTGTTTTATATAACACCTGAATAAATCCTTGTCATCTGATTGGTTGACTTTTAATAGCCAATTTATTCAGATTAAAAACTGTTTGAAAGTTTGACAAGGAGGTTTATCATATTTAATTTATGCAAACTGTTCATTAGGTTGAGAACCATTATATTCAAGTAATCTCGATTTAAAACAGCGCCACCGCCAGCAGCGATGACACCGTGCAATGGAAGTTCTATTCACCGTGCAATGAAACTTCCATTGTACCGTGCGTTGCACGCCGCGCGCGCGCCGTGCGTTAGGACAAATAATTCAATAACGGGTGATCAATGATCCACCAATCAGATGATGGGGATTTATTCAGGTGTTGTATAAACTCCAATATTCAACATCAACCGAAAATTCGAATATTTTTTGGCCAATCTGAAAACAATGTATTTGAGAACCAAAAAGAAATTCGCACATATATGTATACACACACGACTGTGATGTTATTTTATCGAAAAGTTGCAGTTTCTTATTGGCAGGTGCCACTTTTTTTGTTGACGGTAACTTTTGTCGACGGCGGTTCATTGTTCACATACTTTAGGTTAAAAGCCCCTTTTACAGTTATAAAATAGTTACTGCAAAACACTCCAGTGCCCCATTTCGTTCGCAGCACGCAAATTTCAACTGGTACACTTCTTCATGCAAACTTTTTACCGGTACAGATGCAGTTCCAGCAGGCAGTTTCAAATATCCGATTATTTGGTCAAACACTCTTTCAAGTAATCGAATCTTAAATTATTTGAAAATTGACAGCCCTACCCAGGATCTCGCAGTCGTCTAAATTTGGGTTTTTTTGGGGTTGCTGCTTGCTTCCAAGTACGGTACGTACATCTAAACCAGATGTCTGCTCGATGCCTGATGCTGTCATCTTAATGTTGTTCCTCTTGTGCACTAGTCTAATGTTGTGCATCGGGTCGGGTTGACCAGGCTCAACCGACCCCAAACATTATAGATAAAACAAATCCGAACCCAAATCTATTTGAACTCCCCAAATCAGACCCAACCCGACTCAATAAAATTTCAAGCAAAAACCGACCCCAAAACAACTGCATATCTGCCTTGGGCAACTGTGTCCGTTTCTTGTGCCTCAACTTACCGGTGTCACGTGAAAATTGTCATCTCTCAGTAAAGAATCATAACGTATGGTTACGGTGAACACTGTAACTAACATGACCTACACGTGTGCCTATATGTTATAGACAGTGCGTGATAGTCTGCAAACCACATGCACGTTCGCAAGGTGGGTTGACGTTGGTCGTTCTAGGCACAGTAACTCTACAATAATGTTGTGCCGTGTTGTTTTCGGTTTATTTCAGTTTATTTTGGGTTTTTTTACAAGGCGGCTTAACTGAACAGGTTGGGTCAGTTTTGGTTTCGGGTCGGGTTTGCACGACATCATTGTGCACATCTTTTTTAAATTGGTACATATGCCAAATATGAACTTCATGTCAGCTTGTATGTGGTGACACAAACGTAGACAAATATGGGTGAAAAAAGAAAAGAAAACAAGAATAACCTTAACAAAAATGACAGGTGTTTTGAAATGAGCCGAAACGTCTTATCAGCACATATTGGGGAATGACAAGCAGGAATTGCATGAAGTGGGGTGACTAATGTCTCTGTGATATATAATGTCGCGAAGTGTCTGCTCGTGTAGCGCTCGGGGTGTCAAGAATGAAACTGACGCGTTGAAATGATGTACTGAAGACGGCATCTGTCCATCCCTTATGTGATGAACTATTGCAGCAAATCGTTACCATTTTAAGGTACGCGAGGATTATTACGGCCAAGGCGGTCCATAGGCATCCCATGACGACCATCATCCCACCAACCGTCTTCCGGGAGTAATTAATTTTTTGTGTATCGGTCGCGTCCCCTGCCGATATCATCCCTATGCCGTTTAAAATGCCGCTATCCATGAAAAAAGAAGACAAAGTCATATTTACATGTTCCTTAAGAATTACATGTACACACCAGTAAGTGTAGCAACTTTTTTTTAAAGAAGAAACAAATTTTGGAACTTCCCAGAATAGCCTTCTGTTGGGGGGGGGGGGGGGGGGGAAGAGGGGGAGGTTTTATGACACAAAAAGGGAATGCATTTGCAATAATTTTCTGGGACTTACCACAATTCAAAGGCACCATAAACTTGCTCAAATTTAATTGTTCTAAAATAAGCACAAAGCACTGTACATAATGTAGGAATTAAACGTGGGTTTCAACTCCAATCAGGGTATCAATGTTGCTCTGTTCTTAAGCAGGCTACTTTGCAGTAACTACTTCCCTCTAATGGTGACTCGTGAGGGAGTTGGTCAGCGCACTTGATTAACCAATGGCAGGTCCAATATGTAGGGGACATAGGGACCTCATATTCTGAAGGGGGAACTCCATGGGTGTTGATATTCACAAAGCTCTTTTTGTCTATAGATTCAAAAGTCTAATAGTACGGCAGATAGGTGATGGGATTGTGCCTTTGATGATACAAGCATGGCATTTGGCACACAGTCAAAGTATGTCATGAGAAAGATATTTGGCTATGGGGCCATCACAGATTTGTCCTTTGAAAAAATATAGGTAGAATAACAAGCAACGACAGCCATTTTGACAATTTTGAAAATTGCTTGTTATTCTACCTATATTTTTTCAAAGGACAAATCTGCGATGGCCCTATAGCCAAATATCTTTCTCGTGACATTTTCTGACTGTGTGCCAAATGTAATGCTTGTATCATCAAAGGCACAATTTTCCCAATTTGACCCCTATCTGCGCCACTATAAGGGGGGGGGGGGGGGGCAACAAGGAGAGGGGTGGGGCACAGACTTTTTAGCCCCTTCCCTGTCTCCCACGAGCTAAGTGTCAAAGGTTTTGACAACAGATTCTTTTGTAACAAACACACCAAGGACAATAAAGACAGACAAATGTCCCGACGGAGAAACAAACATCCTACCTGGATCCCCACTGGTCTACTCCTATCGCTTGCACAACTGTGCAGAGGAACTGCGCAGCGAAGATGAAAAAGAACATGAAGAAATTGAAGGAACTATCACTCCTGCAAAAAAAAGAGAGAAAAATAAAGAAATTTGAAGGAATTTGAGTATGATGGAACCCCTAATATAATGTTCAAAGTTTCTTGTGCGGGGGCTTGTGCCTTGTTGAAATATAATTGAACAATCTGTATTTATATAAAGTCAAAGGAATTGAATAACTTTTTTTTTTGAAAACTCACTTCCCCTTTGTCTTTCTTTCTTTGAAGAAACTGGTTTTAAAACCATGGCCAAGTATTTCTTCCAAGGGAGGACAATTTGGGCCCTCAAATTACAGCAAAAAATTGAGATTTTTTGGCGTGTTCGCACAAATATAGCAGCAGCAATGAACAGGAAATCAAGAGAATCATTTGGCAGTAAGAGGTTTCCTTGATTTTTGTACTGACATTAGGTAATCATGATGTGGTCTTCTTGTGTGACATAGTATACAAATATTGAGTGGCTCAGAGTGAAAAGGGAGGAATATTATCACAAAGTAAAATCTGGACTTTTCCATTTCACGAGGCAAAACCGAGTGAACTGGAAAAGTCCAGATTTACCGAGTGATAATATTCCTCCCATTTCACAATTTAAAGTTACTCAATATTTGCTTTATATAACTGACATATAGATCCTTGTCATTTGATATACATGTACATGTATTTGAACTTTTATTTCAATACAAAATTGGTGGAAAATGTATTTCTCCCTTTCAAACCACCCCTTCATGAAAATGTTTGAACCCAACTCTGTAGCGCTGGCTCTTTGGAACAAATGCTGAACGCGCACACCCAGCATGCATTTGCACACAAATACCGCGTCTTGGAACAAGAACGATCCTAACTGTTGGATATTACCGGTATTTCCCATTCCCCATGGGCGAATGGGACATTTTGAGCCCCGGCATGAATGGGAGCAATAACAAATGTCATGTGATGCGAGTTCCACCAATCAAATGACAAAGATCTGTATGTCAGTTATATGATACCAAAGTAATGACAGCAAGGTACCGATCCTTATAATAATGTGTGGTTGAGCAGCATATGCTACACTGTGAATGTTGATGTAGGCATGTGTGCATTGTGCTGTGAATATGGAGAGCACTGATATGATAACAGTTTTCCGAGGATGATTTGCACTGAATACGTTCCGGCTAAAGTGTCAACAAAGGACGGTGTGACAAAGTTCTACATAAATGGGATTGTTTGATTGGATCAGATCTTTTTTTTAACAATTCAAAAATTTTCAAGCAGTTTGACATTTCAAAAGAGGACTGAAACTGAAACTTAAAATCTGGCCCAATGTATCATTTTATCTAAAGAACTTTGCATGGTGTCCACTTTTGCTCGCACCATGCCAGACCTACATGTATGAATACATTACCTAAAGGCCTTGTACATCGGCCGATACCAGCAGATGAATGAACACGGCGTCCACAGGACAAAGAAGAGAATGGACAAGCCGAATGTAATGCCGCTATTTCCGCCGCTGCCAACGGCCAAGTACGACAGTGAGACGATCAAGTTGAGGAACAGGAAGAGGACGTACACTGCAGATGAGGATGGGATGACACAGACAAAAAAGAAACGGATAGAGCATGATCAATGGCCATGTGTGGGATGATGTGTTGTGGGAATGTTGGTCCTAAATAGGCACTGATCCTAAGATGGCGACTATCCTCAGATGGGTGTGATTCTCAGATGGGCATGATTCACCTGAAGGCTCTGTACATGGGTCGGTACCAGCAGACGAATGAGCAAGGTGGCAGACAAGCCATGAAGAGGGCTGAGAGGCCTAGACACAGAGCGGCCCCCGAAACCACACCAATGGCTAGATAGCTCAGGCTGATGATGAAGTTAAGCAAAAGCAAGGCCGTGTAGACTTCAGGTTGGGAAAAGAAAAATATCAAGACAGAAATAAGCAATACTGGGATGTTGGTTGCGTGAGGTTTGGCAGTCTGAGCTCTGTTGACAGCATCCTCTTTGAAAATGACGACCCTGTTACATTTGCCCTTACAAAGGCGCTGGTGAACCCTTATTTGAACCCTACATGTAGCTTGAGCTCTCCTTAGTCACATGTGTTACCAATGACCAAGTGGCAACACTTCTACTGTACGTGTCATGTGTGCACAAGGAATGCTATGCATTTTCAAATTTTTTATCACTCGATTATTCTAACTTGGACTTGATTGGATGTTCAAATATTGGAATTGTGCTGATCAAATTTACATGTAACATGATGCGCAAACCTAAACTGGCCGTTGATCAGGATTTGCATGGAAATTGATAAGGAGCCTATTAAAATGATATAAAGAACGGGTAGCAGAATGCAAGGGCGGATCCGGGGGGGGGGGGGGGGGGGCCAAAGGGGGCCATGCCCCCCCCCCCAAAACAAAACCAATTTTTTTTTTTTTATGTGACATCGCAATAAAGGCAGGCAATGAGTACACCACCATCTTTTCCTCAAAAAAACATTGGTTAAAGTGGTCAGAAATTGCCTCAGATCGCACCACAGAGCATCTAGAATCCAAATTTATTTTTTTGCCCCCCCACCCAAATTGTGTTCTGGATCCGTCCTTGGCAGAATGGCTGATATTTGACACTTGAAAAAGAAAGTTTTCAATTGGAGAAAAGTGGAGACACCTGCATCTGAACTATTTCTCTGCTGAAATTTCTTCAAACAAGAAATAAGGGAATTAATTGTTTAAGGATCTCTGCTCTGGCAGGGACAGGCTATGGGGACTGGAACATGGGTCTGAGCATGGTCCGAGGTAAGCTAGTGGCTGGATAATGGAGAAAGCAAAATGTTCAGAAGCAAAGCCTCGTACTTATGATACTCCGATATAAGCTTCGTCCCTGTCCGATATGGTCTTGCGTTTGAATTTTATTCATAAACGTACCTATACTGGTTTGCTTTCTTGTATCAAAATATTACATCAAAAGGCAACACATTTTATAAAAATTTTGGACAGGATGTACATGTACACCCTCTACTCTAGGAACTCTGAATTTATTCAAATTTCCTTCAACTCTGCTCCCATATGACGCGAACTGGGAATCAAACTCAGGCCACAGCAGTGAGAGACAAGCACTTGACACACTGCACCACCCGTGTCACCCTTCGCTATGTGTGACAGACTTGTGATGATGTAATCTCAGCAAATGGCAAGAAATAAAGGGAACCGTGAGGTCAAGCTGGTGCATGGTTGCACATGATGACGATGTTTGCTCTTGGTGACCGCAATCGGGCATCAATGAGTTGTACCCTACCTGATAGCTTTGTAAAGGGGCCTGTACCAACAGACGAAGCCCATGCAGGTAAAGGCAGGGGCGAAAGCGATTGACAGGCCAAAGCACAGCGCATGGTTAAAGGTCCACCATACGCACAACCGAGCCAAGCAACAAATAGCATTTAAGAGCATGCACACCATATAAACTGGATGGGAAAATAACAAGACCCAAATTAGAATGGTGCCCAAGTTAAAATGTCTTCCTTGCAACACTGTAGAAGCAACATGGCTTTGTCCCTCTTTAGTAAGCTGCTGAAAGGCAGAAATCAAACTTTATTCAAAATCTCCATAAATTACTATGTAACAACTGTGATTCTTGAAAACAAATTTCACAATAAAAAAAAATGCTTCGTTAAGCCCTGGTAAGTCACATTCTTGCAAGTCACATGTTGTTGCCGAGTACGCAGTGGCTGGGGCTTGTATCATCACTGGAACCGATTCACACACAAAAAAATAGTTCTACTTGGGTGTCCCTGCAATATAGGAACTTAAGGAAAGAGAGGTTCTGAAAAGAACCGAGGAAACTCGACGTTTGGGACAGTATACTCTGTCAGTTGTCGGGAGACTGAGTGATTCCAACAATGAAGGGTTGTTTTGTAGTACAACTGAAAGTGTTGGAATCCCTCAGTATTCAGACGACGGGCAGGGTATACTGTCTGAAACATTGAGTTCCCCAAACCTCACCGACTCACAAAATGTGATTTGTTACATGGTGCAATTGTTAACTTCAAATATTACCAGAAAGTACACGTAAATGTACTTAAGTGAAAACAGCAAAGATATGCAACATTTGCGAACATCGAAAAACAAAATTACCAAATTATGATAAAATACCTAACATTTGACTGTGAGTATATAATAGTCTCAAGCATCCTGTGAAACCATGGTACCCGGTGTGCTGTCATTTTGACGAAAAATGGAATTTTTGTATCAATTTCCAACGATGGTCAGCCAACTATCGTTGGAAAAAAACTGACTTTTTTGTAAGTATGTCCCCCAATTTACCAAATTAGTCCACATTTTGTTTGCAATCAGTTACACATCCGTGTACGGGTGGAAGCCAACTAGTCTGGTTCTCCAACGTCTAAAAATTGGTTCATTTTGTCTAAAGTAGGGTCAGGGGACCAGACTAGAAGATCAGCATTTTTTTCCTTGGTTTTTCCAGCATCTATGAACGCAAACTTTAAACAGGTCAGTGCAACAATATCATGTTAAATACTAACCCTCAAATCCATCCATTTCCGAAAATAATAGCAAAAGCAAAGGTTGTATACTACCTTAACACTTTATAGAATAGACACAGAAACCTTCAATTTATGTAATCATATCTGCCAAAGGGATTTCCTCTGCACTAACCCCATCTCCGCAATCATTCCAGTCATGCCCGTTTTTGTGACTTAACAATTTTTAAAAAACGGACACGTCCAATTTAAAAGAAACAAAAAACTGAGTGCTTGTTTTGAAACGCTGGCACTGGTTTCTAAACTGGCTATGCCACAACACTGGGCGGGTCACAAAAAATGGACAAGATATTGCATCAATAGGCCTAAGATGTAATGACGTCATGCTTTGTTTACATGTGGGGTTTCCTACGAGAGCCAGGTGGGTCAGGTATCTTCAGATTGATTAAACTCTTAAAAAATTGCTTACTTTTTGCAGTTGCGGAGTCCCAAGCTACAGAACACCAAATTCTTTTTTAAAAACATTTGGCACAAAAGTGTGTTGCCCTTATTGGCTTCTTTTTCATTTGAATAATGAAAAATTCATTTGAAATCTAGAAAACAATACTCACGGATCCAGATGAAATAGCCCATTTTGACGGTGCGCTGGAACTCCAACGGAATGTCCACCGAGAAGTCTTGGTAGAAGCACGGCTTGACTGGGCAAAAACTAGGCAGCGGTGGCCAGTTGTTGACCCGAGCTGAAACACAAAACAAACAAGTCATGCCATTATTGTAGTCATTTAGTAACCACATTTCTTAGTATTGTATTTACTTTTTACTGTACAGGGTGAGTAAAAAAAAAACGAAACCAAAATGTTGGGACCATTGTTTTAGTGAAGTTCTGCATGTAGCACTTTCAAAATCTAGGATATGAAAGCCCAATTCATAAGTTTTCTTTTAGTACAAGAATCATTCAAATCACACATGTACTGTTCAAGTTACGGAGTTTTAAACACAACCACCATTTTAAAGTTCTGTTCAGGGATCACAAAAAAAGGTTTGCATTCTTTCAGCGAAACGAAAACAATTCACGCACATCCCTACGTGATTTGTTTTTGTTTGCTCAAAGAACACTGAACTTTTTTGTGATCCGTGGACAGAACCTTAAAACGGTGGTTGTGTTTAAAATTCCATAACTTGAGAAGTACATGAGTGATTTGAATGATTCTTGTACTACAACAAGGTTTATGAATTGGGCTTTTATATCCTTGATTTTCAAAGTGCTACATGCAGAACTTCACTAAAACAATAGTCCCGACATTTGGGTTTCGTTTTTTTGACCCCTCCCTGTATTGTGTGACAGTACATGTAATGGAGGTAGTAGGCACTGATCTCTGCACTGAGTGGATAGTAGGTAGCGAAGTTAGTCGGATACCATTTTGAGATGCCAAAAATAAACGCATCCACAAACAGCCATTTAATGTAGAAATTAGTTTGAATAATGTCCATACATAAATATGTCCTTGTCTAATAAGGCTTCCCGTACATGTGTAAGGCTCGCGCTTAAACTTCCCTTTTCGTGCATGGACTGTTTAACCCTAACTCCCTAGGCCTTTTTGCTAGGATGTAGCCTCAATCCTGCAAAATCCTCCAATTGGCCTCATGAAAAAATAGCATATAGTCCCAATCCTGCAAATTCCTCCATTATTTCTTGAATATGGTCCGTGGAGGGATGACCACTGCCTGAATACTGCAGCAGTGACTGTCAATATGTTGAGGCTTGGCCAGTGACATCCTGGAGAAGTACGGAGGATTTCAAGCATAATCCAGGCCTATATTTATGCATGGCTGAGCAAAAACAACAAGTAACGCACTTTTGCCATGTAACCTCAATCCTCCAAATTCCTCCACTTTGGCAAAGAGGATTTTGAAGGATTCAGGGCGGTTAGGGTTAATGGATACCACTAGGCTATAACTGTGCTGCAAGTACAAGCTAGCAGTTGGTACTTACTATTGTACTGTGTGGCTTGCATCTGCTGTTCCCGCCTCTGCAGTTCAGCTGCTTTCCTCTCGAGCTCCTCCTGTCGTCTCAAGATGTCTTCCTGGCCTGGAGGCGGGGCCTGTTGCAGGACATGACAATCAGAGGAAGTCACAATCAAGGAAAAAACAACAATTGGAATGAAGATGTACAATCTATGTCAAATCATTCATGAGACAAACATGTGAATTCTGATGTACGATTTACGTGTCATTGTTCATGAGACACTCATGTGAATTAAGATGTACAATCTGAGTCAACTTGTTCATGAGACCAATGCCTGCCCCTAAACACAATACACTCTTTGATTAACAGCTCATGGGGCTTTGAAAACTAACTTTGTGTGCAACTTCTCCTCAGGATTCCAAATCATTTGATCGTTTAACCTTAATATCCACCCAACCCTTCAAAATCCAACAGCATGTTTTGTAGGAATCTGTTGGAGTGAGGACTGCACTAATAAACTGATTATGCTTTACATGGGGTCATGCATGCCACCATAATTAGAGTCCAACAGTTTGAGTTGCCATATGGTGTTGGACTTTGCAAGAGTGAGGAAGGATCCTAATGTAGTTAGTCACTCAAAGACGCAAATATCCAAATGACATAACATTTTCTAAACTCTGACCTTGTATCACCCGTTGGATGTTTGTTAAAATTTGAACCCATATCGAGCGGTCGCCCCCAAGTCAGGGACCTTAAACCTCTATAATCTCAAACATGGTATAAAGCCGAAATTTAAAAAGTATTGCACAAAAAAATAGCAGCGGCCTACCCAAATCCAAACAGAGAATTGTTGTCCTTGGACATTTGAGCAAAGAAGCTATTTTATACAGGAACTTTTGCTCACCGGTTGTGCTGCAGATACGGAGTATGGGGGTGGTGGCGGCTGGTCCGTTGTGGGCTTCATGACAGCTGGCTCTGTGGGTAGGGATACGACGGGGGTTGTCTTGGAATTGGTCTACGAGGGAAACAGAGAGAACATTGAATTACACACAGAAGAATGCACTGGGTGTGAGGCATTGCACATGATTCATAAGAATGATAGAGTTCACAAATACTTCAGTTTGTCTCAGTTTTAGAGCCTTATTTAAGTACTGTTCAATACGTTTTCTTTTACTGTACATGTAAATGTACACATGTATGTATGTAGACAGTACCTGAATATACTGGTATTCAGTATGGATAACTTCTCAGTTTGTATGCTGTACATTACATCAAGAGGCCGTGGCCACCTTCATGTATGGTAGCCACACCACATTTACATGCTGGAATCTTGTGGTCTTCTTACACAAATTCCATTTTCATGGAAATCGTACATGTAAATGTATGCTGTGTAATAGTACCCATCTAGTATCTCAACACGAGCTCTCGGTGTCATCAAATCAGTGCATTGCTGTATCATGTTACCCATACACGTATTAAAACATTTTGAACGTCTTGCAGTATATTACAATTTTAAATTACCAGTAACAGAATAAAAATGCAATATTTCAATTCCTGTTACTTGTTTATTGAAATTATTCAAATTCGCTTTTCACTCTACTCACTGAATTTTTTTCTTCTTAAAAGATATGCTCCATGGAGAGAACCACATACAATGTATGTGAACAATTTCTCACACTAATGGCTTAGACTAGAAAATCTTAAATAAACATGAACATATTGTACGACACTCCATGCATGTTAACAAGTACGCATGTTGCAGAATGCAGTACTAATGTGATTAATATTACTGAATAGTACCGGTACATGTACTGGACAGTAGGGGGTTTTCTCGACTAAGCTTACTACATGTACGTAGCAACAATGGAGTTTTCCCATAGGCAAAGGGCATACGTGCGCCCCATGCTACACTGGGAAATTTAATTTATCCTGTTTAATCTCCTTTACGCCTTTCCTGATTAAAATGATCCAGGGTTCAAATCCTGGACACAATCCTTTGGGAAACAGGCTGTGTTTTTGTGTACTTAGAAAAGGGTTGGTCAGTGTAATGCCATCAGTGTCAGGTTGGTTTTTCTGACAGATTCATTAATGTTTCATTGCACATTTGACACATTCTTCTAAGGGTGCAGCACTATACTGCAATGACCTAAAAATCATGGGAAATTGTACTTAATCATTAGAAATATTATTGTTTGGAAATAATAAAAACAAATTAAGCAAAATCCGTCTGTTAAAACGCAATATACATAATTTTTTAGATTGATTATTGCAGTTTTGAAACACGTTCTCACGGTCAAATATCTTTGTTGTATCTTTGCTTTGTTACACACGCATCACGTTAGTATTTTTTTAAATTTGAGTCTATAAAAAAAACGATCAATGAGATGTACCAGTATAATAATATTTTTTGGGGAAAAATATGTACGGGGTACAGTGAAATCTAGCAATAAGTTAAACCTCAAGGGAATGGGCTCCAAAGTCAAATGTTGAGTTAAGCAGAGTTTTGAGTTAGCAAATGGATTTTCTTTTCAGGAACAATTGACAGGAATAAGTTCTTACTTTATGACTTATCGAGAATTCACTGTAATTCTGAATGATCTGGTCATTGATGTGCGCATCTGCACTGACACACACACACACTAGTATGTTTGTTTATGGTGTACAGCGAGGATTTTCTTTTGTTCCTCTTCCCTTTTCCTTTGTACTGTATTTTTTTTGCAACAGCTCTCATTAGTTTGTACATGTTTTCTAATCGACGTTTTCTAATCGATTTGGTTCCTGTCCTCGATTCACCGATGATGTTGCACATGTGTTTCCTCGACTTACACCATAAACAAATGCACACCTTACTGTCATACACATGTAATGTACATGACTAATGAAGTATTGTACGAAGGAAAAATATCCTTGGAGAAGTCTTGGAGAACTGTACAGCAGAGATGAAGCTGGCATGTATGGCAAAAAAATCGGAAAACAGGCCGAACAAAAATATGTGTCCGAAATCTGGGCCGCGCTGCAATACATACACATGTACATATGCATGTACAATTAACACTTCATGCCCAATTTCCGGACACCAACTCCTGTCTTATTTTACGATGAAAAAATTGTTATATAATCAAATTTTGTGGGACACATTGTAAGAAAATCGGAAATTTCGCTGGAAAATTCAAAAAGTCGGATTTCCGATTAAAATCAGAAAAGTTTCATCTCTGGTACAGTATCAGAGAACAAAGGTAATGTGCTTCACAATCGGTAGTCATATGCACATGAACTTGTCAAACATGCAATGTTAACCATGCCTGACTGATGAAATATCAAAATGTAAATTGTACGGTCCATGAATGTCATAGGATTACATGCATGCTCTCATACATTGTGTATAATCTGGCACTAACACTCAACTACACACCATATGAGAGGAGGCGGGGGAAAATGGAGGGTGACCATTTAATTTTGCTACACCAAACAACAAACTATGCTCCTCTGATCACCAAATCTAGCACAAGCATTCACCACTACAAGAATCATGCTAAACAAAGCAATTGAATTGCATTTTTTTTTTTAAGAAATGAAAAGAAATGAAAGGGAATGCTCCACCACCTGTGTATTGCGTTCCTCAAAGGGGTTGAACTCCTCCAGTCCCCTGGAGGAATTACTGGTTGCTTGCTGCACCGAGGGATCCTACAAGGAAAAACGGTACGGTAAAAAAGAAATCAAGCAACATAAAACACAACGTCAAATCACAAGGTATAACCAAAAAACGAATTTTGGAAGGGGGGGGGGGGATAGAGGGTAAAAATAGACACAACAAATTTTGAACAAAACTGATCTGGCACAATTAATTTGCGCTGTTACATGCTATTAGAATGCTCTTTCAATACAAAAGTTGACTTTGCAAATCAGGTAAAATGGTCACTTAATGGATTGGATGGTAAATATCCTGTCTGACCATTACTGGTACATCCTCATGGGGTGGGGCTGGAGGGGAGGGGGTAGAGGGGAGGGGCTAAAGGGGAAGGAGTGGAGGAAGGAGTGAAAGGGGCGGGGTTTGGGAATCCACTGTTTTCAGAGCCCAACTCTGCTGAACTGCAAAGCGGAAATGAGCAACCAAAGCAAAAAACAATGTCTGTAAGCAACACACAAATAATACCATACCAGCGACACACGTCATCTACAACACATTGGATAAAAGTGACATGTTCTTGTGCGAATCACTAACATACATGTACATGTAGTGTTTTCCCAGTTTCATGTGAACACCAGTATGGTCTCATAAATGAACCCTGGTGCAGAGGGTGAAATTCCAACATCTTCCCACTATTTACCATATTTATCTGGAAAAGGAGGATTTTTTTCCCAAGTCAAATTTAGCACTGCAAGTGTACCGTGTCAGCTCAGGCCTGTACATGTATGTAATTTCAACCTCTGCCGATGCTTGCCATGTGCATGCACATGCATGATGTGATGAGCCATGTCTGAAATCACAGACAATCTGAATGCGGTCACCCCAACCCTAGCCTACTGAATCTCATATGAGACTCTCATACCCACAGTCAGGTAGATAATTTTTCCGGAGTTTGCTGAATGCTCAGTGAGCTCTGGTTATGTTGGCTAGCTGTTGGGTAAATTTGCACTCGTCAGGCCTTGTATTTCATATCTGTAATAGGCCTATTCTACACTCCTATTGTGCTGGATTATGCATGCTACTTGTACATAGAGAGATGTATTGGAACTGTATGCAACGGAGAGCTCTGTACAAATTTTTATCTGCATTTGTATCAACATACGTACATACTGACAAGAACCGTATTCAAGTACAAATGTACATGTACCAATAAATTATGACATTGAGGACATGCAATCACTGGCCCTACTGATTTATAAAAACAATGATCACTCATACATGTATGATACCCGGTACATGTATACTGTACATGTACATGTACCGGTATGTGTACCAATAGTACCATGGAAGAATTCCTCCATGCCTGTACTAGCACATAAAGAATACACAAGTGTGTGTGATTTAGCTATCGGTATAATATACAGATCACACTGCACACTACATGTACATTAATGAGCAATATCCTGACATGCAGTGTATTATTGTGTAACTACATGTACATGTATAATCCTTCATCACAGACATGTTCGTACATAAATGTACTGTACATTACCTTCATGTACATGTACATGTACATCATGTTCAGGTATAGGATGTACCGGTACATGCCCACTTACAGACATGTACAATGTACATGTACAGTACATTACATGTATGTACACATGTACAAATATGTGTACGTACATGTACATGTACGTACAGGATGGGGTGCAGACACACTGCTAAAGCTACAGCTAAAACAAGCCACCCCTCCATGAGCAATTCATCAAAATGCAAGAAAAAAAAAATCAATAGAATGGCTGTTTGTTCATGATAATTATGGAAAGCGAGTGAGAAACAACAGGCCAACTGCCATGCTTGGGATCAATAAACAAACAGCTCTCTGACAATTCTGAACATTATATCCCAAGCCTGTCTCATTTTAATTTAGAAATGCAAAATGGTGTTTTTGATAAATAACACTAACATTGCAGTAGTGTTTATGTTCATGTAGGCCTACTTGAATAGTCATGATCTGGGTGTGCATGTACATTTTGTACATTAACATGTACATGTACATTTTGTACATTGTACATGTACATGTACATGTACGTATACATGTACATCTTCTGGAACTCTTCTAGCCTTCTTCTAGCCTTGGTCAAGGTGCTAGTTGTTATTCATCCGGAGCGCGGTAAACGATATCTTCGCTAGCGCTAGGCATGCAGTCATGCAGTGCATTAAAAATACAGCGCGAACAGCGACCTCACGCGGCCACTATTTTTATGCAAATCAGTTGGACCCAATCTAGCGCCTTGGTTCAATCGCCGGCAAAAGCTTATGTTTTTCCTTATTTTGCGCTGGATTTCTAGCGCATGACCTCGTATGCGAATACAAATAAGTGTAGGCGGGGCTAATATGTGAAGTGTCCAATCACACCTTAATTGGTAAATCCGGACGTCATCAAATTATTTGCAGCTATTCGCCTTTTGCGGACGTGACATGAACCACAGTTTTTGTGCATTGGTGCCGTGTGCAGAGACACACAACGTGTACGTGTATTGAAATGTACGGTGCCACGTTTCACTATGCAAGTTTCCACGCAACGATCGACCAATAAGAAAACGACATTTTAGGTCAGCTAAGGCTATAATGAGCACCACCCCCAAAACCTCACATGGACGATTGAACCAAGGCGCTAGATTGGGTCCAACTGATTTGCATAGAAATGGTGGCCGCGTGAGGTCGCTGTTCGCGCTGTATTTTTAATGTCTGGCATGCATAGCGCTAGCGAAGATATCGTTTACCGCGCTACGGCCGGGATGAATAACAACTAGCGCCTTGACCAAGGCTAGAACTCTTCTGGAATTCTGCTTCATTTTGTATGATGCATATATTTCAACACATGTACATATTTGTTAAAATAAATTTGTTAAAATAAATAGGTGTACCGGTAAATGTGCATGAAATTGAAAGTGCAGTCTAATTACTGGTACAAATGTAGTTAGTGAAAGAATTTGTGTTGAGCTGCATGTCATGCCTGTGCATCTTACATGCATGTCTCAGCACAATCAGCATTGTACATGTTAGTTTGAATTGTAAGTACCAACATCTGGACATTAAAAAGTTATGCACATTATGACATCATCAATAAAACATCCAAACCTCTGTTTATTAACTACAGTAGGCCTACATGTATAGTGGAGTTCCCCAATGTGGCACACTTTGATGTTTTCCTCGACTTTCCTCAGAATGCAGTGTTGCCAAACCTCTTTGTTGACAAACTTCAAATTCATTCAGTTAAATAGTGGTACTTTTTACCCATAATGCTTGCTGTTGAACCTTTGTGAACAATTTTTGTGTCATGAAATTTAGTCCGAAATTCAAAAATGGTGGCGTATGGAAAATGGGCAAAAAATCAGAAGAGTGTTCCCTAAAGTGGCACACTTGAACGAATCTTAGAAAATTGCATGTTAACAGAATTTCTTTAAAATTGATAAATTCTGATAAACCATTGCTACTCTACTCACAAACATGTACCCAACTTGGGTAGCGCATTTTAAAAGGGTTCATTGTGCACTTCAAAATAAAATAAAAAATCATGCCAAAATAAAAGCTCTCTGTTAACTTTGAAATGGCTACGTAAACTTAAGATTTATAAACAGGAATGTTCAGAGCTTAATGAAATTTAACTTTTTATTGTGAAATTGGAGGTAAAGTTTTTGCTCTGGCAAGGCACTACATGTACATGTACAGGCAAACAAAATCAAAGTGCGCCACGCTAGGGACAGCACCACGGTAGGGGACATCAACAATACCGGTACATATATACCACAAATATAACATACTAACATGCACACGTACATGTACAGTGTGAACGTACATGTACATGTACACACTGTCAGCCGACCAGCGTTGGAAAAATACTGTTTTTCTTGAAATGTCGGCACACCAGGTGCCACGATTTTACAGGATGCTTTAGACTGTCATTCCCTAACAATCCAGTAAGGTATTTCGTGATAATTTGCTCATTTCGATTTTTGATGTTTGCAAATGTTGTATCTTCCCTTTAACCAGTTTTCCAGAAATGCAAAACAGGTGGTTGGTGTTATTTAAAATTTATTTAGATTCTAAATTTTGTGTGTATTACATGACTCTATCAATGCACAGCGGGCATGCATGGCATGGGTCTATGTGCAAAATTGGGTCACACTTAGCCTGATATTCAGCACCAGGAGAAACTATGTAAGCATATTCAGCTGTTACTTCACTTCGTTACTTATGCATGCTGTGGCGTTATCAACATCTGGTGAAATATTAAGTAGTTGAAATGCAAATAAACGTTGTCTGGTTTACATGCACACGTGTACAGTACCTGACAATTTTTACGACAAGCGATACCATATTGTTATTTATAAATTATAATACCGATACAGGATGCATGTATGCACAGAATACCGCATGCGAAATTACTCTTAGGAGTTACACACATTTCTAATTAGGTCCTTCTTGTATGTACGTAACGAAGCATATGAATTTTTTGAGATGAAAGGATTGAGTGCTAAGTTTGGAACAATGTCACTGCCAACAGCTGTGTTGAAGCTAGGACTGCCGGAGAAGATGATGGGGATATCGGACAACGTTACCAGATATTTGGTAAGTGGCGCAGAGTACCAGCTCGGTTGGTAACAAAAATTACTTGATTTGCATGTTTCTACTCTGTGTGGATTACTTATTAATTGTATGATAGGGGGCCTACACTTTAGCATTTTGTTTTGTTTTGATAGGGTTTCAAAATAAAAGTACTGGATTTAGTTTGTTCCTGACCATGCAGAATGGTCTTGTCTACATGTACATGTATGGAAATTGTCAAAGGAAATTGTTTTCCCAAGATGAAAAAATACGAATGCAGAAACTAGCCAATCACTGATCCAGAATACAATATTGCATACATGTACATGTATGTAGGTGCTCATTGATTTAAATACTTTTCCAAGAAAAAAAAGCCCCAAAGTTCAGAGGTTCTGCCTCTTTTGTGACTCACACAACGGTGTGACTATGGTGTGACTAACACAGCAATCCTACATTGCATTCATGACAATAATACAGGTACATGTATCATGTGAGTCTGACTGCATTGTTGACACTCCATAGACTCCAACAGGACCAGCAGACACTATTAATACTGGCATAACCACAAGTACCCGCAGCAAGCACCAAAGTCAAATACCGGTACAAAGGTCATAATACACGTACATGTATTCATCACTACTGTTGTGCTAAGTCAACATTTCCTTAACCCAAGGAACTGAAAAATTGGAAACAGAACTTCTGTACATTATGTGAGCAATTCAAATGAAAACTGTGCATTTGTTCAGCAATTGGCACAAGTTGACGTGGTGAAACTTTCTTGATGAGATCATTTCTTGTCCAATTCACAAGGTTTCTCGCATAAATAGGCCTATCTAACTTCAAACCTGGAGGTAGATTTTTGAGGTTACTTGTGGATTTTGAGGGATGTGGGAACTCATGTATAGCTCTTCCCTGTTTCTATAGCAACACAAACCACTTTCTAGACTAGTGAACTTCACATACACGTATTTCAGCATCTTAAAGTTTCAGTGTTCTTTGCAAGGTATTTGAGCATAGCAAGCAGTTACATTCATACACATGTACATCATTTAAAAATACATGTACGTTTTGAAAAAGTCATTTCGGTATCTGTGTCTTTACAACAAATTGGGGGTTATTATGCCCGAATTTGGGCTATCACTGATAACCGACAACAACTAGTGTCTTTAGTTTTATGGAATACATTGTCAATCTACTCGGTCAATTATAAACAAAACTGAATAGGGCCTACCGGAACATTAATTTAATTCCAATTAAATGTCATGATATATTCCAATTAATTTCTTTGCCACGTGTGAGCTGAATGTGAGTGTAGGCCTATCTTATGTTACTTTGTTAGTACAAAACTACAAATCTTGTAAGCACCGTCCATATATTGATATTACATGTACTTGATTATTCGATATCATTTTGATATCGATATCGCCGATTCCATTTTCAAAATCATATCAAAATATTGAAATTTTGGATATTGAGGAATATTGAAAATATCGAAACTGCAGAATATTGTCAAAATTAATCTCCTGTTTGTGTTTTTACTTTGTGTTGAGCGTTTGCTGGTGCTGTAATGCAATAAAACTTGGCGGCAACTTGTGCTGGTGACTCAAAAGAAAAACACTGTGAAATGCCAAGCGGTGTGGTTTTGTGCTCTGCATTTGCTGGAATTCGCAGTCTCTCCAGAGTAACATCTCAAGAGAAACCGCCCATTCTGGACAAGATTTGTTTAAAAAGTTTTAGCAATATGCTCCAGCGACAGCCGTGGAAAATTGGGAATTAAGATTGGTTTTTAATTTTTTTTTAATCAAAGTGTCATCTTTTGCATGTTATGGTACATGTACATACTTTTACATGGGATAATTAAAATATTGAATATTCTCTCTATTTTGAATTTTGGATATATAGATTTATTGAAAATTCTGATATTGACAGTGCTTACAATCTTGAGAAAGAATGTTGAAACCTGACACCACTTTTTTTCTTCACAGGGGCCTATAGCCTATCATCTCAATATTAAAAGGTGAATCAGAAATAGAAGGAGGATCGAGGATATCTTTCCATTGAATTCAAACATGTTAAATTTGCTACATGCTCAATAACGACACGTCATTAAGCATTGGACTAATCATGCTAACTCAGACTGTTATGTATAAATGGCCGACTAGCGATGCTTTTGCTGCTGCACCTCCTCCACTGCCATCAGTAGCCCCATAAATGTGGCCAATTTACTGGACTACTTCCATAAATAAAGGCCACACTTGGAAAATGTACCCGAATAGGCCTATGTAGAATTTGTCAAGTTTTTTTTTTTCACATTTAGACTTGGTTTGTACTTTTGAAGTTTATTGACGATTTAGAAGCACACTCACCCTCTTTAGTTTAAAGCGATAGAAAAAATAATTTATAGGCCTAGGCCTATCCCCTTTTCAGACTTTTATATTTTGTGTAATTTCTAGGTTCATTTTACACACGTTTAGTGTATCTAAATTCCATTTCCCAAACACAAAATTACACGCAAACTAGAATTCTGAAAAAAAGGGGGGAATAATTATCGCGTTAAAGAGAGTAAGCGTGCTTCTATAAACATGATAATAAATAAATTACAATTGACAAATTGTACGTACAAACTACAAGTTACAATCACAAAAGTCTAAATAAATTAATAATATAATATTAAATAGGCCTGTTGTGCCCATTCTTGAAAATCACGCAATCTTAAGAATGTACGCGCATTCTTGAGAATGAGCGCCCATTCTTAAGAACGAGCACGCGTTCTTAAGAATGAGCGCTCATTCTTAAGATTGGGTGGGAATATCACGTGCACAATTTATGAATTTTGCCCAATCTTAACAAACATTGCACGACATAATTATGTTAAATGAAATGTATAGCGGTTAAAAGGGAAACAATTTATATAAAGAGGAAAGAAAATGTTCTATGCTTCTGTACTCGTATAACTACGATAATTTGAATCAAATTAAACCTGTTATTATTGCTTTTTTTCTGCCCACTATGGGAAGTTTTGTAATAACGGAGGACTGGGAACTAGTCTGGGAAGTGCTTTGTTTAGGCTAGACAAGTTACAAGTCCCTGTATGTACATGTATCATATGCATGCCACGAAAAAAAAACGATGTCCAGAAGCTGCCAAAATTGCTCTTTTGACTCAAGATAGAATCCAGCTCTGCGACGTAATAGTGGGGTGTGAACAATAAATTGGTGGCAATTTAAATGGGAAATAGCATTAGCACTATGGGATGTCACATTCTTCATTCTCATTCTTCACATTCTTCATTCTTACGTTCCCCCCCCCCCCCCCCCCGCTTTTATTATCCCAAAAATCAGAATTCTTTCCACTAGTATTATTATGTCTCTTATTTTTTCCCGGTCCCCCCCCCCATATCAATACGCCTATACTTATCATATCCACTCTACTTTTCAGCGCCTTGCGTTGCAACAGTATAATTATTGAGAATCAGTGAACGAGGATGCAGCTAGACTTGCCAAGCGCAGCCGGTGCTCGGCATCGACAAGACCGTTATCTTGTCGCGCATTCTTAAGAATGTGCGCTCAATCTGGAAGAGTTATTTTTTGCAAAGATTGCGCAAGGATCCAGTTGCACATTCTTAAGAATGTGCATGCACATTCTTAAGAATGCGCGATTTTCAAGAATGGGCACAACAGGCCTAGCCCGCCTAGGCCTAGCATGCCTAGTGAAAATAAAAACTTGAAAAAATCCAATCCGAACAAACTAAAGTTCTACATAAGGCAAAATAAAAAAACAAACATGTTTAGCGTCCTGCCTCTTTGACAGAAAGGAAGGAGGAGGCCCTTTTTTTTTTTTTTTTTTTTTCAAAATGGCCGCCCGAGACATTTTTCAAGACAACGCGGCCGGGCTATTTTTCAAGATGGTTACCAGCTTTTTTCAAAATGGCCGCCACTTGGACTCATTGACTATTTCCACAGCTTTATACACGGTATAAAAGTCTAAAAATATGATTTCTTTCGTCAGAGATCGTTAAAATTTATCAATTTTCGTCTTTAAAAAAAAAAAAAAAAAAAAAAAAGGAGGCGGCCTCTAAAAAGGAAGCGGGCGGGGACGCTAAACATGTTTTTTTTTTTTACTTCGCCTAATCGGGTGCATGTTCCAAGTCTGACCTTTATTTACGTAGGTAGACCAGTAAATTGGCCACATTTACATGTATGGGGCTATGCAGTCAGCAACTCAGCATGCACAATTCATTTTTCAATGCAATGGCCAAACCACACGCCTACTGCCTGACGTACCGGTATATATACGAATGTCGGACACTTCGCCCCATTTCCACGTCGCCCCATGTCACTTCGCCCCTAACTACTTCGCCCCATCCCCACTTCGCCCCATTCCCAAATCGCCCCATCCCCACTTCGCCCCATTCCCACTTCGCCCCATTCCCACTTCGCCCCATCCCCACTTCGCCCCATCCCCACTTCGCCCCAGCCGTTACATGTAAAAAAAAAAAAAAAAAATCTCATCTATTTTTTTGGCTTAAAAAAAAAACAATTTCAACAGATTCACTCATTGCTAACCAACGGAAAGAATTAGCCCATCACCAAATGAACAATTCATAACCAACCTCTCAAGCTAGGCTCTCCCCTACCGACAAAAAAGCTTGAAGTAAAAGATCCAACTTTGTTCCCAACCCGGCTATACCAACCCATCTCCCACTTATCTGAGAACGACAATACCTTTGACATCCTAATTTCACTCTTGGAGAGTGAACGGAACATTTTCCTCAAGGCAGTGAGTTCCTTCACTGACCCATACCTACGGATTCTTTTGAATCCATCGGCTGATGATTTTATTCACAAGCCAATAGGAGAGGCGTCTCGGAATGGGATATAGCCATCATTTCTCTCATCTGTCATGTCTGTGTCTCGAGCACCTCATCAGAGAGTTTGTATTTTTCCTAAGTTTCTAAAATTGGGAGCATTTATTATCTGGGGTCTTTGGCAGTTTATTTGGTCTGCCCCCCTAGCCTTCACCTTTTTCATACTACATCATTACATTGGGCGAAACAGGGATGGGGCGAAGTGGGGATGGGGCGAAGCGAAGATGGGGCGATGGGGATGGGGCGAAGTAGGGATGGGGCGAAGTAGGGATGGGGCGAAGTGGTTAGGGGCGAAGTGACATGGGGCGACGTGGAAATGGGGCGAAGCGTCCGACATCCATATATACCACGTACCGCACCGCGCGCGGCGTACGCCGGTAAAACACGGCGGCGAACAACGGCAGCGGCAACACTCACCTGAAAAGGATTGGCGGCCTCGGGATCAGCAAATGGGTTGCTGTCGAAATCTGTCATAGTATATTTCGTCGATATCGTCCGAAATTCTGGCTTCAGAGCCCAGTGATACAATTACAGCTTCTACGATGAATCGGGAAAATCTTAAGATGTGTTTTCATCTGGCGTCCGAAAATAGCTCGATTACCACTTGTCACGGGAAAATGGCGGATCGTTATGAACCGGTACTGAGCATGCGCGTTAGTGTAACTCGTGACGTCTAATTGTAAATTTAAAGGCGGATCGTGGGTCATTCATGTGCAAAATAAACGTGCCTTTTTGCACATGTACGTGTATGAAAAGGCATATATGCATGTATACGTCAGTTCTGTTTGAAGGTTTTTTTCTCCAAAAATTAATTAATCAAACAACCAAACAACCCGGCTACAAACTAGCCAATCATATCACAAAATCAAAGGGAAAAATAATTTCTCAATTATTGCTGCCGTAACCAAATCCATTATGATTAAGTATAATTAACTTCATTTAGCCTCTGATGTAATAGTTTTAATTAATTTATCCATGGAGGAATTACGAATCAAACGATTTTTTTCATGTTAAAATTTATCTTTAAATTTGCCTTTTTTGCTTAAGTTTTTTTTTTATAACTTTATAATATGTTTCTGTACATTTTTAATAGAAATCAAATTTGGATTGTTTTAATTAATTAATTATTATTATTAATTTTATTATTTTTATTATTATTATTAGTAGTAGTAGTATCCAAGCGGAATACATTTTTCGAGACTATGATATTATTAGTCCAAAGAAAAGCAGTTTAGCCACTTTGTCTGTTGTAGGTTTCCATCGCTGGTGATGATGCACCAGGAGCTAGATCAGTGGTACGTAGTTTCCTCCTGAAACATCCTCTACTGACCTCTAGGGACCAGGAGGTCACGGGGAGGTTTCGGCATCTAGGTCTCGGTGGACCTAGATGGTTTGGTTTAGGAATTGACGGGTGATGTTGCATGTTTGGAGGATGACTGTCCGTGGAGCCTAGGGTGTGACTGTACCCCAAGGAGAGAAAGAAATGTTGAAGTCCCAATAATCGATAGTCCCTTTAAGGTCTCCTTGATGTTAAACGATTAAAATTAATCAATCCAGTTGATGACGTAAAACTAAATCGTTCCCAAAATGTATGGTGCACGTCTACTTTGTGCATCTTTGAATGTTGTTATTGCACGAACGAATGGATACGAGGTTGACAATATTTAGTTGCAGTTTCGGTCCTGCGGTGCGGCGGTGGTGTTGTGTGCAGCTGTTTTTTTACGTGATTTTGTCGCTTTTTCTGCACAGGATTACGAGAATCTGAGCACCATGGCACATCACAGCCAGGCCGAGCAGCGGTCTTATGCCAACGAGAAGACCCCGTCAACTGGCCCCATGGAGCCAGATGTCGCCAGCGACCCTGCAAGTGGCGGATTCTTTGCTGCCGACTACAAAAAGTACGCATACAAAAATGTCTACGTGGGCGTGTTAAACGTGGTGTTATTAATGGTTTGGCTTGTATTTACGACACTTTCGAAGGTGTCGCAGCGCTGCGCTTCTGCACTCACACAGGCCGGCCTCCAAAACATGCATGCATAGTGATTGTCAATGATAATGTCAGCTTATGGCTGAATATTTAGAAAGGCGTAGACCAGTGCTTCCTTCTCAATGTGAAAATGCTTCACGTGTATCTTGACCTGACTTTTCCATTTGCAGGATATTTTTTTGGGGGGAAAAATGAAATTTGGAAACTTATTTTAATCGCAGTGGCTATCGTTACGGCAGCCGTAACGCATTTCCCATTTTCTATCGTTACGGCAGACTGCAACTTTTATAAAAACATGAGAAGAAAATATAAAATTAGAAGGAAAAAAAAGTGAATTTGAACATTATGAAATTCGGACTTTATTTCCCTTTTAAAAAAAATCCTCCAAAGCCTCAGGTTAGAAAAGGAAAAAAATTCGAGTGCAAAACTGAGATGCGAACCCGCAACCTTGCGGTGCAAAATCCTACCCTCTATTGACTGAGCCGTCGCACTGCTCGCTAAAACATGGGGAAACAAATAATTATAAAGCTGCGTGTGCATCAAAAACGTATTGTAGAGGGCGCTAAACAACGGCTGCCGTAACAATAGGCACTTCGTATTTTAATTTAGGCCTAAGCATGTTAAGATGATTTCCGTGCCATAAAATTTCGAGTTTCACATCGAAAAATAGACTTGCTTTCTCAATTGCTGTTTTCCTAGCTGCCTGTGTAAAAGATGTTAAGTTTTAAATGCGACATTGAAGTTTGAACGAAAAAATACACTGACGTTTAGTTGTTGAATTGAATATTTCTAAATTCTATACAACATTCGGGAAAGAATTCCATATATACGTACGCCACTACTTTTTACAATGACTCATCAACCATCAGAGAGGGATAACATGTCCTAAAAAGTGACATTGGAAAGAATGTTGCAACCTGAAACTGTGAAAGTTGAAAGCCTTTTTTCCCCAGGGTTGCAGTCGTCAACAATCGGAATAAAGTAGGTTTTGCCCGTTACAAAAAAACCCTGTAAATATAACGAGGAAACAAAAATCTATTGCAAAACAATTCAAGGGCATGTCTATTTCAATATCCATTTCAATATTTTTTCAATTACAAAAAATAACATTTTTATCTGGATTTTCTGATCTCAAAATATTACCTTTGATTGTGTTCATTAAATTTTTGTTTGAAAAGAAATCCAGTGACTCCAGCATATTTTTCAAGAAAAGAAGAAAACTCAAGCAAGCTTACAAGCGCAGTTACGTATGATACACAACTATGCTAACATCTCTCATGATTTTTGTACAGTACGTTACTACTTGTCAAGTAAGACTAGGAGCAGTAAGGCCAAATAAAATAAAAACATGTTTAGCATCCCCGCCCGCTTCTTTTTTGGAGGTAGCCTCCTTTTTTCCTTTTTTTTTAACTGAAAAATGATAAATTTTAAACAATGACATCATTTTAGCCTCTTTGCCTGTTGCGTCTAGCCCATATAAAGCTGGTACCGGTATGTCATTTCCTGAGCCCAATGGCAGCCAATTAAAAAAGAACTGGCGGCCATCTTGAAAAATAGCCCAGTCAGGCGGCCATTTTGGAGGAAAAATTTTAAAAAGGGCCTCCCGCTTCCTTCTTTTCAAAAAGGCAGGATGCTAAACATGTTTTTTTTATTTGGCCTAACCCTTGATGTATGAAAACTTCAAATGAGATTTCATCAAGGTTAAATTTGAATGATGGATGTGTTTTTGTATTGCAGACATGAAGACTTAAAATCCATGCTTGATGGGAGCAAGGACAACCTGAAACTGGAGGCCATGAAGAGAATTATTGGGGTCAGTATTTCCCTTTTTTTTGGGGGGGGGGTTATACATGTAGATCTTCAGTCACATAAACCTAAAAAAAACTATTGAAACTGATATAATTTTATATTGTAGCAAAAGTACTATTTTCCACATGAAAAAGGAAAGAAATACACCTTATGAAATAAAAATTAACCTAGCGGTAAAGTTTGTGATTTCCGTTCATCATTGAATGTACTTTTTGGTCGTTTTTCAGATGATTGCAAAGGGAAAGGATGCATCAGACCTCTTCGCTGCTGTTGTCAAGAACGTTGTCTCCAAGAATATAGAGGTAGTTAGATTGATTTATGTACACACCCTTTCCATTCAGCAGCCATCTTTGAGGTGTTTTGGGTTATTTTTTTATTCAGCCATAGTAAATGCACAAGAGGTTTACTCATGCGTATCCCTGTGGAACCAAACACACAAACAAGAAATGACTCAAATATGGCTGCAGTGTAAGTTATTGACAGATTGGATGACCACAAACATTAATAACCCCCTAGGCCCTTTTTGCTGAGAACCATCCTCAATCCTCCAAAATCCTCCAATATTTTGCAACTCCGCCTAAATTTTTCAAAATTGTCTGACAATCCTGCCTCAAAATGCATTCATCCTCAATCCTCCAAAATCCTCCTCATCCCAAAATTTTGCACTCGTGTTTAAATGAAGGATAACCAACGCCAAATCCTTCAAAATCATCAGACAGTCCTGCCTCGAAATGCATTCATCCTCAATCCTCCAAAATCCTCTTGTGCTTCAATCACCATTCATCCTCAATCCTCCAAAATCCTCATGTGCTTCAATCACCATTCATCCTCAATCCTCCAGAATCCTCATTTGATTCAATCACCATTCATCCTCCATCCTCCAGAATCCTCATTTGATTCAATCACCATTCATCCTCAATCCTCCAGAATCCTCATTTGATTCAATCACCATTCATCCTCAATCCTTCAGAATCCTCATTTGATTCAATCACCATTCATCCTCCATCCTCCAGAATCCTCATTTGATTCAATCACCATTCATCCTCAATCCTCCAGAATCCTCATGCGCTTCAATCACCATTCATCCTCAATCCTCCAGAATCCTCATTTGATTCAATCACCATTCATCCTCCATCCTCCAGAATCCTCATTTGATTCAATCACCATTCATCCTCAATCCTCCAGAATCCTCATGCGCTTCAATCACCATTCATCCTCAATCCTCCAGAATCCTCATTTGATTCAATCACCATTCATCCTCCATCCTCCAGAATCCTCATTTGATTCAATCACCATTCATCCTCCATCCTCCAGAATCCTCATTTGATTCAATCACCATTCATCCTCCATCCTCCAGAATCCTCCAAGCCCACCAGGAGGATTTTGGGGGAGTGAGGTGGGTTAGGGTTAATAGCTGGACGACTCTCCTTCTCTAGCTGGCAATTTCAACAAGGCCAGCCCAGCAGTCAACATAAATCAAGTGACTGTTTTTAACAGTTGAGTGCTCCCTGCCTTCATAAAGTAGGATTGACTGGCTGTGATTGTTATGAAACCTGATGTAGCTATGCTTTGACTGTAGGAGATTGATAAGCCAGCTGGGCGTACCAGTCACCTGCTTTTGTCTGTTGATGGAATTTGACTGCCACAGAATTATGATCTGACTGTTGGTGACTAGTCCGTGTATAAAGGCAAGGCAGGGGAACAGGATTGAATTTTTGCCTGTCTGTGACTGATCAAACAAAAGGAGGGTTGGGTAGAAAACCATTACGTTACCCTAGAGGTTGTATGTTCAAATCCCAGTTAATCTCTTGTTTTTGTTTGTGTTATTATTATTGTATACAGGTCAAGAAGTTGGTGTATGTGTACCTGGTGCGCTATGCCGAGGAGCAGCAAGACTTAGCCCTGCTGTCCATCAGTACATTCCAAAAAGGACTGAAGGTAACATTGTCTATAAACTCCTTTCACACATTACTCCTCAATGGTTACATAGAGGGAGTTATAAGATGGTACTCTTGGAAGTCACAGCCACCATATTCCTGGAGCTCACACTGAGGTGATACAGGCCTCCAAGTGGCCCACAACCCATTTACACTTGAATACCATTCCAGTGTGTGTGAAAATGGAGGATATCAGGATTGTTTTAGGGTTAATAAATCTGTGAATCATACAGTGTTGGGCGGTTTGAGGAGAAACAGGCAGGGCAGTTTTGGGCTGTTCAGGGACTAAAGCGTTCAATTGACAAATCCACTGTGCGATTTCTGTGTTTGGCCATGAAACTGAGTGACTGCAGTTTATCCATGCACACTCACTGTGCATGGATAAAAAAGCATCTGGATTCAGCACACAGTTATCTTACAAATTTTGACCATTTGACTGTTATTGGAGCATTTGTCAGTAGCACTGCCCCTTCCTGAGTGTCCCTCCTTACAGTCTATCAACATTTTTATTATGTGATAAAACAGAATGATTCAAGAAATTAGAACAAACGTCCCCTATTTTTTTTAATTCAAATTTTTTATTTCTGTTGACTTGCAGTAACCAGATTTGTCTATATTACTTTTTATATCATCATCATCATCATCACGAGGTCGCAACCGAGATCTCGTTCACAACGCCACGCCAGGTGTCTTTATCCCTCATTATTTACCTTTTGTTACCATTTCTTATTACCATTTCTTGATGTCAGGATCCCAACCAGCTGATCCGAGCCTCGGCCCTACGGGTTCTGTCCAGCATCCGTGTGCCAATGATTGTACCTATCATGATGCTGGCCATCAAGGAAAGCGTGAACGACATGTCGCCATACGTCAGGAAGACTGCAGCCCATGCCATCCCTAAACTATACAGGTACAAATGAACAGACTCAAACTGCCATAGATTATGAATGCATCCTGCAAGTTTGATGCTTTTGACATTATCTTTGGCATGAGGCACTACTGAGGACACTGTTATTTTATATTTATTTTTTGTCTTTTGCTGTATGCCATGGTAGTTGTCTGGTTTAATGCAATGAGTATTGGTACACATTAATGAACCTTGAGAATTTGATATTGAATGCTACCCGACACTTTTCTGTTTTCAAGTCTGGATCCAGAACAGAAGGATCAACTGATTGAAGTGATTGAGAAGCTACTGGCTGACAAGACCACGGTGAGTCTTGCCTAGGGCGTCCTTTAAATCTAAGACGTACAAGAATGAGGATGTCACCATGTTACTATCAATAGCAATGCATGGTTAATCGTCACATATAAGCATGTGTTGTGTTGTAGAGGTCGTCTTTGCAACAGTGCACTTTGTGCATGAATATTAAGAGAAGATACCCTGTCACCTTGTACAAATATTCTGCATGAAGGACACCGCACTTCAGATTTGAAGGTTTGCATGGTGGAGATAGCTGTCAGATAAAGGTTTACAGTAGCACCATGTGACAAATCTCTTTTGTGAATTTGTGAGGTTCTGAAAAGAACCGAGGGAAACTCAACGCTTGGGGCAGCATACTCTGCCCGTCGTCAGGAGACTGTCACTGTCGACGGGCAGAGTCTCTTGACGACGGGCAGAGTATACCGTCCGAAACGTTGAATTCCTCCCCGGTTATTTTCATAACCTCACAAAAGAGATTTGTCACATGGTACCAGCTTAAACCTTTATCTTATGGACACCTCACTTATTGGTTGAAGCACGCTTGTTTACTGTTTTGTATAAGGAGGGGCTGGTAGACTGGTTCCTCTATACTTGTTCTATTTTCAACTAATTATAAAACAAAAGGGAGGGATTATCACAGAATTTTGTCAACTATTGATCATCCCGCTAAAAATATGTGAGACATTTTGGTAAAATGAGGCAGAACTGGGCAGAGGTCGAAACGGGTTTCTGGGTATTAGAAAAGAGAATAAAATTCTCATTACCAAACTGTTTGTTGCACTTCAATCAGACATTCCGTTGACAAGGTTATGGCTGATAAAAGCTTGCATTTATTGACAAAAAAGTTAAACGTCAAAAAAGTTAAACACTGAGAAAAAGTTGTTTAAATTTTGACTGTTTTGTAGTAGTGAAAATGAAAAACACTTTCATTCCATTATTTTTGTACTAGTTCTTGAAAATATATGGAATTCACATATTCATGATTACAAGTATCAGTAAATCTGAATTTGCTTTTTTCTCCAGCATAGCCTGTGCCCAGTTTGTCTCATTTGACCACAGCGCCTCACATATGAGGTATATTAAAACAATTACAGCATGGTTTATTCAAGCAAGGAGTCGTCTCTCGCAGGGGATGATTTCCACCACCTTCCTCCACTTCACTTCAGGAGGTCGTCCAATCAGCCAACACCTGAGGTCCAGTACATGGGCACCATTTCCCTTCAAACCATGTCGTAAGATATAATAACTAAATCCATGTACTTGCTTCCCACAGCTTGTTGCAGGCAGTGTCGTGAATGCCTTTGAGGAGGTCTGTCCAGACCGCATTGATCTGATCCATAAGAACTTCCGCAAGCTGTGCAATCTCTTGATTGACGTGGAGGAGTGGGGTCAGATTGTTATTATCAACATGCTGACCAGATACTCAAGGACGCAGTTTCTGGATCCTAACAAGGCTGTAAGTTTCAAATACCTTCTGTGCATCTCATTACAAGCCAGGCTAGGCATCTCTTGGTGTATTATTTTCTAATCTTAAAGCTAGGCTGCCGAAGCAATTCTCCATAACAAAGTGTATGCTGAGTGACAAGATATAATTGTCTAACTTGTACTGAAGACTTGCATGCTTTAGTGAATAAGAGCTCAGTTGTGGGTATAAAATTATTCCATTCCATGGCCTATGAGATAATGAAATGAATAACGGTTTAAAAGATTGATATTTGAACTTCGTCCAGTGGGACTTCAAATGGAGGATTTGATGTTGTAGCGCATCTGGTCCAATGGTTACAGCGTTTGACTCATGTGTGATAATATATGGGCTTGCAACTGAGGATCATGGTGTTTGTGTTCTTGGGCAAGACACTTTACTACAATTGCCTGTGTCCACCCAGGAATGTGAATGTGTACCTGAGAGGTGTGTCAAACTGTTGCAGAAATCTGATCTTGTGGCCACAATGAATTGGGTAAAAAAATGTGTGTTGTAATGTGCTATAAAAGCACCACTGTGTAATTCTCTGTAGAAAGCATGGGACTGATGCCAGTTAAATCATCTCACTTTTTCCATTGGCTGTCTCAAATCCTTGAAGTGTATAGCCTCCATTTAAAAATGTGTTCTGTTCTTATACAAAATGACTTTCACTACATTTGCAGGATATGATTCAGGAGGAGCAGGAGAAATCCTTCTACGGATCAGAGAGCGATAAGGATGATGATGAAGATGATGAGGAGAAAGAGAAAGAACCCGTCAAGAAGCCCTATGTGATGGATGCTGATCACCGCCTCCTACTCAGGAGTGTCAAGCCCCTCCTACAGAGTAGGAATTCAGCTGTGAGTCAAAATCTTATCGGGAAATGTTAATAAAATAAAAGTTAATGGAAAGAAATAAGGATTTATAAATGTATCGATAGTCGGGACATGGGACTGCCAGTGTACAGCATTACAATACAAACATCTGTATTGTGATGCTTATTAATATTTGGGAAAGAAATAAGGATTTATAAATGTGTCGATAGTTGCGACAAGGGATTGCCATTATAAAACTAAAGCTTGATGGTTGAGTGATCAAGAGGTCTAGAACAACTTATCTTGGTTCTTGGTTCTTGGTTGGTTCATCTCCTAAATACTCCTTTCTCCTAAATACACCAGAAACACCGGGGCAAACCCCTTCTCCTAGCGATAAGTGTCACTGGGTTCTTTTACGTGCATCGGATTACACAACACACGGGACCTACGGCTTTACGTCCCATCCGAAGGATGAAGCAATAATGGTTAAGTGCCTTGCTCAAGGGCACAAGTGTCCACCTGCTAGGCCATGACACTCCACAATCTAAATCTAAAATATATCATAGACCTACTGGGGGATGAGGATAATATTCTTCAACCAAGACAATTTGTCAACCTTGCCAGTGGCCGTAGTTGTTGGGAAAAATTTGCAGTCGCCTGCAGAGCAGCTGAATGATGCTGATGAGAATAGTAAAGCAGGAGATCGTGGGTTTCCTGACCTAGCTTGTGAATGTTGCCTAACAAGTACGGAGTATATTAGTGCCTATGCAAATTAAGTCAGTTAAGGGGAAACCTACTAGTGATGTAAGGAAAGCAGAAATAAATGACTCAAATAATTAGATCAGGAAATTAAAGTTTAATTTATTTACAAAAAAAGCATGGTTTCTATTTTTTACAGGTGGTGATGGCCGTGGCTCAGATGTATCACCATCTGGCCCCGAAAAATGAAGTGGGAATGATTGCAAAGCCACTGGTTAGACTGCTGAGAAGTCACAGGTACAGAAATACGATAATAATAACCAAAAGATATTTAATAATGTCACTTTAGTGCTCAAAATATTAAGAAGGTTTACAACATTTGGTAAACTTGAAACTTTCATGGGCATTTAGCGTGAAAGTTGCTAGGCTTTGTCTTCTAAAACACAAACTCCTAGATTTCCAAGGATCTTGAAGGGTTGAGATTGATAGAAGAATCCACATTTATATATATATATGCCCATTAGTGATGCTGTACCGCCCTAAACAACCCAGCCTGTTACTCCCCATACTGCCCCAAACCAATGCAGCACTAGGGTTTGGTGGGTTCCTTGAAGTCTAAATATCGTGTGATACAATCTAACAGAAGTGCTAATGGTGAAACAGCAAACCAAGTCTAGCAGCAGGCACTCTTCCAACCTGTTCACCGGTTGATTTTGTCCCACTGTTTTACTCCTTTGCTAGGGAGGTACAGTCGGTTGTTCTCAGCAACGTTGCTACCATGAGTGCCAAGCGTCGTGGCATGTTTGAGCCTTTCCTCAAGAGTTTCTTCGTCCGGTCTAGTGACCCGACCCACATTCGTCTCCTCAAGCTGGAGATTCTGACCAACATCGCCGGGGAGACGAGCATTGCCACCATTCTGAGGGAGCTACAGGTACTGCTTTATTGTTTCTATTATCTGTTTACCATTGCCTACATTTTCTCTTTTTGTTCCTTTAAATATTTCAATTTTCATAAAGTTCCCCATGTGTGGCTTTGATATTCCTATATGGATTTACTCCCTGAGTCTTATTGTTCCCTATTGTTCTTTGTTCCCTGTACCCAATAATCCCTTATACATGTATGTAAGTATAGTTTTCTCTAATGACCAATAAATGAAAAAAAAAACGATTTTTAATTGGTACTAATTTGTTATGGCTTATTGCTGCAGTAATAACTGCTATAATAATCACTGGTATTAATGTTATCAGTGTGAAATTATGCTTCTCTTCTGAAAAACAACTGTGTTGTCACAGGTTGATTTCCTTATAATTGATACTAAGGCCAAAAAAAAAATAGTTCTGCTTCCGATTACATGCCTTTCAAAAATAGGGTCGGTCGGTCGGAATTTTTTTTTTTTTTGCCAATTTTTTTTTATGCAGATTGAATGGGGTATTCAATTATATGCGAAGTTTTAGCCTGAACTATTTCCATTGCACTACGAAAGCTATACACAAAATGGCCACAAAAAGTGAATAAAACCTACCTTAATTATCGTCAATATATTTACGTTCGATAATTCGTAAAAAAAAAATTGTGGAAAATTCAGGTCGTTCGCCCCATATGCACAACGCTAGTCAAGAAGGGGAGCTGGCCAAAACTCCGAAGTGTGTGATGCACTGTACATGTACGTGCCCGCGGCCAACGGGTCGAACATTTCGGGAAACACGCTGCATTGTATCACTCCAAATACGAGTAGTGCGATCTCAAAATGAACTCTTGAGCACGGAAAATACATACACAGACAAGCTATATCAAATCTGTGAATTAACTTGCAAAAATGTTCTTTCTCCATCGGTGTTTTTTTGGCATTTTTACGATGTCTTTCTTGGCATTTTTACGATGTCGAATCCGACCAGTTGACAGAGCACGTGCCTGCGCCTGCATAGCCTAGCGCTATCGATCGCATAGCCGTGCACAGACTAGTTACCGCATTCTCATAATTGGCTCCTGCGCGGCGCGGCGGGAACCAGTCGTCGCCGCATTGCGCTTATTACGCACGTGATGATAGACATCGAATTGCGAAGTAGTTGAATCGCGAAGCGAATTTGTAAAAATAACGGAGGTTTCTTTTGGAAAAAAAGCGAATGTAAGTAAGAAAACAATAAATACAAGCATTTTTTGATGCAAAAGGGTTGTTGAGAGGTATTTTGTGAAGACAGACAAGACATAAGGTTTTTATTTTTATTTATTCAATCTTTTTTTTTTTTTTTTTTTTTGGAATTGCCGATAAAATTTTTAGGGTCGCAGCCTAAAAATAGGGTCGGTCGGGTAACCGGAAGCAGAACTATTCTTTTTTTTGGCCCAAGTTTCCTTGCAATAATAAAGTAGTTCAATGAATGTATTTGCATATTGCAAGCCGGACATTTACTTAGTTGGTGAATTTGTTCCATTCAAAGTCAAGACCATATCATAAGTGAAAAAAAAATGACATAAGGCGTCTGAAATCTACAATTCCTGAGAGAAGTGTTACAAAAATTCAATGCTCACTGATGGCCAAAGTGCTACTGTATTTTCAGACAGGGAATTTGAGGTTGAAAACCACGTCTAATGTTAACAGACCCATAGTCATGATATTTACAACTTTCATGTATTTTCTTCCCACTCCCCTCCCCCTATTTTTTTCCACAGACCTACGTGACCAGTTCTGACAAGGACTTTGTAGCAGCCACTATCCAGGCCATAGGCAGGTGTGCCAGTAACATCTCAGAAGTGACTGATTCCTGTATGAATGGGCTCATGGGATTGATGTCCAATAGAGACGGTAGGTCATTACAAGCATACCAACAAAGACTCTGTGCTCAGTCTGTTGAGGTGGCATTTTGATTGAACTCATTCATAGCTCAAGGCAGATTACAGGATTTACAAGCTTTTGATCAATTCCATATAGCATATTGACATCCTACATGTTTGTATGCAATTCCTGAAAATGTCAAATTTTAGTAAGAAAAGTTCAGCCCACTTACATCCCTGTCAAGGACTCTGTAGAAGACTGAGAGCTTTATAGCTTTATTATAACCTGATCACTACAGGTAACTTTATTTCTGGGAATCTACCTCTGGAAGGATTATGGTAAATCAATCAGATAGTTATTGATAGACATACCCCTGCGCAGATTATGAGATATTTTGAAGTTTGTAATTAACTTTGTACTTGTTTTGCAGAGGCTGTTGTGGCAGAGAGTGTGGTCGTGATCAAGAAGCTACTGCAGATGAATCCCACGGAGCATAAGGAGATCATTCGTCATATGGCCAAACTGGCTGACGCCATCACGGTGAGTGCTGGTAGCATGGGAGTAAATTACATCTCATGAATATTTATGAGCCAAATGCACTTGTTAAAATTGGTCAATGTTTTAATGCAGTAATTTTCAACTTTCGAGGTGTATAAATAAATGTGTCTGTCAAAAACCAGGTTCCCATGGCGAGAGCCAGCATCCTGTGGCTGATTGGTGAGTATTCAGACAGGGTGCCCAAGATTGCCCCCGATGTGCTGCGTAAGATGGCCAAGGATTTCACCAATGAGGAGGATATTGTCAAGCTGCAGATCCTGAACCTAGGAGCCAAGCTCTACTTGACCAACTCTAAACAGGTCAGCTATTTAGATTTATCAAGGAATATCCATAGAGCTGTATTATTTCTGTTTAAATTGTTGCCACCAGAACATAACATAAAAGGTTGCTTAAAACACAACTTGAAAACTTCTGAATAAAGTTACTTTCCCTGGGCTCATAGAGAAATTCTAAAACACTAGAAAATCCAAAATATTGGGAACCAAAAAAGTGCTCTTCACCAAAGTATTATTTATTGTAATATGTAAACATTTTCGATTCCAAGCATAATGTACAGCTTTTGGGCAGTTTTGAAAATTAAATGTTTTGTTCTTTAGCAAAAGTATTTATACTTTGCTGAGGCAGCATGAGCAAGGAAACATTTTTTCCTGCACCTTTCATGGTTGAAACAGAATTTCAATTTTCTGAAATTGAAAACAGGTCTGCTGGGCCCTAATAATGTCTTTTTCCTGTGACCAAAAAAGCCCCAACTCATTGCCCCTCAATGTCCAATCTGTCACCTCCTAGACCAAGCTGCTGTTCCAGTACGTGCTGAACCTGGCCAAGTACGACCAGAACTACGACATCCGGGACAGGGCTCGCTTCCTGCGACAGCTCATCTTCCCTGGAGAGAAAGGTGGCGCCCTCAGCAAACACGCCAAGAAGATCTTCCTGGCCCCCAAGCCCGCCCCGGTCCTGGAGTCTGTCTTTAAGGGTGAGTCACGGGCGTCATCGAGGTCATGCTGACCTGTTCAATAACAGCTTCCATCGGGAAAACTAGATTCGGTAACAGGCAGTGCAACTGACTTAGTTGAAAATAACGAACGCTTGGACTTTATTGTGACATTCATTGTGTTGAGAAGGCAAATCCCATACACCTACTCATGGCGTGGTGTCAGGGTGAGTTTCCCAGTTGATAGATAGGCCCAAAATATAATGTGTGTTTCCAGTAACATTGTCAAAATAGGAATGGCATATAGGCTATTAAGGATAAGGTTGTTTAGTAGGCAGTATACTTACAGTAAAATAATTGTATGCGTATATCAGAGTTTGTCTTACAGTCACTATGTGGACTTGTGAACAAAAGATGTCCACATAATGTAGGTTGTGTTAACGTCATGTGGACTAAGCCGTGTCCACATAACGTTTCGCCCTCTCTGGAAAACAGGTTTAGAGGCATTTTTGGGTTAGGTTTATCCGTGGCAAAATGAAGAGAAACACTAAAGGAAATCATAAAAAAAAAATTTGGGTTAAAAGAGTTTTTACAGTTTTGGTAAAGTTATTTTTTTATACCGAGTTTTGTTAACTACATGAAAACAAAGGAATGTCCACATAGCGTATGTAAAACAAACATGCGTGTGTTTGCGTATGTACTTGAAGTATTTTGATTTTACCATGCTTACATGAAAGTACTTTAATACTGCATACTTATTCCGCTTTTGTTTTGGGGCTTTCTTTTTATTAAAAAAACTATAAAAATCACAAAAATTGCTGACCCTATGAACGACCAAACTTGTATAGTTGGCCAGTTGATCAGAAACACAGCTTTGTTTTTTTTCTTCACCTCATGCTGATTGCTAATTGCGGCTTCCAATGTGTAGGTTATACTCAGTGACCAATGAAGTGCAAACAACCGATTTTTCCCAAATCAAAATCTCTCATTTTCTTTGATTTAGACCGTGACCAGTTCCAGTTGGGTTCCCTGTCCCACATCATCAATGCCAGAGCATCAGGCTACATTGAGCTACCAGACTTCCCTGAGGTCATGCCAGACCCTACGGTTCGCAATGTGGAGGTAGGGAGCTAGACTTGGTACAGTTGTCTGATGTGATGTGGTTCATTACACTTTGTACACCTTGATGGGTAACTCACACCTGGGCGAAACCAAGAGTGATATTAGTTATTTTGAGGGTGCTCATTTCCTTATTAACCCTAGCCACCTGGTTCTTTTGGCTGAGATCCGTCCTCCACCCTTCAGAATCCTCCAATTGCCACCGTGTAAAAATTGGATTCAGCTTCAATACTCCAAAATCATCCGTTATTTCTTGCATTTTTTTCAGTGGAGGGGTGACCACTGCCTCAATCCTTGAAAAATACTCCAACAATCATTGTAATACAATGAGGAATTGCCGATGAAATCCAGAAGCAGTGCAGATGATATCTATGTGTAATATTCCTAGCTAAGCATTAACAACATAATGTGCAGCTTAAGACCTAGACACAATGCATCTTCCCAAATCAAGTGGCACAACAATGGAATACAAAGCCTCAATCCTCCAAAATCCTCCGAAACTGCCTGGTTGATTTTGGAGGATTGAGCAGGGTTATTGGATCAGCTTGGCATTCTTTGGAGGTGTGGCTGCTCACCCTTGTAGTAATGTCCAAGCAGTAAACGAAGGGCATTCTCTTTCAGTGAACATTGAAGTGTTTTGAAGGGTGTAGTGGAACAAGTGTAAGAGAATAAATTGACTAAACTATATTTGGGCAACTCCAACATTTTTGGAATTAATTTTGATTCCTTCCTGTAGGCATAAATTCATTCAGGATTTGTTTCCAAATTTACCCAGATCAAAGAATTGGGACAAACTTCCATAATATCACTAACGCGTTTGAACAACTCGTGAACACACATACACACATACACCCTTTCCTCTTTAAAGTATAGCGGTGATGAACTTAATACAAGGTCATTAAAAGATGTAATCTCCGTCTTGATCATTTACTGCCTAACATCTGTTTTGAAGTTTCTAGAATCTATCGTTTAGGGAACTAGAATTGGCCACCACAGGGAATCTATTCCTCCAAAAAAGTGGAGACATGATTCCAATTCTAAGTTAGAATACATACAAATTAATTCTGATCGTGAGTATCTCAGTCTAGGCGTGACGCAGACGCATAATACTTTGGCTCTTTGACTCTACACTTTGGTGACATCTATGATTTGTTGTCCAATTTTTCAGGAGATTCACGCCTGGGCCAGCAACGATAAGTTGTCCTCCAAGAAGAAGCCAGTTCGTAAGTCCAAGTCCTTCTACTCCAGCAGCAGCTCAGAAGCTGAGGAACTCTCTGGCTCTGGTAAGTCCATCACAGATACAAGAAGACAACAATTCAGTTCATTTACATGTCATACATATTCATAAGCCAACACTCTTCTCTTATTGGTCAATGTCCCACCATGCCATGGGAAGTGAGCGCGATATGTGTACTGACTCCAAGCGAATCGGTGGTACTATACAACAGAACTTATTCTAAAGTCGGACCTGAAAATCTCATGAAGCTGAATATGGAGACCAAGCCAATATTTGATTTGATCACTGTTTCTCACTGCAATTCGTACACGTTACCCGACAGAAGCCAGCAGCGATGAGTCTGGTTCCGGCGATGGGTCCGGCAGCAGTACATCAGAGAGTGACAGTGACGGTACCTCCAGCTCCTCAGAGGAAGAGTCATCAAGCAGCAGTGAGTCATCGAGTAGCGAGAGTGACTCATCGTCGGATGACTCGAGTGATAAGGAGAGTGACTCAGATAGCGATGTGCCGGCTAAACCAGTCAAGAAGGTACAACTTCCGACAAATATGTTTGATTCTTGTATTGTGTTATTTGGATTAACCTAATACCTTTTGACACGAAAACCAAATAAATAACTTTTCTTAATAAAGAAATATAGCATGGTTTGAGGGTAAGTAGTTGATGATAACTCAAAATGAAATTGGAAGTTGACAAAATAATTGATAGCATGGAAGAGCTATAGGAGTGAGTTTACAGCTTCCTGGCATTTACCATGCGATAGTCTGCGTATGCATTGTTGCCCCATGTGTGAACTGTATATGTACTGGAAAGCACTTGTCAGTATTATATTATTTATTTCTCCAGGCCACGCCAAAAGCCACACCCACCAAGACCAAAGGAAGCAAAAAAGATGCAGGAAAAGACGGCCAGTCTAATATGCAGCTTCTTAATTTCGATGACAGTAAGTATATTTCTAGTTTGTGGAGGTTTTTTTAACCATCCATCAAGTCAATCTCTTGGTGTTTCGGATCAGCAAATATTTCTTGAACATTTTAAAGAAGCCCCAAGTAAGTGTCTTGCCGGCAACGAGAGCAACCAACCTTCTTTCTGTCTTGAGAGCGAGAAGCAATTGCATTTGAGTGTCTTGCCCATGGACACACTCAGTGTTATTTCCAAACTAAATTTGAAGTCTTAAACTTATTTGCCTTATTCTTTATCTTTTGTGACCATCAAGTTTTTTGTGGGAGATGAAGGGATAATGTTTTTTTGCTGAAGAAAAAAATGTCAGAAATTGTTTTGAGTGGCCAACTGTTCAGATTTGGTCAGTTTTGAGAAGTGGAATTTTTAATATGTGTACCATTCAATGTCCACTAATTAAATGTTCTGATCACTTCAAAATTCTACTTGCTGTTATTTAGTGATTATTGTTTACATGTCATTGACTAGTGTTATTTGTTTAGTTTGTCAAATTACTTTGATTTGCTACATAGTTAGCGATGTTTAGTGCTGTAGATGTTAGAAATGCAAAGTGGTGATGGAAAAGATATGCCCAGTAATGCTGCTGAACTTTTGTTTCTCTTTTTTTTCCTGAAAAATCTTTGCTCATACCTTTATTCATGAAACTGTTGGTACAAGTGTGCATTGCATTGGAATTGGGTTTCAATCTACATTCATGAATACCGGAGACAGTTTACTGATTCCTATTGGTCGAGAGACCGTCATGTGGGTGGTTTAAAATCGCCGGTAAAACACCACTGCGTTCTGCGCCACATTGCACAGCATGCCCAACGCCCACACAATTTCCATATCAGGAGATTCTTAGCACTATATGTGCGAGGCAAATCCCGTAGACCTGGCCAGAGGGGTGTTTCACAAAACATGAAGAAAAGTTGTCGAACGAAATTGTTGGAAATTTGTGAATTTTTGACTTATTGACTGAAAAATACTTGTTAAGTTTGGGGGCCTGGACATAGATAATGACCTCGCCTTTGGTTTGGGCCATTATCCACGTCCAGGCCCCTAGCTGGTTTTAAACATACTGTTTAACCCTAAAACTGAAGGGCTGAGTTATTTTGACCATCTCACAGCCAAGAAATTTCATGACTATAGGTCAAAGGGTTTTGGAATTATTGCTAATTCATATGCATGAATGGTAATTCTGCTTTGTATACACTACGTACATGTATGTGGAGAAATTCAGTGTTCACGGCCTGTAGCACAGGAAAAGTTTTTGCTGCGGAGCAACCTGTTGTCCGAATTTTTGTTTTTGGTATCAAAAGATGCGCAAGACTTGAGGCTATAAAGTCAGAACAGCTCGGGTCGCGAGCATGTTTTTCAAAGTTATCGTGGAAAAAGTTGAGGAGGGGGCGGATCCCCCCCCCCCCCCGGCCCTTTTAGGGTTAAAACCGGTTTAAAACCAGCCGAGCACATATTTATGCCCTTGGCATATATGAACCAGGTAAAGACAAAGCAGGGAAGCCATTACTTCTCCTTCTATCTACACATTGTATTAAAAATCAATCAAACAGAAGTTACAAAGTCAGTAAAATTACAGAAGGCCGTCATTTCATATGAAATTCAACCTTTGGTCCTTTGCTAGTCTGGTGCTTTGACATTGTTGTAGGACTAGAATGAGTGGTTTCTTACAGTTACCAGTCCTAATCAATTCATTTCATTCAGGGAATTTGATTGGTCGATACAGGCTCATGAATATGGAAGACATGGAATGTTATTTAGCCAAAGCAGTGTAGTTGTGTTGTAGTTACATTTGGGGATTTAGCCCATCCTAGGCTGTGTCTGAATCAGGTATTTAATAGCTATGGCTTCAATTGTAGCCATTGATACACTGTAGCACATAGCCATAGCTGTAGAGAGTGCCTGTTCTGGACATAGCCGTATCACCAGCCTGACATGTAACCCTGGTTTCACCCGGTGTTTTCTTTTTACCCCCTCGCTCCTCCATTGCAACCCACCATGCAACCACCACCCTCTTCCCTGTGCATGCTTTGTATTCCTTGTGGCGGTGTGCGTATGAATGTGTATGGTGCCTGACCTGTGCCAGTTGGTCCTCCAGTGCAGGCATCCGGAGCCGGACTAGGTGGCGGAATCCTGACGCCGGCCTTAGCCACCGATCTGCAAGGGCTGTCAATCAGCGACAAATCACCAGGAACGACGGTATGTTAAGAAGAAATCCTAACCTTGTGCGCCTTCATAAACACAGACTATAACGTATTGTAATTAACATATCCTTGGTTCCCGATTTAACGTACAGTTACATGTATACCAAAAGTTGGTGGCCAAAAGTCGCAGAAACAAATAACCGCTTTACCGGACAATCTTTTTGAGACTCCAGCGTGGACACTAAAGCGATGCTCCACTGTGATAAAAACATTATAAGCACCAACTTTCCAGAAGGAATGTTAATTATTGCCATCTACAAAAACCTCTAGATTCCCTTAATAAGCATTAACAATTTAATACCAATTATTTCTGGATCCAACTACCACATACCAGTTCACTCTGTCCTCACAGGTAGTCATCTGCTGCTGGCTGAAGAAAAGCAATTGGAGAAAAGCAGCTTGCTTGGGGACACGAAGACTATGATCTTTCAACTGGGTTCACACCCTTATATGATATTATATTGAACTAAAGTATTGTGAGAAAATCATAAACTTGACATAATAACTGAGCTTTCTGCCACATCTTGTCATATTTTCCCATTGTAGGTTAGCAGTGCCATGTTTACTCCAACCCAAACCTATGAGTTGTTGAACCGCATGAATAGCCAGGGCCTGGCGGCGACGTACCGCTTCACTCGCAATGTCTGCATCTACTCAGCCACCATGGTGTCTGTGGAGCTCAATTTTACCAACAGCAGTGACGCTGTGATTCAAACCATTAAACTAGGTCAGTCAGAATTGTTCTCAGGCAAACCTGATGGGTGCTTATTGTTTGTTTTCTGTGTATAGGAAAATGGGGAGCCACTTCTGTACATGAGTAATTTGGGACATTAAAAAACATTTGCAACACTGTACATGTATGCCAGCATAAATGAAACATAGACTTAAGAGTAAAAAACTACTTTTCAGATTTGATGTTTGCATCTTTATTTTTTGTGTTTCCGTATTCATTTCTCTGTTGCATTCACTTCATATCAATGCCACTGCATCATGAATTTGTGACATACGTGACAAATTTTCATTCTGTGAAATGGGAAAAGTCAAACATACTTAGAGTCCGATAAAAAATGTTTTAGAATCCAAAGTCACTTCACATTTGCTCTAAGGTTATATTAAGGAGAAAACTTTGGATACAAATGAACAAAATGTTCTTTTTCCTTAACAGTGTATTTGATATCAGGAGAGTTGACATCAAGCAAAGCATTATCCAATGGATTGTATGTGAAGATATGAAATAATTAGCGTGTATACAAGTATTTTTAACTGTTTCTTATGGTCTGATGGTTCTGAAATGGTACAAAGCATTCTTTGCAAATGGGTGAAAACTTCTAACACGACAATAAAGATGAAACGTTTGCATCATTTTCTCTCTTTCTGTCCCATCTTTTGCTCAGGGGAAAGCAAGCTGTCGTCCGGTATGAAGCTTCATGAGTTCCCTGAAGTCACCAATCTAGGTGTGGGTAAATCTGTCTCGGTCACGTTAGGCATCGACTATGGAGACACCACGCAACCTGCCAACTTTGAAATTTGGTATGTTTAACTTTGTTCTATAGTCTCTACAAATATTCTAGTATTTGCCTGAAGAAAACAGCTTGTTTTACTGCATGGCAATAAAAACAAGAGTTAGCAGCCACACACTTTAAACAAAGCTATTGTTGGGCATAAATTGGTGGCTGTGACTGATCAAAACCTCGTGGGGCAGGGCTTAATGGAAAGGTCTACTGTCAAAATTATTTTTCTGGTTTTTATCCCCCTGGCTTTAGCCAAGAAAGTGGGATCTTGCGATAGTGTGTGCCTGCTGTGTGTCTGTGTGTTCCATTTTGGTTAGGGTAGCTATATAGTGCTTTCATATGAAAAGTCAAACATCACTGTCAACCAAACTTGTGACAATAATCTTTGGGTAGGGGGACTTAAGAAGACTTGAGACATTTGAGGTCAAAGGTCATCTAGTGTGCTTACTATTAAACTGACTGTATAAATACTGCCAGCATGCCAGGGGGATCGCGCAAAATTTAACTTGCAGTGTTTGTTTGTTTTGTTGGCAGTACTGAAAGTCGTAAGTTCAGCGTTAGCATCAAGGCACCTGTTGGGGAGCTGTTACAACCAATCAGCATCAGTGAGAGAGAATTCCAATCTGAACAGAGTGAGTCTGACACTCCTTGGTCCTATATTGCTGGAAAGATTGCTGTGAACATATAAATGTTAACTTAAGAGCCCATCACGAACAATACATATGACACGCAGCTAGAACATGTCATGTCAAGACCACATGTTACTGCCCATGTGCAAAGTGGGTTGGGCTTATGGAATAGTCTGTTGAAGTTTGACAGTAGACGATGTACATACGAACTTTAAACCAGCGCTTCAAGGAAAATGTCAGTGGTTATATAAATAGAAATGTGGAATTATGTTGGGAACCCAACTAACTATCATTTTTGTTCCCATTTGTTTCCTATCAGGTAAGCTGATTGGTATGAATGAGAACTCAGACAAGGTCAGCATTCCAGACGCCATCAATAATGAGAAGGCCATCATTTCAAGGGTCGCGGAGGTCGCCAATGTGCAGATAGTTCCGGCTAGTGACCCAGAACATCTGACCTACCGATTTGCTGCCAAAACCCTGTCCACTGGCTCCCTCGTGCTTCTGACAGTCGGCAAGGGTAAAATCACGACAAATTGCGAGAAGATGGTCATTGGAAGTATGCTGGTTAAAGATATCAAGAAGTCCCTGCTCAAGGTATGACACCCCTAATGTCGGAGTGGATCCGTCCACTTGTTAATGAAAAGAGTCACTCCATTTTGTTTTGTGGGGTTGGTTTCGGTTCAGCATTATGACCTTGTAAAATCTGTGGCTATATTAGAATTGATATGCAAAAATTATTGCTGTCTTTCCCCTCAAGTAATAGATCTCGTGATTATTTGTTCCTCTATTACGTAAATGTTGTATATTGGACAGGTTTATAGTGATTTCTGATCACCCAACTCAATCTGTTTCTTAACAGATAACAGCAGACTGAATATCAGAACATAATGACTGCTTTGTGCACTTTGAAATGGAACAGGTGTTTCGTGCTTAGCTGATGTTATATATTCAATCAAATTTGCTTACATGTAAGTTGTGATTGAAACCAATGCCAAGATTTGAGTTTCCAAAAATCTACATTCATTGATTTTTGACTGGCTTATCTTCAAAGCAAAAATGATCGATGGGGATTTACTGACATTATTTATTCATAGGTGATCAGAATAATTTCTTATTTTGGCAAGCTGCATAGGAGTCAATTCGGGCGATTTTCAATGCAGTGCGCCACCATGAGTTTGCCACGGAGAGTCCTTTTTTTCCCAGTGCATTGTGGGAGATGGTTGACAAATTTGGCGCGGGACATTTGAAATTGTTAGTTTTTCCGGTCGGTAGTTTCGTAAGCGATTGATTCGAGTATCTGTTTGCCCTTTTCTTTGCTTTTTTTCAATAGTTAGTTCTTTGTAAGGTGGCAGAACGCTATGCCCCAATCTATAACAAATTAGCTTAAGTTGTCTACTTACACTCTTTAAAATGGGCCATGTTTTGTCGACCGTAAACTTGAAAAAATGGACTCTCCATGGCAAACTCTTGATGGCGCACTGCATTGTGAATTGCCCGAATTGAAGAAGCTGATTATAAATGTACATCTATTTTAATCAATGAAATTTTGTTCTACTTTTATTAAGTATTTATTCTTTATTTCATCTGTTTGTGGAAGTAAAGTTTCACCCCATGAATAACCTCACTATTAAGAAATATCCTGGAAAAGTTAAGTGATTATAACATATTACAACATTGTGTCTGAAAATTGGTTAGTGGAACTGTTTTATGTTAAGGTCTGTTTCATTGTGAGTAAACTCAGTCACTTGAAGTACTTGGTTGTCGACTATTGTACTAGTGTAGCAACTACCCAGGCTCTGTACATACAAATTGTAGATTTCAAACGAAATATGCATTCATTGTTCTGCCTAGGATGTGGTCCTTTTTCTGGCTTTAAAAGAAAGCTTTAAACAAGCATTCCAGTTTAGCGCTAAGTAACGTTAATATTACAAGAATTGAAATGCCTGTCATGATTGCCATATTTGTGAAGAAGATGAGCGTCGTGTGTACTTTTCCTTCTTTAAAGCATAGATCATAATCTTGTATGTCTGATCATTGTTAAATGTAATGTATGACTGCCAAGTGTTAATCATTGAATTGTATCTATCGTGAGATGAATCTATGAATACAGCTAGCCTGATATGGTTTACAGGAGGCAATTTGATAATTGTTTTGTTTCAAACAATTTATTATAAAACGCTGCATACACTCTGAGTGATCCCAGATCACCGTTTGCCAGGTTTGAAGCATTTTTTTTTTTGCTGGCTGCTTCGGAATAGAATGAAAATATTTGGACAGAAAGGGAGATGCCAACATGGGGCTGGATAGCTCAGTTGGTAGACCCTCTGGTACGACATTCAAAAGGTCACAGGTTCGAATCCACTCCCAGTCAATTTCTGTATTCAACCTTTAAGTGCAAACACCTCAAGCTACTGAGTAAAACCCGTCTGTGCACCCCCCTCTACCCCAATGCTCCGCCCCTCCTCTGAATCAAAGCCAATGTGTTGAAGATTCAAATTACATTAATGCAGCAATTTAGATATCATTGTTGATTTTGGTTGTAGGCCTATGTTAGTTTCTTCTGGAAAGAAATTAAAAATAGTCCAAAGATATGATGCTTTGTGCTTCACCAAAATATTGATATTTTCGCAATAGATATTTTATTGTTAATTTTAAAGCTTTCTTACAGGTCTTATGCCGTATCAGCCTGTATAATGTCCATACCATGCATGGCTTTAAATAAATGTCGCATATCTATATCTAACAAAATAAACTGGTTGTCTTCAGTGTCTGTCTTTTTTTTTATGCTGACAGTCTAAAGGCTAAAATAAAGAAATTTTGAGGAATATCTGAAGCTGAAAAATTGATTCTAAACACAAGTTTGAAAGGTCACTTCGAATGCAGCAGTTTCGACAGTTTTAAGCAAACAAAATACCAGCACCATTAGTGTTTGCCAAACCTTGCCTTCGCCTCCGGTTTCGGCGGCCCATTAAGCCCCGCCCACTGCGCACTGGGCAACTAACACGTGCTACAATGCACGTTCTGCAGTCGTGCGCGTCATACGTGCCGCGCGTGCGTGCACGCGTGTGGGACTTTTTGTGCACTCCTGTGATTGGTCAAAACATAATTGGACGGAGCTTAATGGTTCTGGAATCATGGCTAGGAGATCAGGAAGACGAACTGGAGACAAGCCGAAGTTTGATACATTGCACCATTTAAATCACTAGAGTACGAGTACAACCGACGTCCTAAAATTAATGGAACGCTGGAAAAAGAGATGTTTTCCCAAAAAGGTCATGACCAAATTATCGGACTATTAAACTTCCACACTGTCTATTCAGATGCGAGCTGACCTATAACCTTGTTCCCCACTTTTATGACTTCATGGCAACTGGCACCAAGATCCACTGAACAAAAAAATTTAGGCCTCGGCCTACTATCAGACTTGTAGTTCGCACTTTGCTTTGTTGTCCTTTCTCTATGGTTTTATTATACAAGCCAACACTTTACGGGCCTGTCTTTTTCATCCACCGCACAATCCTGGTCCAAACATACGCAAAAAAGTACATCACAGCAAACCACACCACGTACAGAACCGCAACGGCCAGACTGCATCCCACGGCAGCAAGAAACGTCGCCCTCAACGACTGCGTCAAGAGAGCCACCGCGATGAGAACAACGGTGAAGCCGACGGCTGTTCTTGGACGGAACACAAACGTCACGAACGATGCGTGCATTTTCTCATGAAATCCCTGTTTGAGAATGGCGTGGTGGACTTTGTCTTCTCGATCCATGTTGTCGGCGCGTGTGAGGAGTCTTCTTCAAAATTTCCTGTGACAAGTTCAAATCCTGTCCGCAAATGTTAATCTCAAAAACCAGACTTTAAATTTCTGAGAAGACGTCTTCAATTTCCACTGCGAATTGTATCCTATAATAGGCTAAAATTCTACCAATTCAAATCATCAAGTATCCTTCAAACATGTGTGAAGTTTTCCGACAAATTGAACTGCTTTGATCATCACGAAGTCCCATCAGCTTCTTTGTTCGTAGATAACTGTTTTGATTCAATGAAGTCCAAGAGAACTCGAAGAACTTTGTTTTGGATCAGAGTCGGCCTGTATTGTACAAATACAAAAAAAAAATATCAAAATTAGGTTAAAATCAATTTTGGTCGATGTCTTCACCTTGTTTGGTACATGAGGGGTAAGTTTTCGGTCAAAACACACCGTTCCAAAGTTCGTCGGGGGGGGGGGGGGTCTAATAAAATAATTTTCTAAAGCTTTCCTTTATCTGACGTCCGGAAACAGAAGCGGAGCATTCAAACAGCAGGTCCATGCATATACAGTTCCGCAATGTTAGCCCAGCCTCGACAAAAAACAATGAAAGTGAAACCTCGCTGAATAAATAAATGATGAAATCGAGGACGTGGCAAGCTGTCCGAATGATGATCCATCTGGCATGAGTAATACATTGTAATATAATGAGCGTGCTGTAATTAAAATGTCTAATGCGTCCCAGTACATGCATAGCCAGTTTACTTCATTATGTAAAAAAATACGCATAATTAGCAGGTGCGATTATGATTATTTTATTCCAGGGACCTCTTCAGTCAAGCATATAGAATTAGGGTTTTATCAACCACTTAATTTATGATTTTATTCATGTAAACCTAATTGTTTTACAGTTGGTCAATGTTTAGCTGTTGCTGCTTTACTGCAGTTGTTAGACTATCCTTTGTTGCTTACTTGGAGAAATTGAGTCATAGATTAGAGGCGTATCTTGGCTTCAGAAAAAATATCTGTAAACAACCTTCCCAGTTGGCCCAATGTTGTCCGCATTTTTCTCAGCACTTTTTTGTGTAATGCACGTTAATTCACGAAGTTCTGATCTAATCATACAATAACTTTAAAAAGAAAAGAAAATAGTCCGCACTTTTTACGAAAAACCAACGATGTCGATCCCCATGATGCCTTCATCAGGATGGGTTAAATGGGCGTAGGGAATGACCTAGGCCCCTCCTCTATGCGGAGTACGGGGGGGGGGGGCGCACGGGGGCACGCCACCCCCCCCCCCCAGGATGTCCGCCCATGGGTGCCCACTATTTAATATCTTGAATTTGAACAAAAATGTGTCATTTGCCTCCAGTGCCCCTTGACAATTGTGTGCATCACAGGTTGTCCCGCTCCCCCAAGTTTAACTCTATAGCTACGCCACTGGGGGGGGGGGGGGATTTGCAGGGGGCGTGCATGGGGGAGGGGGTCATTTTCTAGAGGGGAACATCAATGGGTTAAATAAAAACCCGGTTTTCTTCCCAGGTTTTATATTTTGTTACGAGCATATCGGACGTATATGCACTGAATGTTGAATTGCTCTACGAAGTCATAATTATGTACTTACAGGCACGGATCCAAAACCAATGTGCTGCATTATCTATTATGTCCGTATGTATGCAACAATCGCACATACCAACATCTGACGGGCCGCACCCCCCCCCCCTCTGCAAAAATTCGTGGACTCCGCCCCTGACTTACAATCATGCAATAAACACTACTCGTGCAATCTATACACGTTTACATTGCTCACGACGTAATGATGAATACACTACATAAAGTAATCCAAATGTAATTATATTCCGTTTGCCTAATGCACGTCTGAAAAGCCTCATAAAAAAAACCATATTTTCATCACGGTACACACCATGCCACGCAGCTGCTGGTTAATGGTTGCAGCCTCCACGTCTTGCACGACCCGTCGACACGACCCGTCGAGTAATATAGGCTGTCTGTATTTAGGCTTATGACGTGAATACGAAACCGTTCCAACAATTTGCTATAAAATGTAGGAGTTGGTGCGATCGAAGTTCATCTTCGTTTTATCACATGAATGATATGATCCTTTCTTTATTATCTCAACTGCTGATGGCTGTTCAACCCATCCATGAAATAGCCACAGTAAAATAAACATACAGGAAGCTATGTTTCAAAGGAATAATAACGAATAGACACACAAGCCAGAACGGCAAATAATTCTACGTGATAACGACTAAATTAATCACTCGGGGCTACAGATTGTTCGTGGAATTGTATCAATGAATCAGATACGCAAATGCACACAATGATTTAAAATTTTGTAATGGTTTATAGCGCTTTATGCATATGCTTATCAATACCAAAGGACCTATATAATATTAGACCATTGAGGTGGGAATGATTAGACCGGCAACACAGGCCTTTATATATAGCAGGTCCTTCAGGGCAACTGCACCAACGTAGATCGTTATACTATAGCACATGTCTCACCTTTTCTTGTGATGTTCAGTCGATCAACCATCAAGGTCGTTGGTACAGTGGGGAATATACTCATAATGAATCGGCTGCATATGTGTGCTGGCCTATATATTATGCTTGAGTTGAGGGCATGACATACTTATGCATATTCATTGAATATCACCGTCGTATCCGTACTGTGTACACACACCTGTCAAAGAAAACGACTTGTTTGATCGGCGGATGAGGAGCACGTTGAGTGTTCGTTGCATATAATCGATTATTTTATTGCCGATTTGAGTTTACGGCTGATATAATAATCGATGCCTCTAAGTTGTAACCGCGCAGCTTGTAGGCTTAAAAATAATGCTGAATATCAAGAATCATGTGTTGTATTCAACAACTGGAATCTGCATAAGCCGCCCGGGATATATTTTTGATATTTTTATTTTTTTTCATTTAAACGAACCCCCGCAACCGTGTGTATATATAATGTATCATTTACCCCTTTGATCCCTTTGAATCGAGAAAGAAACGTCATCGATATAGCCATTGTTTGTCGATTGTCTGTGACGTTGTTTGAATATTCATCCTGCTAGCGATAATTGGTTGAAAAAAACTGATCAAAAGCCATATCTTTACTTAACGATATACGGGGGCCGAGGTGGGCTGAAAAACTGTATATGCGAGGACGAAATTAACTCATTTATGCCTAATTATGTTCTAAGATCCTGTCTTAATACGATCCACCATCAATCGATGGTTTAGATTTTCAATTACCTGCTTCAGATTTACTCCACTGCTGTTCCTTGAATCGGCAAAAACATTTTCTTTGCAAATGATGTGCATTACCTTGAACTTCTGTCACCGATGGAGAAATAAAACCATCTTCGATTTTTTTCTCGGAAAACAGGACTTCAACCACGTGCAAGAACCATTAGAACTTGGTAACAAATTTAACGAATGTTTGGTAACTTTACCCGTTTTTATTAAACAAAGCTTACTTGCACTATTGGTCTAGGCAGATGGCATGAAATGAACTGGACAATCCATTGGAACCATTGTCATTAACATTCGTTGCAATCCATAAACCTTTCGAAAACAACACTTTTATGCACGATTTCAATCCGTCAGAGTTCGGACTGACCATTGTCTGAAAAAAAGAATTCATGATGATTTTTTAAAAATTAAAACATGGAGTGCCAAGCTCAAGTAACATTACATGCATCACAATGAAAAAGTCAGACAACAAAACGTAATCATGGAAATATGTCAAAGAAATCACTAAATATATTTTCGTACAATTCGCGATAAATTATAAAGTATTGTGACATTTTCATTTGATTATTTTTTAAAGGAAAACAATCATTTTAAGTTCCCTGAAGAATGTCTATTTTACGGATACATTGATTTTGTGCAATAAACAAGTATATCATTATTTGCAAAATTACCGCCACGTTGATTACAAATATCAATTTCCGAACTCTTGGACATCTGTCAGTGTTTTGCGAAGTCCCCAAAAGTATCTACTCGGTTCGTGGTTCCACTTTACATCTACAGCCTGTCCCCCCCCCCCCAAAAAAAATTGCTGCAAGCAGAAACAAGGGCGGATCCAGAACACAATTTGGGGGGGGGGCCCAAAAAAAAAATTGTGTCTCCCAAAAGGTGGGTCAAAAAATTACGGCGTGGGGTTCGGGGCCCGCTTAAGGGCCCCGAATTTGTTTTTGATTCTGGATGCTCAGTGGTGCGATCTGACGCAATTTCTGATCACTTTAGCCAATGTTTTTTTAGGAAAAGATGGTGGTGTACTCATTGCCTGCCTTTGTTGCGACGTCACATACAAAAAAAAGCAATGGCCCCTTTGCCCCCCCCCCCCTGGATCCGCCCTTGAGCAGAAACGGGCTCTGCGTTCTTGGAATATTGAAAAATGTTTCATGATGCCTTTACAATGTTAAACCTGGGATATTCAGCTTTCATAATGCTATTTGTTTTATCAATTTTACTTCTGCCAAACCAGAGATATGCTCCGTTGAACACAAACACTCAAAAATCAATTTGTGCCACTTTCCGTAAGTTGATACTATAAACAACAGTATTGCCAGTATTATGCACATGTATGATCGTGCAGAAAAACAATTAGTAATGAATAGGTGAAGAAACACTCTACTTATTCATATTATAATGTTCTTTTCATTATTTGTAACACACTCTCCAAATCATCATAATAAAAACATATCTTCTGGAATTGCGAACCTCAATTGAAGTCGGATTTGAACAGGTGCCATGTCTTGTCATGTCATTATTAGGCCTAACAATGTAGAAAGTGGCACAAATTGATTTTTGAGTGTTTGTGTTCAACGGACCATATCTCTGATTTGGCAAAAGCAAAATTGATAAAACAAATAGCATTTGAAGGCTGAATATCCCAGGTTGAACATTATTATAAGCATCATGAAATATTTTTCAATGTTCAAAGGACACAGAGCCCGTTTCTGCTTGCAGCATTTTTTTGGGGGGGGGGGGGGACAGGCTGTATTTTAAACACACGAGACAAAGGCATAATATAAAAATGGGATAATATCTTGCGGGGTCGTAATCTCAATTAGAATGGTAACACAATGTTGCCGATACATGCAGATAAGGATACGTTGATTTAACATGGAGGCTACATGCGGAAAGGGAATCAGACTTTGATACATGAACTTTAATTTGTAACTTTCTAAACATGGAGTATATATATTAAAGGGCCCACTTCATGTATTTTTTGTTAATGCAATACCTGAAAATGCACCTTTATGTCTCATTTAACCTTATTTTTAATATTCATTTTTCCATTTTTAAGGGCAATTTGGTGCCTTTTTGTATTTATGCTCATGTGAATTTCCATATTCATGAGCAAAAGTGTGATGTCATTTCAGGCAGAAACCTCAATGTTACAGCTATTTCAGTACCAAAATTTTTCAGAATTTTAGATATTTTGCTGTTGTAAATGTTCTTTTCTTTGGTGATTCGTTGTTGTATCAGCACATGACAGTAAGCCAATAAGCGAAGTTCAATGAGCAAATGTTGGAGACACAATATTTGGACAGAGCGAAAGTGAACAGTGTCTTCCTGAAATGACATCACATCAACAGCGCCTATATGTTTCAGGAAAAGCTTGGACATTTTTAAATGGTTAAAAAACTGCACTTTTCAATATAATTAACCAAAAAGGGATGTCGAATAGTTTTAATACATTTAAGAGGAATAGAAAGTTACATAAATTGTGTTTCTAAGAAAACTTCATCGCATGAACCCTTCAAACTCAATTAAACAGCCACATTTCTCACTAGAGTATTCAAATACCACGGTTTCGCAGACTTTGGGGATGGGCTCACGAGCAGTCATTCTTTCACTTTGGATTGTTTAGTTCGTTTGCTACACAACAGACACGTTTTCTCTCACGACGGTCTCAGCATGAACGGTGGCAGGACTGGCGGATCGACTCTGCGGCGCATCGAAGGTTGGATTATCCGTACCCACTTCCAATTCTCTAGTCTGTCTGTCCGGCTGTAACAGTAAAGCAAGAAGGATTTATAGATGAGAAAAGTATTGATCATTTTAAGCCCACGCTCGGCAGTCTGTCCCAGTGTAACGCGGAAGGAAACATTTTAATATATAGATATGAACAATATTGACCAATAGTTGTAAGCCTAAACAATTAAACCGATTCGGTACTCCAATTCCGCACCTAGCTACTTGTGCACATTAAAATTAATGTTAGGATAGACAAAGAAGTTATTTGTCCATGTGCCAAAGTTTTTACATAGTTTATGACTGACTCGAGACTAAAAAACCTGTGATTGACTTGTGATTAGCTTGTGACTGGCTTGTGATTGACTTGTGACTGACTTGTGACTGACTTGTGATTAGCTTGTGACTGACTTGTGATTGACTCGTGACTGACTTGTGACTGACTTGTGATTAGCTTGTGATTGACTTGTAACTGACTTGTGACTGACTTGTGATTAGCTTGTGACTGACTTGTGATTGACTTGTGACTGACTTGTGACTACCTTGTGATTGACTTGTGATTCCCATCTCTGATGTTGTTCAACCGTTGGTCTTACCTTGGGTGAACCACTGATGGACAGCGTTAATTCCTCCGGCCGTGGAAGACTGTTCCTCTGCCCATTATCATTGTGTTTCTCCAGCAGGATCCAGTTGTGACCGACCAGATCCAGTTCCGTCTGGTCCGAGCCGGCTTTAGGCGTGAGGTACGAGTTGAGGCCGTTAGTCCCCTGCTCGTTGACAGGGGCCGCCTCCAGGGGCTTTACCGTACCAGTCACGGTGGCCACGCTGGGGGTACGGGTGGTGTAGGACCGGCGACGGCTCGATGCGCTGCGGAGCCGGACCCGGGGGCTCGGACAATCGAATGGGGATTCGAACCCTAGACTGTGAAGCTCTTTGGTGACCGCCAGTCGCTCGTTGTGATCTAGCTGGTTGATGCCGTGCTCGCATATATCGGCTCCCAGGATCTCGTGTTCGACGGAGCACCTGAGTCAGTCATCGAAACATAAATGAAAGTATCGATTCCAAAAGGATTGACTGTTGATAGTTGCGTCACTTAATGACAAAAGGAGAGCAATGCAAGCTCGAATTAAACCATGAACACTATTATCTGAGATATTTCGAATTCATTGTGTTATCAGAAATATCCAGGCTGTACTACTTTTTTATGCATGATCGGTGTGCCTGCATAAGCCCCAACATTCATGAAGATGGGATGCATTATGCTGGTTCTTTCTTTATTAAGGACAGAACAAGTTTATTTATAATAACAGAAAGAAGATACCCCAACAAAAAGACAATAAATATTCATGTAGGCTGAATATAGATTATACGTTTCATTTTATTTAGTAAAGAAAAGATGAGTCGTATTCCTCGTGTGAAAATGAATATTCATGAATTATAATCATCATCAATATGTTCAGGTTCAGTAACATATATATATATTTTTTACCTCAAACCAACCGTCTTTTTGATGGCAAATAGGAGTATGAACGCAGTGAGACAGGTCCAGACGAATATGGTCAATGCCATCAGCAACTGCACGCCCAGCAAACGGAACCCACCGCCGTAAAACAGACCTACGGAAACAGACGTCACCCAACAATTCAAACTGGTTTTGTTTCTTTTTACCGTTTCACAGTTTCAATCTCTTACAAACCAAAAAGTGATTGACAGGTCCATGCATGCATGAAAATGGGGCCAGAGCCCGATTTCATAAACAGAGCTGCAGCACAAATACATTGTGTATACTTCCCGGCTTAACATGGCAATGATATTTTGGTTGAGCCTATTTTTGCTTCATCCGTAAAATTGGTTCCATGATTACTCTCAATACATTACAACCTTGGGGTAATGCGGATCCGTATTGGTCTGTGACCTGCTTCAGGCGCATGCAATGTAATTTTTAAATGCAATCCTTGAAAATGCACCTTAGTGTCCATTTAACCTTATTTACGATTTTCGTTTTGCCATTTTCAAGGGTATTTTGGTGCCTGTTTGGTTTTTATGCTAATGAAAATTTCCATATTCATGAGCAAAGTGTGATGTCATTTCAGGCAGAAACCTCAATTTTACAGTTATTTCCGCACCACAAGTTGCCAGAATTTTGGATGTTTTGCTGTTGTATTTTTTTCCTTTGGTGATTCGTTATGTCAGTACATGACAGTAAGCCAATGAGCAAACTTTTCTCACAAATGCTTTGAGCACATTTTTGGGTTCCGTTTGAACACAAAACCCCATAACTTAACAGTGTCTTCCTGGAATGACATCATATTCAAAGCGCCCTAGCTCAGTTGTCCGGAAAGGCATGGAACATTTGGAATGTTTATCATAAGTGCGCTTTTCAATAAATTAGCCTAACCAAAAGGGGATGTCGAATCATTTGCATACATTTAAGAGGAGGACAAAGTTGCACAAAATATGTCCGTCAGAAAAATTCATTGCATGGACCATTTAAAAATGGGTGTATTTCCAAATGATTCCAAAGCCAAAGGAGAATGCGAGCTGGAGACGAAGTCAGGGTCTTGAAACTCCTCTTTGTATACCTGATTGATCAGTGAGGTTCTCGATGTTGTCTGGTTTGCCGAAGAGACCCACGGCAGTTAAGCCCCACACAGCCGCCAGCAGATGGACGCCAATCACACCCACTGGGTCGTCAATCTTGAGTCTCTCTAGGAGAGTGGGCGTGGATACTGCAATAGCGCCCCCGACGGCACCGATCACAAGCCCCTCCCACGGTCTGGCCAGAGCACATATGGCTGCAGATATAAACGCATTATAATACATTTCAATCAACTTGACATATTCAAAGGCAACAAACATAAATCGTGTGGATTTTTCGAGGCCTATAATCCTAGACTCAATTAGTACAATTTGTTACTACACACGGGGTCCGCCCGATAGTCCGAAAGTTCGATAGTCCGAAGGTTTATTGATCCGAAGGTTCGACATTCCGAACGTACGAATTTCCCATAAGAGGAGGTTTCTCCCTATAGTTTGTTGAGACACGTCGCGTGATCCCCCCCCCTGTTTTCATATTAAACCCTTTTTGTCCTGTGTGTATGTCATGTCTGTATCCTGTCTGTGTTGTTCGTGTAACGAGGCAGTAAATGACAACTACTTTTGGCTAATTTATGAAGTATGCCATATTGGGTACCATTATGGCATATTGGGTACCATCCGAGGTTCGTTAATCCGAAAACGAAATAACGTTTGTTAATCCGAACATTTGATACGATAGTCCGATGGTTCGTTAGACCGAAGGTTCGATAATCCAAAGGTTCATTGGTCCGAAGGTTCGGTAGTCCGAATTTAGAATAAGGTTAATTAGTCCGAAGGTTCAACAGTCCGAAACGAAAACAAGGTTCAATGGTCCGAAGGTTCATTATTCCGAAAGCACACAAGGTTCGATAGTCCGAATTGACAATAAGGTCCGATAGACCGAATAGACGATAGGGTTCGATAGTCCGAATTGACAATAAGGTTCGATAGTCCGAATAGATGATAAGGTTCGATAGTCCGAATAGACGATGGGGTTTGATAGTCCGAATTGACAATAAGGTTCGATAGTCCGAATCGACAGTAAGTTCCGGACGACTCAGCAGGAAGGACATCTGGGGTGATGGCATTGTGTTCCTGTTATCCCTTTTTCTGAAGATTTCACATCCGGGGTGATGTTTTTCTATAGGTTTCACATGTGGGATGATGTTCTGAATTGTAGTCCGAATTGTCGGACTATCGAACCGTATCGTCCATTCGGACTATCGAACCTTATTGTCAATTCGGACTATCGAACCTTATTGTCAATTCGGACTATCGAACCGTATTGTCCATTCGGACTATCGAACTTTATTATCAATTCGGACTATCGAGCCTTCGGATTAATTAACCTTATTCTATTTTCGGACTAATGGGCTCATCGGACTATTGAACCTTCCGACTAATGACCCTTCGGAACAGAGAACCTTCGGACTATCGAACTTTCGGAAAATCGGGCTGTCACCCTACACACACTGAAGAAAGAATAAAAAGAGACCAACTAATGCAGAGTGTGGTATGTGCTATTTTTGTTCAAAACTTTCTCAATATAAAATTATAAAGAAGTGAAAAATTTCAGCAGAGCACTAACAAACTTTCAGATCATATAAATAATAAAATGTTTGTAAACTTTGTCTTAAAACTGTTGTTCTTTATCTACTGACACAAACATCTTCTTTACAGCCAGCTCTGACTTGAAAAAAAATATATTACACGTCTCAGCCTTCACAGAAGACTTGGCACGTAATACACCAGTACAAAGTGTGTTGCATAGAGCTACGCTATACACGTGCTGTAACGCATTACATATTTAATCAAGTGTATTGGGAAAGCTTTCCAAAAAGGTTTCTCCATGCTGTACGAAGCAGTTGAAATTGGATTAAAATTGTGAATCAAATTACAGCGTAATTAGCCGTAGACAGGTTTTCGAGGAACTTTTGTTTCTTTTACCAAAGGGTAATCTAATAAAACTGAAAACGAGAAAGTGCGAAATGGGAGAACACAATGAAAAAAGGAAGATGGGTGGGCAGGCGAAGTAATGTATGCATGGCGTGGAATTATGAATCTTGCAAATGTTGTAAATCGTGCTTTGTTACTCATGCTATTTAGGAGGCAGGCATTGTACGCCTTTGCACGAGACAGATCAATAATTATGCAAAACTTTGTAATGTGCAAAACATTGTAATGTGATAAAATACACTGACAATGCTACGGACGTTTCACTGAGAACAGGAATTGATAAATAGAAACATGAAATGAAACAAAAGACACATTTCCGTCAGCACTTGAATTTGGAAAATGGATCCTTTTTACTCGTCAAAGCCAGCTTGGATATTATTTTCAGATTTCAGATTTTAAGGCTGTTAATGCGCTCTAAACTCAACAATCAGAGGAACAGAAGAAGAGAAAATGAAACGAAAAACAAAAGTTGCGAGTATGTGATGACAAATAAAAGGACGTGATGGAATAACAAACTAAAAGAAAATAACAACACAAGCATAACAAAAACTTTAAAAAAAAATATTCGCACGCTCTTTGTTAAAGAGAAGAGTGGAGTTTCTCATTTGACTTTTATCAAGAGGCAACATTTTCCAGTATCAGTTTCAGTGTCCGGCCAAAATAAAGACGATTGATATCACATGCAATATCAGACAAAAGACTGGAAATTGTCTTAGGAATAGTTTTTATACCATGCATTGTTAAAAGTGCTTTCCGGGATCAAACTTCACCTGTGCTGCCTACGAGCGATCCCAATACACCGTTGATTAAATAGGTAATGTTAAATGTGCGATTTAGCGTGGTCCAACTGAACGCTAGTCCGGTCACGCCCCCTCCGATGGCTGACGTAATGGTCACCATGGCAGACCTATATATAGAACGAAGAGGGACACAAAATAATATACGTCACTGACATTCAGCTAAGGTGAACGACAAACACCAAAACCCAGGAGGACTTTTTGAAATATCAAAAAATGATGTAGCCTGTTCGCCTATATAATGCAGTCTGAAATCAAATATTGCTGCATTTCTACAACCGTGGGTATATTCCTCAGAAGTAGTCTTTTCTCAAGACCATCGAGACTGTGAATTTCAGACCGAATTGCGAAGCCGTGAGGCGAGTTGAGCGGCGCCAAGACCGTGCAGGCTGAGTGACGAAGTCATGAGGATTTTCGATTTTTGATTAGGCTGAGCGCTATTGAATATTCATAAAGTCCAATGTCATGACGCCTGGCATATCTTGCACATAATTTGACACTAGGACGTCTGTGCACGTGGCTGGCCAACCAAAACTTGGCGCATTGCCGAGCACAACTTTCTGCATTTTAAGTATATTTTGTTAAAGATATGGAAAAATGTCTTCCATGTGTAACACTTTTTTTCTGTTTCAGTCTTAACGACTCTGCGACATAATAGGCAAAACAGGTTTCACACAAAGTTTGATATTACAGACAGTCCCTCCGACATCCCCATCGATAAAATTCACCTGTGACTCCGACAAGACCCCCTAAGACACCGTTATTTAAATAGCCAATGTCAAATTTTCGGCCGGCTGGGCGGGCAATCCAGCTGACCGCCAGGCCTATCAGACCGCCGCCAGAAGATGACAGGAGAGTGGCTATTGCAGCTCTGAAAAAAAACGGAGGAAAAAAGGGCGGGAAAATTGTCATGTTCAAAGTCAACCAAACGTCTGCTAGGTCTATGCCATTGGCCTTCATTGTACAAAAATGGACAATCCTATCAGTTAAACAGTTAAACCTCGCTCAGCATTATTCAGTTTGCGTCGTTAAAACCAAAATTTTGTGACAGTTATGCTAGGTTTGATGTAAGAAATTGATCTATCAACGTGACACTATTATTTACACAACCCCCGAAAGCGAGACTGCAGAATAAGCCGCATTGATCACGATCTTGACGTGTTCCACTCTTCAAAGGTTAAAATTATTGTGTACGCACACGCGTTAATTAACTTTTCACCACGCCGAATTAGTTGACGGTTTTCGCGTTTCTCTCTCCCCCCCCCCCTCTCTCTACTATTCCTTGCTCAGGGGCGGCAGAACGCTTTTCAAACTGGGGGGGGGGGGGGGCACCAAAAAAGGAGCACTTGCTCAGAAAAAGGGGGCACCTTCTGTCGGTGCGAAAGTGGAGGAAAAATATGGTCCCGTTCATTTCGCTATAAAAACCTATGACAAGGAACAAATTATGAATACGTTGTCCATCTTGCTCTTTATGTTTCTTTTACCTATAGTTTATGAAGAGAGACCTTTTTTTATCGCGAGAGGGGCACTGTTGCTTTAGATGACAAGTTCAGTGACCATTTTATTCGCGTGAAGAGCATTCTTATTTTTTTAGGGCCAGTTTTCCATCTTGAGAGGGGGCACAATTTTAATGTTACGAGCGGGGCACTAATTGTGCTTTCGAGGGCCAGTAATCCATCTCGGAATAGGGTGCAAAATCTTAATACGAGAGGGGTGTTTTTGAGGGGCAGTTTTGCATTACAAGAAAGAAGACAATTTTATTTGTAGCACGATCATATGCTTTCATACGCGTGCGTTTGATTGGCAGTTTTGTTTTCATCTCGAGGGAGCACATTTATAACTGCGAGAGGGGCACTTTTGTTGGCCTGGGCCTATGGGAACATTTGGGGGGCAAGATCGGGACCTTTGGTCTGGTGATCACGGTAGCTCACTCATGATCGGACGTGCTCGAATTGGGCCGAGACATTGTAAATCGCCGCTTCTTACCGCGTGGCCAGTTTCCACTTTCCACCAGAGATGCCAAAGGTACTACCGCAGTTGAAGCCCAGCCAGCCCCACCACAGCATGAACATCCCTAGCAGGGCGTTGGTCGGGTTGCTCATTTCAGACTCGCCCTTACCGGTGAAACGCCCTCTACGGGGCTTCAGCATCAGGGTGGCCACGAGCCCGGTAGCGCCCCCAACGAGGTGAACTGCCCCTAATGATAAAAACAATGTGTCGAAACAAAAGTAGTTAAGCTGCACAGGCAAAGGACTCTTTTACTTGATGAGATTAAAAGAGAGGCCACACATGCAAGCTGTGCCACTTGTGTTTCTCATACATGTTTTTATGAGCAACACACCAAGTTTTGACTCTAGAATGTAACTTGCTTAAAATCCGGGATAAGTTCCAGACAAGTTTGTCGACAGTTATTACGCCCACAGTATCAGGTGGCAGGATTCGGAACAACTTCCTCCGACTCTTCCTGTGACGAAGTATCGGCATCGTTTATACAAACTGATAACTTCATTGCAAGGAGATTCTACTGGCAGTATAGTGGATAAACGTTTTCGCAACCTATCCGGCACATTTTGAGATGACTCCTATAACTGGATATCTGGACTCACATAAAGAATCTACGGAATTCAGGTTGACCAACCATAATTATGAGCAACGTGCCCACATCACTTATAATTGAAATTGACTAGTTCTCGTAATAGTTTAACGACGCGAACGAAGTTAATCCTTGCTTTTATACCAACTTGACGATACCGTAGAAAGAGTTAATGGGAATTTTTTCGTTGAGATTGCTATTTTGCTGACTAATCAATTCATACCATGACATTTAGAGCCATAAAATATATTCTGAAAGTGCAATATTAAGACTAAAAATGATGTTATACAGAAACTAAAGCAAAATTTCGATTGCTTGGGATCTTTATCGTCATCTCAAGGATTACTACTATTCTCAGGCAGACTCATCCATCCATGACCGGAGCTTCCACGTATATGGAGCCATTTCCCGCTCTGCTGATAATAAGGCCCCGAGGGGCCATTATGACAATCCTTAAAACAAATACAAAATCGCCAAGGGTCCACTTCCCCGACAATAACCACCCATTGACATTTCCCCTTTAATATCAACGCTAGGGAGTAAAGAAATTATAGGAACCTATAGAAACCATAGTCAGCACAAAACTAACCAGCAAGCAATCAGCTGTGTGGGCAAATACCTAATCCTAAAATCTTTGTTATTTTTAACGAAGGAATCCGTCCTTTTATCTTAGGCAAATTGGCAAAAGTACCTTGTTTAAAAACAACATCGACATACACAACAATGACTTTACCAGCTCCAGCAATATCGATGGCGCCCATCCTGGCGAAGACGCCCTCTTTCGACCAAATCCAGTGAGCTGGGAAGCAGTAGATTAGAGTGTTGACGAGAGAAAAGACGCAGTACGCCTCCAGTTTGGTCCGTTCTGCCATGGCACCTGAGACAAAGGGAAACTCCATTATTTTCACTTGTCGATTTACGATGAAGTAAACCCCTGTATACCCATTTTGAAGAAGCTTACGGGGAGTCGGCTTGGTGCAGAGGTACTATCCTGGACTCCCAATTCTGTGGACCCGGTTCGGATCTCAGGCTGATATGCGAATTGGGAGTTCAGTCTCTGCCTGATTCCGTGGTGTTTTTTTTTCGGGATGAATCTGGGAGTGAGTTGTTTTGGGTACCAGTTTTCTTCCACCTTTAAAAGTTGATATTTCTTGTCTTCGTTTCACCAGTTGCTTCAGGCTACGAACGGTGTCATGGTCACTCAGTGAGGAAACAGTTGTTTCATCACAATAAGAAAATCAAAATAACAACAAAAGCTTTGAATTTTACTGCGTGCAAGGGGACGAAACAGCTGACTGTGGGGGTCAGATTGCAACGGAGATTGATTAATTGCACCTATTCAGAATGCCTCTTTTCATAGACGCTTGGGTAGGCAGGCCAAGGTTTTCTGTATTTCCTCAGTGTGGCCCCATAGCTCTCTTACTTGCTCATTCTCCCCATACGAATTGCCCGGTATTGAACGCGAATTTGTGACGTCCCGGAAAGTTCATTATATTCGCTTGCAAGTTGTGGAGAGTTGGACACCACTAATTTCGCCGCTAACATTCATGACGTCAAAATCGCTTCTATTTCTTATTCTGGGCGAATGCCAATGCGAAGACGTCATTAAATAGGGTCTACTCGCCGCGAAATTCGCAACAGCAAATCATTTTAAAGATAAATTTTGGGTTGGGCATTGACATGAAATGTCTTCCAGTTGCGGAAATGTAAAAGATACATCACTTCGTATTAAACTTCACTTTTAAAATAATTATCAATTCATTCCCTGCATTAGCCAAAGTAATAGCTCAATGACGATAGGAATTCTAAAATGCCTCTAGGCGCCAAGCGCGCGAGGCTGGCTGTGGTTGTATTTCACGCTTGACATATCACGTAAATGAGGAACGTGATTTCTCGTTGTCGGACATGAATATTTGATGATGGCGAGATTCGCCATGATTGTCTCATCAAAAATTCAAGGATTTGTTGCTCTTTTGAAACGAGGAAACCTTTATTACTTGCGCCTGAATTCCTGAAAAAAATGCTTCAACTAGACTAGTGGAACTTCAAAACACCGCTGACATAATACTGAGCATTAACGTTCTCCTCTTCGGGAGATAGTAACTTCATACTGTGTGCATCCGTATATAGTTGGGCGCACCAAAAAGTGACCACTATGTTCAAATTTTATACAAGAAGTTCGCGATGATTTTGAAATCGTCAAATATATCTCGGACTCTATTGACATTCAGTTATCAAAAGACCGGAGCAGCAAATAATCAGAATCCGATACAGTATTCAATAATTTGTTATATTTCAAGTTGATTCTCCCTGCCCTGATTTGGAAGAGACAAAAAAAAAGGCAATATGCTGAAGGGTCTCTATAAATGGTGACCCTGGAGCATATGGTGACCCTGGAGCATAAACACAATCTCGCTATCACTTTGTAAACATGTTTAGAAGCTAAACATTATGTGTTCAATTCCAAACATCAATGTTCAATTGCTAAACACTGTTCATCATTACGCTACACATGTTTAAGATGTAAACATTTTGACAAACTATAGCAAGAAAGTGTTTAGAAAAGTGTTTAATTGCTGTTTTTGCAGTATAGAAAGATGTCTGCATTTTTCATATAAATGTTGATAACATTGGCTCCAATGACAATATACATGACCATAATTAGCATTTTTTCGACAAACATGAAACGTCACCATAACTGAATCAGAAAGAAACCCACACACTTCCATTGCAACACAGTTTCTTTCCCTTATTTGCTTGCTACTGCAAGTGGAAATTTTACCGCTACAGTAATACATGTATAACAAAAAACTCATGCATCGCCGGACAATCTTCAGATATTATCGGCTCCCTTCGGCATTTTGTCTGAGCACTTTGGTGCGCCGCATTTCAAGAAGACACAGAATTCCCGGCGGACGCAGATTTCACAAAAGACATAACTATTACAATAGCAGTCAAGGTACGATCTTTTCTTTTTCCCCAGGAATCAAGGTTTTTCTTGTCATTTCATTTCAGTCTCCAGGGACATTTCGTGATGATTGCAACTCGTGAGTGCGCATCAAGCAGAGAGCAGGAATGCGGAGAAGGGGACTCATTTTCACAGATGACATATTTTGCAGGAGAAGTAAATTGTCTGCAATGTTGTTTTCATAAGGAGAAGGAAATGCTTTTACTCCATTTTGATCATGAGAGGAGACCTATATTTTTTTTTACAATGTTTTGTGCTCGTTATTCGTTCTAACTTTTTTTTTAATGAACACGTGCCAAAGTTTGCATTAAATTTTTATCAATTTCTGGTCGCAAAAAGAAATATTACCGTTCGAAGCAATTTTCATACAGTCTCGCATGTTTGTTAACCTTTTTCTAAATATAATATTCGTTGATCGAAACAGTTGAACTCAAGAAAAGTGTTGTAGTTCGTAGTCTTTAGCGATTGGTCGATCCCGAGCAATGATAATTTACAAAGTAATCACAATGCAAGTCGTTTAAATAAGTCGGCACAGTTCCACAAAAACCGGTTTATAGCAGATCAGTTTCAATAACTAAGCTACCACAGACTAACTTACTCGTTGTGGTAAAGCAATTCGTTTGTAAATAAGTCATCAAACCATGCATCAAATCATAACAAACCAAGTAATCGTAAACCTCGCTGTTTTTGCTAATTGATAATAATTAATTTACCTAAATCGCATAAGAACAAACCAAGTCGTCATCACTGATATCACTACTACAGGTGCGTAGCACGGTCACTTGTATGGGGGGGGGGGTTTACAAATTTCTTAAAAAGGGCACTTGCACATCCGTCCTGAAATGTACACGTTTTTTTCTCCGGACACTTTGCCTGCGTAAAATCAAATTGGGGGGGGGGGGGGGGGGGGGGGGGGAGAGAGGAGGTACCCTCTGTCTATGGGGGCTGTTCAAAACCGACGATTATACACAATGTAGGCTATGGTGCTTTTAATGTGCGCCATTCAAAAAAGGCACCAATAACGGCCGATGGAACAAAAATGGCACGATTAATTTTTTACAGGCCACTTTTTCGGAAAAATTATTAAGAAAAAAAGGCACTTGTTTGAACAAAAGGGCACTCTTTACAAATATTGGTGGGGGGGGGTAAGTGCTGGTGAAAAAAGGGCATTTTGAATGAACAAAAGGGCACTCTTTTCAAACTACTGCGGGGGTAAATGCCCCCTTACCCCCCCCCCCCCCCACCCGCTGGCAACGCCTATGTACTATTATAACTAACCCATTTAACCATGTCATCGAACCGCGTTACAACAAATCAAATCATCTTAAACCTCGCTGTTTAACTGATAACCCTTTAACTGCTTACCGGATACAATAGTGGTTGCCGTGGTAGCGAAGGAAGCCTGGAACACGAATTTAGCAAAGATCCAGCCCATCTCCTCGGGATCAGTGGAATCGGTGAAGAAATGACCAATACCTTATCAACACAGAAACAAAAGATGATCAATATTGTTGGCTATATCTGTGGTCAAAATCGAAACGGGTTTAGTTCAATTGACAGTGAACAGGTCGAGGTATACGACAGGTGTTTTCATGAGCCTGGCATCAGGTGCAAGACATGAACGTTTGACAATGGAAGGAGGCATTCCTCTATTGTTAACGACTTTTGCATTTTGAAGAGGTTTTTTTCAGATGAATTGTAAGGGGATGACTGTTTATAGTTAACATGTCTATATTAAGGCTTCGTAGCCTGTTAATGAAATACGTATAAATGTAAAGAAATGTTCATGTTAAAATCACTTATGAAAAATATTTTTTGGACAAAAGATTTGACTTTAACCTATAAATTCCCTCATTTTTAAAGATTTAATATCGAGGAGTAACAACGGGTTTTGGACAAATGGTGAATTTTGTGAAGGGAGCGATAATTATATTGGCCATTACTTTTCCTTTTGTCTTTTAAAATGGAGTCCAACTTTATGTGAATATTTCAGTCCTCACACAGTAAGTGTCGAAAGGTAAGTTTCATTTCAGTCAATTATTTGATCCGTTACAAATAATCAACCTGTGATTACTTCAATCAACCTGTAAATGGTGTGTTTCATCCACTGCCAGATACTCCCTTCTAGAGCAAGAAATGAAATGTCTGTTTTGAAAACAGCAGGATGGGTATACTACATGTGTAGCGTTGTCATGAAGGAGTTAATTATAATTACGATGGTAGCTTGTGTCTTTTGTCTCAGCTTAATTACAACAGGATGAAAGGGAACAAAAACCCCTGATTAAAAACAGATTAGATTACATAATACACATAATACAGATTGCGCTACGAGTCATTAATGGATAGGTGGAATACACCGAAACAAAGGGAAAATATTGAAAAACACCGAAACTTCGTCAGGTCGTTTATTATTTTTGAACGAATCGCTAAATGAACGTTTCTATATGCAATATTGATGCGGTAATTTCCTGGTTGATTACATGGATTAGGCCTAAACATTTTTTGGCGCCAATCAGATTAAGCTGCATCGTTCATTGAACGAGCGGTTGACTTCAAGATTTGAGGTGGATCAAAATAGATTTTTTTCGTGATACGATGAGTTTTGTTTTAGCAAACACCAACAACGGAGCGCCCCGTGTATTAATAATCAAGGGTAGCTTTCTTTTATATTTTTGAAAAAAATGCATTACACATGTATGCATTTATTCTTGCAATAAGTCTTAAACTCCATTTCATTAAAAACATTCTTTTGAAGTAAAAAAATGCAGGGATATACAGATCTGGGTATTCAAACATGTGAACATTTGATTATTTTTAGTACATCGCATCAGAGATATAACAATGAGGCGTAATATTACAATAAGACTTCTCTCATAGAATGTGTGATTTGGTCGATATCTCATTAGGTCGATTCACTGGTCATCTTAGGGCAACGGTCAACAGGAAATCGGATGGATTTTTCCAGGTGTTTTGACAGTCCAAGGGAACCTCTGATTTCTTTTGAATACAGACAGAAGAATCTTTCAAATACATATTTCAAAGTTACTTTCTCCATGCTCTTTCAAAAATTCGATTTGTTTTCTCTTAATAAATTTTCAACACAAGGTTTTTAGTCTGGGCACAACTTAATCCGAGCAGACTGGTTCCCGGTCAGTACATTATCGATTCTGATTGTGGGGCGGGAACCAGCCTATCGGTCCTATAGCCCGCTGGAACGGAGTTATTGTCGGGACGCAAGTAATTCAAAATTCCATTAATAAACGTGGGCCGGTTGTTTTTCTTGGGGGGGGGGGGGTCGCGATGTCTCATTCAAAAGTGAATACATTTTGTATTATACTCGAAAAGTAGCAAATCAGAAAGGAATTTATTTATTGGGATGAAACCTGAAAAAAAACACGCCCATGCAACATTAAAAACATGCCTTTGAAAATAATCACGTGACATGTTATAGACCTTGGGCTCTCTTTCTGCAGTATATAGGCCTATATTTTAGTATCGCAACCGCCAAGGGCAAGTTGTAATCGATTTTCCCAATCTGAACAAAGAAAATATAGCCAGACGCAGGATTCGAATTTACAACCAGAATAGCTTATCGCTACTGAGATGTCTAGCATCACTCTAAAAACAACTTAATCTAACTATTGACTGGTTTTCCTAGTTATTGAAAATTGACTAGGAATTTAGTTAAAAATGCAAAGTTTCAATTCAATTCAATTCAATTCAATTCAATTCAATTTATTATTAACCATCATGATTAAAAACATGAAAATCAACACCCCGTGTGTTCCAAACAGTTTAAAAGACAAGACAAATCCACAACAATTTATCAAAACAGCTTAATCACACTCAAACACAATATGAATACAAACGAGTACACCATTATACAGTCTGATGATAAATCATCTTTTAAAAGTGATAATTAATTAATTAAAATGTTTCATACTATGACTAGAAAAAAGTAGTTGGATTTGACTCAAATTTAATTGCATAACTATTTTTCAATACTGACTGAAAAAATCTAGTCAGATTGACTGATTTTCAGTTGCACCCAGCTGACCCTGAATGGCTAAAATTTAACTGGTTTCTAGTCAAATCCCACTAAAATTTTTTAGAGTGTGTGGTGGCCTTTAGAGGGCATTGACTGTCATAAATCTTCTTATAGCATGGCACATCTTTACAGCCCTAATTTGCTCTCATCATCTTTTTCATTGCCTTTTTTTCATTGCATTTCAAAAGACAAAAACAAAGGGCAAGAGAGGTTATAGATCACTAGGAGGTATTCAGGAGGCCTTTCCATAGGTTCAACACAACTTGAATCCATTTTCTTTGTCCTACCAGAAAATATTCCTTTGACTATAACTGCAAAAAAGACTGTTGAACTCACCACAAAACGCGTTGGTGCCCGGCCCGGTCCCGAAGCTAAAGCCATACCCGAAAATCCAATACGTCAGCCCGCCGAAGATGACGTCCACTGCATTCTTGACCATAATGTTCACCTCGTTTTTACGGGATACCATGCCAGATTCCAATAATCCAAATCCTGAAAAGAAAAGAAGCAAATCACCCGGATTCAAGCACCTATCATGATTCCACCATTTTAGTCATGTTCCCTGTATCCAATAACAGTACTGAATGATAATGTTTTTGCGCAAAAAGGAACCAGACTATTTTTTCTTCCAGCCTCGCTTTGGTTACATTGATTTGAATGGGAAAAAAATCAAATGGCTGCAACATGATCTATTAGTTATGGAACCGACAGGCCTCAAACAGGAGGGAAGGGGGCGTGCCCCATACCCCCCCCCCCTTAGTTTTGCTACTGCCCACCTAGGGTATAAAGTATACATGTTTAATTTTGGAAATAAAATTAACGTTGACAAATATATGTTTGAAAGCAGCTTTTTTTTCAGGAGAAGCGAAGGGGACTCAGCACGTCGTTGCATCACCATATTTCTCAAAAGGAAATTGCTAATATTTCACTAACATCGGTAAGATTTAGAACACGTATTTGTACATTTCGAGAAAACCAAATCCAATTTGCATTCTTCTGCAAATGAAGGTTTTAACATCATGTAGGTGAGAAAAAAATAGAAGTCTCCGTAATTAATGGAGGAAAACATCGATAAACAAAAAACCAACCTATAGTTTGGAATGAGACAGAAGGTATTTTCTTTTATGTGAGTCAAGACAAACCCAGGAGGTCTCTTCATTTGTTTCCTAAAAGGAGTCTTAGTCCTTAAAGTCAATTTCAATGAACCTTGAAAGACAAGCTGACGACCTAGTGGTATAAACAGGTCGAGGCTGAACGAAATAAAATGTTGGACCATGGAGGTAGAATTGGCTATTTCCGTTGTTGCTTTCAGACGACTTGATTTTCCTTTTAAATGAGTGCTAATGGAGATTTTGGACCTAACTAGATTACTTCTCTCTTCTCTGCTAAAAAGGAGGAATATTTCGGTGTTGAAACCTTGAACTTCAATTTCAATCATGTAATGATTTCTTGATGAAGTGCTCGCTCCCAGAATTCGTGCGTAGACAAGGTCGCTTTTATTCTCCTTTTTTTTTAATTTCCTTCAGCTGCCTCTTGTTTTCGGCACAAAAAGCATAGATTAAAGACGTATACTCTGCGTGTTATTTACGTACTTAACCCGAAAAACAATTTCATTTGAATCTCTATTTTTCTACGAATACAAAAAAGTTATTCACGAATACAAATGTTATCCATGGAACGAAAATAAATCGGTCAACGTTTAGTTTTGGGATTATTATGTCCAAATCTTGATTCATTTGGGTGTTTTTGTGGCCCGACAATAATTCAGTTTTCGTAAGGTAGACTGGTTCCCGCCCCCATCAGAATCAGTGATGAAGGATACGGGAAGCACTATACATGCACTCACAAAGCGGATTTCAGACGCCCAAAATATTTATCAAACAAAAAAATACAAGATGGGAATTCGTCAGGAGAAATAACATTGAATTTTGTTGAAGAGCACGGTCGGCACATCTTCAGGTACAGGGACTCGGCATATGAAAGTAAAGTCTCATTTAAGATACAAAAAATAGATAAAATGTCAGGTTTAAACTCATGAACGTGCATCTCTCTTGTGCACAGGGTTCCGTTGGATAAGTGGTTTGGGTTTTTGATAAAACTGATGCACTCGTATAATAATTTATTTAATGAGCGGCCTTCGTTGTCATAAAATAAGTAATTATGGTTGATGCCGACCTTCACATAAATGATATAGAATAAATAAAAACAAAAATTAATGTTCGTCCATGAGCGCGTCGTTTATACAATTCGATATAATGCGGCGAGTGTGCATGTTTCCCGGAATAGGCCTAATTTCCGGTAAAGTGCACAAAACAGGTCGACCGACTTTCTAAGCGCGTCACAGTGACGTCACTACCGGCAGCTTTCAAAGTCCCCCCAAACTTGATCGCATGTGCCGATCCTTACAAATTTGTAAAATACACAGTACTAAATAAACAGGCTGTTGGAACGATGCCTGGATAAACATTTTTCCCGGCTCATAGAGGCATTTGAAGGTAATCGGTTACCTCTGGTTAGTTGCATGCAGCAGATATGCTGTCTCAGTATTCATATTCAAACCATGAAGGTCTAGCAATGATATTGATTAATTAATAGCTCATCAGCACTCAAGCTGGATTGGGGCAAATGACTATTATGCTTGTAGTAAAATTCAAGGTTTAATGTTAAATGACCGCCCGCTCGATCGAAATTCCAATTAGCAGCCCAGCTATCCGAGGTTCTCAGAGGCTACGCCATTGTATGACGGGACCCCCTTTGTTTTTGAGTCCTGCCCACAACAAAGAGCACTGCCCTTTGTTAGTCGTGCCCTTTTGTCCTATCAAACAGGTTGACGCCAGTGGCCGGGTTCGAATCCCGCCTGGGCTAGCAAGTGCACTGGGTTTTCTCGACTCCTTACTTGATTCCGTGGGTTTTCCCTGGATTGTCTTTGCAGTATTCCAGCTCCCCCTCCCCTCCCCCCCCCCCCCACCATCACCACTAATACTGTAATTTTCTTCCTCACTTCTTCCAAGGGACCTCACTTGAAATAGGTCGAAAGAGTTGTGTGGGCTACCCCAGCTAATTGCCGAATAATAAATAAATTAATGAATAAATATATAAATAAATAGGGGCCTATACTGAACTGTAAATTAAGGTGGCACAGAAAATCGAGAAACAAGACTTTGTGGTCTAGGTATATGTTCGGACATTCTATTATGGGTGGGAATCAAAAGTAAGCATTTTGACCAAAAAGAAGTTGTGCCGAAAATGTACATGCAAAACAAACTGACACGGACTGGATTCCGAGGGCAGAGTCCTTTTTGCTAATATAAATTTGATAATACCTAACATACATCAGTCCTCATGGGTCTCAGGCTAGATTGCTACTGTTCCGACACCTTATACTTTAAAGAATCGGAAAAGGAATCGCTTTCTGTATAATTGCCTTGGTCTTGCGGGAACGGATGTAACTGAATTACGCTAATGGTGGTAACGTTCTTACATCTTGCAAACTCAAGCTTGAGGGGCAATGCCGTAAAATGAAATCGTTCATATGAACCTCAATTTATTTTCACTTTCTGTCTTTGTATTGTAATCCGAGGGTTTTCTGAACTTTTTTCTTTTGGATTTTGATAAAAACGCACTTCTTTGATCAAAGTATATTCATAAGATGGAAGTTGCGTCGGGGTGGATCTCAATTCAATATGGGGTTTTGCCCTTTATACCGACATATTTCTATAGACACTGTATACTCAGTCTTGCATTCGAGTGATTGTGGGGAAAAATCGTTCGGTGGGACTCGAACCCACGACTTCTGCTTATTAGCGCAGACATCTTACCACTCGACCACCGAGCTTGCCGGATCGGTCGGATTTTGCGTTGGGGTGATCTTAATTCAATATTGGGTTTGCCCTACACTGACGTGTTTTATAAACACTGTATACTCAGTGTTGTCTCGAGTCATTGTGAGAAAAAAGTCGTAAGCATTATAGACTATAGACATGGGCGTCGCGAGGGGGGGGGGGAGACAAGGGGGCGCTTGCCCCCCCCCCCCCCCCGGAAAACGAAAAAAAAGGAACAAAGAAAAAAAAGGAAAAAGAGGTGCGAAGCCATATTGCTGTTAATTTTTATGGGTGGGGGGGGGGGGGGCAAATGCTCCCCTGCTCACGCTCGGAAAAATGATAAATTGAGAATATAATGAAAAAATGTATAAATGAAAATTTGCTTTGCCCCCCCTGGAAAAAAATCCTGGCGACGCCCATGACTATACAGCTGAATCAGTCTTCCAACTTACTTTTAATAAACTTTGGGGCTCTCGATGTAGTTTTTAGGATTCCAAAAACTTTCGGGTATGCCAAGTACTCACCAGATTGCATGGTAAAGATGACAAAAGCACTGGTCAGAATCCACGTAGCGTCATCCCAACTGTTGTACATATCGTTATCCAAACTTCCCCACGTCGCGGTTGTCGGCATTTCGGTACCGTTCGATCCCGCCTCACAACCCGTCGTCCCGTTGCCCAACGTTCCGTTGCACACTGGGTCCACCATAGTCGTCTCCATCTTAAGAAATGACGGCACTTTATATCAAGTTTGATGTGATGTTTCTGGGGTTTTTTCTTCTCCTGATCTTTTCTCGCAGTACTCCCTGATAATCGGATTCGAAACAGCCAGCTGAAACCGGCAAGGCCGGTGGTTGAGTGATGAGAAGTCAGTGATGTTACCCGAGGCAAACCACAATATTATGGTTCGTTTTTGAGCAAAATTGCGCGATAAGAAATTGGTTCTCAAACAAAAATTCGATCATGTGTCACGAAATCCATTATGGACGGTCTAAGTCAGAATAAAAAAATACGTTGATATCTGCAATTATCTGCAATATCTGCAATACGTTGATATAAGAACAATTTGTTTAAATGGAGTTCTCTCCTGCGTCTCGTTCCAAAATTAGATGCACATTTTCCCAGACCAGCCGAAGAAAAAGGTTAACTCCAAAACAGCACAGGAGATTGGTCCATGTTGCAGACGAAATAACGACTTGTAAATGTCATAATTCCGATTTAAACAAATTATTATAAGTGCTGTTCTCTTGGCTGAAAATCAGTTTCAAATAAATACAAGGAAGGCAATCTGTTCCGTGTTCCCAACGCTTTCAGTCTTGGAGACTCGCCTGATGGACGTTAACCTACCGGCGCGGTACCCGCTACTTTTACTCAATGATGGTAGGTTATGCAATAGGAACGGGTAGGTAAGTTATTGCCGTGACCAGCACTTCAAGTAACGTGAAAAATCGCGCACGCGCACTGTAAATTTGCATTATCATTAATCTAACTTGAAAACATCAATTTTGATGTTCAGCACAGTCACGTGGTACACAGCTCGCCTGATACCATTGCCCGCATTTATTAACGTAGCACGTATTTGTATGCTATCTATATGTAAATTGCATAATTCATACCATGACATAACATCTGCCCTGGTTGTCAGGGCACCATACAAAAAAAATAATAATAAGGAACATGCACTATGTACAATATAAGAATAGTATCAATGCCAAATACCAGTTACTTTATTATTTATTTCTTTCCGTGAGGGCGCTAGGCTCTGGGCCTTGGCAGCTCCTATCCTGAGTCTTATGTTCGTATACCCACCGCCCTATTGACAATGTGCACAAGAACCTCCTTCAGTTATCAGGTAGTGGGTTCGAGTCCCACCCGAGTCAACCGGTGATTTTTCCCCAAGCTCAGCGACAGCACTGAGAATGTCGGTAGGGGCAAACCGTTACCCGTATTACAACATAGTTACGTCTCTCTACAACAAAATGACATCTTGCAAACTCTTGTCAAAATCTGAAATCAATATATCTATTGTAACTTTGTCATATTTATTTAAGGGTCATTTCTTTTTCCTTATTCCGTTCTTCTTGAAGATGAGCACTACTCTCAGACTTCATATCAGAGTTTCATACCATTTTTACTTCTTTGGTTGTGTTGCGGGTACATTGCTAGTGCTCATTATCTTAAATCCTCATAACTGAGCATGGTTTGGGGTTTATCTGATCTCAAAATTGTACGCACCATTATTTCACAACTCTACATTTCCCGTAAATTGGTTGAATTTCTGATTATTTAATATGTAGGCTTGGTTGTTGTTGGAGAAAATGCAGATTCATTAATTATGTCAATGGATGATTACGCAAGTTATGTCTTCTTTCATTGCCTTAGGCGTAGAGCTCATTTGGGCTCTTCTCACATTTGTAGCAATGGACACGTGCTGATGAGCTTCGTAATTATACCGCTGATTGGGAGTTCTATATTTGAGGCTGTTTAATAACTAACATGACGCCTGCAGGATTAAAACGTTGATTTGGTGTTCGAGTATAACAGCTGGCCACTTGTGCAGGGAAGACCTAATTGGCCTTATGCGCCACAGGTATCGCAAAGGGTGTTGTTTGGGATTTTTTTTTATTTAGTCCGATGAATACATGAAAGATTACTCCTGCCTATCCCAGCGATACAAAACTTCGCCTAATGTGTATTTCTTTTAGCGTTTTTATTTCATAAATTATTATTCTTGTAATGTATGTCTATTAAACGACGGAAGAACAAATTGAATGGACAATTTTGAGAAAAAAACCAGGGTGTTCACATTAATCGTCAAGATCGCTTTATTATCTTGCCCTTTTTAAAATCCTGCAAACAGTACAATATTGTACTTGTACACATTAATTGTGCTAAAGTATGCTCAATAAATCCCGGCTCTATTCAAGGAGACTCAATTTTACTCAATTTTATGAGTAAAGAAGCTACTGCCCGTTTTTCCTCATCACTGGCCTCAATCTTGCAATATCCTCTCAAACCTCCTTGTGGACCTTGAAGAATCCAGGATGGTTAGGGTTCATTTTCATAATGACAGTACATGTATATACAAACTGTACATGAATATTAAGTTTCATGTTTGAACAATACAAGAAAAATTTATGTCACTCCAGATGTATACCAATTTAGTCTTTTAACAGAAATCTTGCCCCACCCCAGTTTAATCCCCCAAAACAAAATCTTTTTGTAAATTGCTAGATTTCTAAAAATACAAAAGTCATTGAGACTTTGAATAAAATAAAATCGGCCCATGTTTAGCGATTGAATAAATACTTTATAACTTCGAATTGGCTGCCAGACATTTTGGTCTTGCGGGGTAGGCTGGTTCCCGCCCCACAATCGGTATTGATAATGTATGGATCGGGAACAAGTCTGCTTTCAAAGAGGATCGGTTTGCGCCCAAAACAATAACCTTTATCCAAGGGTTACAGACGTCCAAAAACAGATAAAAGGAGGTTTTTTTTATTAGAATAAAACACAAGTTGAAAATTCATTAATAAAAAAAAATCTAATTTGTTTAAGAGCAAAGGGAATGCAATTTTAAATGATTTGATAATCAGCGGCAGAAAATGGAGCTGCACGGAGATGGAGGGTCTCCAGTCAGCTGAAGCCTGCAGCCGAAGTTGACGATGAAACCCAGTTTTGGTAAACACCACCTTGGTTTTTGTGTGATGCCGGGAGGTTCATTCCGCCGTCTCCATCTTTTCTGGATTTGCATCCGGGATGACTTGCATCAACTTCTCCTCCTTCTTCTTCAGCAGGTCTGTGGAGAAAAGTAAAGATGAAAAAAAACAAGTCAGGTGTGTTTACAAACACAAATGCCCCGCAACGGTGACAGTTCCCATGACATAACACCACTCTTTTAACATCAACTTACATGTACCTTGGTCACATGGAACATTCATTGACAGCATTAGTGTCTTCTGTAGGTTTTATATGAATTAATCCCTAATCCCTATTATCTCAGAATAAATACATGATTTCTATTGTTTTAGCCACTGTGAACTTGACCCTTGACCTTTTGGCCCCAAATTCAATAGGCTTCTTAGGATTACCAAGAACAATCCACAAACCAAATTTGAAGTTCATATGTTAAGTATTTCTCAAGTTATCGCGCTGACAAGATTTCTATTGTTTTAGCCACTGTGAACTTGACCCTTGGCCTTTTGGCCCTAAATGCACTAGGCTTCTTAGGATTGCCAAGAACAATCCACAAACCAAATTTGAAGTTCACATGTAAAGTATTTCTCAAGTTACGCGCTGACAAGATTTCTATTGTTTTAGCCACTGTGAACTTGACCTTAGGCCTTTTGGCCCCAAATGCAAAAGGCTTCTTAGGATTGCCAAAAACAATCCACAAACCAAATTTGAAGTTCACATGTAAAGTATTTCTCAAGTTATCGCGCTGACAAGATTTCTATTGTTTTAGCCACTGTGAACTTGACCTTTGGCCTTTTGGCCCCAAATGCAAAAGGCTTCTTAGGATTACCAAGAACAATCCACAAACCAAATATGAAGTTCATATGTTAATTATTTCTCAAGTTATCGCGCTGACAAGATTTCTATTGTTTTAGCCACTGTGAACTTGACCTTTGGCCTTTTGGCCCCAAATGCAAAAGGCTTCTTAGGATTACCAAGAACAATCCACAAACCAAATTTGAAGTTCATATGTTAAGTATTTCTCAAGTTATCGCGCTGACAAGATTTGTCCGGACACACACACACACCCACCCACCCACCCACACACCCACCCACGGAAGGACAAGGCGGAAACAGTATGCCCCTTCGGCTTCGCCGCGGGGCATAAAAAAAAGATTGAGTGTTGTTGAACAACGGTTGCAGTAGATTTGTCAGTTGTCAAAGAAAGTGACTGGAGCGGGGCTTGAACCTGCAACCTCCAAAGTACTGCTCCAGCACTCCACCAACTGAGCTCCTCAGCCCCATGTTGATAGTTTCCAAAATTGTCAATGTCTTTGTTCAAGGTGCGATTATCAGAAGCCATAAATCCATATATGCCATGTAGCCAGGGATCACACCCAAAGTCATGAAGCTAGCAACATTAGCAATGCTGCAAACCTAGGAAATAGCAAACGGGGATCACTCAGAGAGGATACAGCTTTTTTATTTGAAGTTTTCAAATAAACCTCAAAAGGAAACTGACTAGGTGCATTATAATAATTTTAAAGTTGAACAAAGACAGAAACGGGGTTTGAACACAAAACCTCTGGATTACTACACCGATGCTCGACCAACTGAGCTATCCAGCCGTTTGTTGCGTTTCCCCATTAAAGAGGATGAAACCAGACACAAGAACATTGACAAAACTTTGAAACAAATCACTGAAGGAACTCAGCACTATCAAAAGCACTGTCAATTTGCACCTGTCACAAGCAGAGAATGTACATACAGACCAAACTGTGTTCAACAAATACAGTAAATGGTAAATGTCTGACCATACTTTCACCCTCAGCATTTATGACTTAAGAGACTTACTTGCTGCGGGCGATCTGATGAGATGAATGCTCTCCTTCACTTCCTTGATGTCTCGCTCCTTACGTAACGTCTTACCCTTCTTCAATCTGCATCAAAACAACACACAAAAACATTGTTGTTTCTTCTCATTCGCCAACCTGGCACATTTTTGTGCATCAGAGATTTTTCCTCCCTGTTGTTTGGGTTTTTTCGGGGGGGGGGGGGGGGAGGTGTTCAACAGACACCACAATACATTTTGATTGGTCTTCATTATCACGCTAAAGTTGCTTCAAGGGGGCCACTTTTCAGCTTGCAAAAACATTCCAACTTAAATGTTGTGTCCCCCTTTAAAAATACAAGGTACAATGTAAAAGTCCAGGAGACCCTGAAAGCTAGTGCAAAATGAAAACTGTTTGTTGCATGTTGACTGTTTCTCATTAAGATCAACTGGTAAAGCAAGATTTCCAAACTATTGACAGCTTTTCTGTAAATCTCATATTGCCTCTCCTGCCTGCTGTAACGATGATAAGAAAACACACTTTCCCAGTAGAGTGCAATCAGGATTTTGTTGTCAAATGGTTTGGGGTGCGGGTGGGGGTGGGTGGGGGCTTCACTCTAACCTTCCTCAATCCTCCAAAATCCTCCATGCGGTTTGGGAGGATTGAGGATCGAAGGATTGAGACAGTAAGTATCCTTCATTTGAACATAAGTGCAACATTTTGGAGGATTGAGGATGGTTCCTATCAAAAAGGGCCTAGGGAGTTAGGGTTAAGGTAACGTTTGCATATATTTTCTACTGTTTCTGCACAGCGTCTTTAACCTATTATAGCTTATCGATACGCACCTGTTGATAATGAACTGATCCTGTCTCTTCTTCTTGATCTCTTCCACTCTGGCCATGGCTAAGATAGTCTTCTTCCATAACTCACGGCTATATTTCACAGGCACATTTCTTCTCTTCTCAAACTCTAATGAGTTATCCTACAGAATGAAAATTTAAAAAAAATAAATAAATAAAAGAATGTCAACATGTGAAAAACAGCCTTCTAACCTAGTACAAATGAATGTTATATCTGCACAACTGTAATGGTTTTTCACGTTTAAAGTCATGTGATAAAATCTGGACGACTTTCTCTCAATACTTCAAAATGAAAGAGGCCTGGCAAATACAAAATGCTAATATCTTTGTAGAGGCCAGCCAAAAGTGATTATATTTGAGCAATATGACAAACATGCAGTTTGTTATTGTTTAAAAACTCCTTATTTAGAGTTAAGTTCTGCTGTTATCCAGACATTTGCTGTCACTCTTTCTATTGTGGAATAATTCAGAGTTTCCTAAAGCCTGAAGAGATTTGACATTGGGTTGAAACCATTTTCTGTGCAATTGATGCTCAATAACACTTCCGTTGATAATTTGACAAAATTTAGCCAACGATGTCTCACCACGGCCAACTCTTTTCCCGCAGCCTTCCTGAAAGCCTTGGTCCAGCGTACTTTGCGAGGGTTTCGCTTCTTCTTGAAAGCTTTGTGGCATTTTGACCGGCAGAACCGGAAAACCTATGTCATAGGGCAGAAAAGGTTTTGGTTAAAGCTGCATGTCATTCAAATTACTGTGCACACTTGTATGGAAAGAAATGCTTTACTACAGGTTACTACTCAGTAGTATTTTGTAGCATTGGGGACGGTTAGGGGTAACTTTAATAAATCTTTTAAAGATTCTTTCACAACATTCAAGGGGATGATCCAGCTTTGGCTGGGAGGGGGGGGGGGGAGGCGGCCTACAGGCATTTGCTAATGCCTTGTGCATGATTTTCCCATTTTTTTTGGCAGCCCAAGGGGAAACGGTTTAGACCCTGCAGTGTATTTATTGACTTTCTCTAGGCCTAGACCTAGTACAAATTAAGTATTAGTAATTAATCTGTTGGCATCATCTCACTCATGGGGCTCTATTCAATTTGGAAATGACAGATTTTTTTTTTTTTTTTTTTATAGATGATTTAGTCTGGCACGCGGCAACGGCGATAACAGGTACGCGTGCATGTTCCGTGTAGTCCCATAAATGTGACTGAAATACTGGACTACCTCCGTATCATCAGTCACACTTGTACATATGGTCTGTGCATGGAGAGTCCCATTGCTAGGGGCGCCGAAAATCAATTTCAGATCGAAAATATTTTGTCACTTGAGAATCACCCCAGCTATGATGTATAGTGTGACTGCTAAATAGCAAAAACTTGTTGAATTTCGTACCTTCAGAGGTACATGTATAGTTATCAAAAAATCATGGTAATTCAGCGACGAATTCTGACGGTTTTGTAAATGCATGGTATCTCTGATATTTACCAGACTGTTTCCCGGCCCCCCTAAAATAGTCACAAGGCCAATGGGGTCATGGAACCAGACTAGAGCTTTAATCATCCACTGAGCGCGTGTCAAGTTTGGCAGAGTGCACCATGACTGTTGCCCGTTATTCAAAAATCTTTAGAGCTCTCTGAAGTACCCGGATGCACTACGTGACTAGCTGCGGGTGAAGAGCGCACACAAACGGCCTCACTGCAGCCAGCTCCAAACATTTTTGAATAACAGGCAACAGCCGAGGTGCACTTTGCCAGAGTTGACGCAAGCTCAGTGGATGATTAAAGCTCCAGTCTGGTTCCTTGACCTCATTGGCTTTGTGACTATTTTCGGGGGGCCAGGAAACAGTCTGGTAAATATCAGAGATGCCATGCTTTTTCAAAACCGTTGGATTTCATCGCCGAATTACCATGATTATTTGATAATCTGGACATACTATAGCTGGGGTGACTTTCAAAGTTTCAAGTGACAAAATGATTTCAATCTGAAATTAATTCTTGGCTCCCCTAACAACAGCACTATCCATGCACAGACCATGTACAAAGTGACGGTGTGAATGATATTAATACGGAGGTAATCCAGTATTTCAGTCGGAAAGAACTCCATATACATTGTACATACACCACTTGACACCCTGTGTACAAACCCTATAAGACTGGTCTGAAAAATTCTAAGTGTTTTCCAACTTAATGCCTCAATATTTTCCCTGCTAAATTTCACTTTTAACTAGGACATTTTATCCCTCTCTGATGATTGATAAGTCATTGCAGGGAAAAACTAGTGGCGTACGTATACGGAATTCTTTCCTTTCAGTCACATTTATAGGACTATGTTTCATGTTGCCCCGTTGTGTGTAGCGTAAATGGAAAGTTTTTTACCCGTGTGTTACGGCAGACTGTGTGGTCGCGTCAGGGTGTATGGCTCAGACATGTCTGACAATCGTGCGATATTAAGGAAAACAAATCATAACTTTTTTTTGTAATAAGACATAAAAAACTGATTCAAAAATAAATATATTGTTTATTTCATAAGGATTCCCATGATATTAAACATAAAATTGGAATTTTGTGGGAAAATTTAGAGGTGTTAAAATCATATTTTGACACTAAAAATTAATACAGAATGTTTTCATTGAATTTTGCCATCATCATGATTAGGATATCTCCAAATCGCAAGCTCGTAGAAAATGATTTAAACGTTACTGATTTTTTTGTGTTGTTCTCTTTCCAGTGATACCAAAGTTCTAAGGGTTGTACGAAAAAATCCAAAAAGTGCTGAACTCCCTATGTACATGATTTACAGGGGGCCACATTTCTTCACCGTTTTGACGAAGTGAAGAATCCGTCAAAAACCGAGATTTTCTGAAATCAGAGATTTTTGGATATTTTAACATTTTATGATGTCCTCTACATGATTACCAAATTTCGAGACACAACATTCGTTAATTACGCTTATTACACCAAGTAAGTTTTTTCGTTTTGACGAAGTGATCTCTAGGCAATTTGTCACTTTATTAGTCTCATTGATTTTACACGTGTGCTATATTTGGAAATATGAAGCCTCCACTATTTGCGTTTTGACGACGAATCTGCGTTCTAAAATGTATAGGCCTACATTTTATATACGCGCACAATGTGTACAAACATATGCCTCATTTTTGGGAGAAGTAGATTTTCTGTTTTTACGAGGTTGACGGATATCTTTAGTAATTTTTTATGTGTACATTGTATAGGTATTATTATTATTTATTTTTACCCATTGTAAATTTGACCTGCGAAATAATAAATGAAATTAGGCCTAGGCCCCTAAATGAAATTATTTTATATAGATAGTGGATATTTTGCCGGAGGTAATGACGACAAACTAACGTTTACTAAAGGTTTGCCGGCGGCAATCCATATCAACAGAGGGCGCTGTACTCTGTACTCTTTAAGATAGGGCTGAAAAATAAGATGTATTAAATTCCCACCAAAAGTTGTGTAGCACGTTTGGTGTAGTGGTTAAGCAAAAGCTCTAGTGAGCGGGATGACTCGAGTTCGATCCCGATCCCCGCCACATTTTTAAGGTTTTTTTTTCCATCCCCAAATAAATAAGAATATTCTTCTTTTATTATTTTAACATGTCTCAAACATTTTATTGCAGAGTATTACATTTTCAGATTTGTGGTTCTGGAGGATTTTTTTTAAAAGGGAAATAAAGTCCGAAATTATAAAATGGTCTGAATCCTATCTCTAGTATCTTGTGAATACGAGGTTACAACGATAATATTGGCATGGAGCCAGACTAAAATTTGTCACCGGAAAATGTTTTAAGTAGGCCTACCAAAAAAACCAGTAACTGCGCATGTTCAGTGCATATCCGGTAGTCCGAGTAACTTGGACCCAACTTATCGCCTTTTTAAAAATTTGGACATGGTCTGGCGATAGTAGGGTCCAAGCCCATTCCTCGACCTAGACAACACAGTCACTGACAGTCCCAAAAACCAACATTTTCCAACAAAAAACATCAGATTTCACCTTCAAAATGGCCTCCAAATTACTAGATATGTCACCTGAGGTACAAGTAGACATAGATGATTAAGATGGTTGTACTTAAGTTTACTTACGATCCGGAAAAAAAGTGAAATTTTCCGTTCAATTCTGGAGACCCCCTCTGCCTAGGTTGTCGTTGTTGTGCTCACGTTCAAAACTGCATGATAATGGCGTCTGACCTCGACCTCATGCAAATGTGGTGCGGCGCGCTTGCGCATAATGCACATAATGCAGCATACACGGCAGATTCCCCTGCGCCGCGCCGACGACTGTTTCCTGATGTAGAGCGCTGTGTAAGTTCGCGGTACGCCTGGCTAGCCAGCGCGACTCCCAGGCGTACCGCGAACTTACACAGCGCTCTACATCAGGAAACAGTCGTCGGCGCGGCGCAGGGGAATCTGCCGTGTATGCTGCATTATGTGCATTATGCGCAAGCGCGCCGCACCACATTTGCATGAGGTCGAGGTCAGACGCCATTATCATGCAGTTTTGAACGTGAGCACAACAACGACAACCTAGGCAGAGGGGGTCTCCAGAATTGAACGGAAAATTTCACTTTTTTTCCGGATCGTAAGTAAACTTAAGTACAACCATCTTAATCATCTATGTCTACTTGTACCTCAGGTGACATATCTAGTAATTTGGAGGCCGTTTTGAAGGTGAAATCTGATGTTTTTTGTTGGAAAATGTTGGTTTTTGGGACTGTCAGTGACTGTGTTGTCTAGGTCGAGGAATGGGCTTGGACCCTACTATCGCCAGACCATGTCCAAATTTTAAAAAAGGCGATAAGTTGGGTCCAAGTTACTCGGACTACATATCCGGCAAACTAACGTTTACTAAAGGTTTGCCGTCTCCGGCAAAATATCCACTGCCTTTTTTTATATATGATTATGAACAGACATGACAGAGAGAATTGTTTTTGGCTATTTAACTCCTGTCCTGGCATTGCCTGCCTCAGTGCCTGCCTGCCTGGCATGCCTGGGGGTGGGGCGCTATTGACAATGTATCTCAGGTTTTTTTTTCAATTCTGGGGGAGAAATGTACACAGAAATGCAAATTGAAAAATTCACCAATTTCAAAAACAATTTTCCCAAAACTCGGTTTTGCATCCTTGTGCACAGACATGACAGATGCGTCATTTCGTCAAAACGGCGACTATCTCATGGATGGTGTGGGGCTCACGTAAACTATGCATGCGGACAGACGTGTAATCCCGACACTCAACAACGTCGTGAACTTCCAAGCCTAGAATTCGGTCATTTAATCATCCTGTTTTCAGACGACATCTCCACTCAACACCTACCTTGCTGTCATTCCTGACAAACTGAATTCCATGTCCCGGATAAACGGGACACGAACAAAAATAACACTTTTCTATTCGCATTTTAAAGGGTTCTTCGTGATAGATCCGCACTAGCGCTGCTGCCACGCAAGAACGGGTTCCCTAATACGTACGAACGCATCACGCGCCGGGTATATTTGTAACGGGTACCAGCGAAGTACAAGACTTTGCACGTGTTTTTACGTTTGCGCAAACTGCACACGAAAACAACGTGCGTGTTTGAACAGGTGCTTTTAAAATCGAGGCTCCCTTCCAGACTTGCTCGTCACTCACGCCAACTCTGGTAATTGCCAAAACCATATGGAAATACTTAAAACTCTGACTGTTTATTCATATAACCTGATATGTTTATTTCAGAAAATTGTTCACTGCTAAATAAGACTTAAGAGATCCCAAAGACAGTACCCGTTCAGAGGCATCCGGAGGGTGCATGAAGTTTATAAGAGAGCCGCATCGGTGACGAGGCCGAGGTTTTACTTAATCTGGGGGGGGGGGGAGTGCGATGGCTCCGAAAGGACACGTGACCGTTAATTAATCTCGCGTTGCTTTATATAACTCATACAGACGCCCAACAGTTCATCCACTCCTCAAGCTGTCACATTAGGCACTGTGAGATATGATCAGCTAAGCACCGCCAGACTCTGAAGGACTAGCTAGGGGTCACAGCTAACGCCAATCGAAGCTCAACGCGCCATTGCCTGAGCCAAATCCGACCTTATAACATATTTGGCTCATAAGCAGTGGTGTGAAGGCTACGGGGTGCCCGGGGGGGGGGGGGGGGGGGAGAGTGCCCCAGCCGATGTCCAGTCTATGTTACTAGACCATGGCACCATGGTCTATGCAAGACAGCGTAACCGCATCTTGACCTCTAGATTTTGACCAATCAGCGGGCGCTTCAGTCTATATCGGGTCCTCGGTCATTCACCATTGTCGCCGGGTCGAGTAGACATGGATAAAAGACACTAGGCAACAAAGGCTGGTCACGCGCTAGTCATGTTACGCGACACCCGGCTGTTGTATATTACAAGACACTGCTTTCGAATTGACCAATCACAGTTTTAATCACGATTTGGGAATGAAATGACGTCACGTATTTAGTTAGGTCGACTCCGATTGGCTGAGGCGCAAGATCGTATAAATCTGCATGCTTTGATATCCGAGTGAGACGTTACTAACAGGAGAATTGGCTCCGGGGATAATGGTGATACCCAGACTAGCCGATGTCCGTGCCCCAATTCAAATCTCGAATTGAACAAAAATAATGTCACCATTTGCCTTCCCGCGCCCCAAGAAGTTTCACCCTAAGTGGCGCCACTGATCAAGGCGGAAAAGGCTGATGAGCGCAAACTTTAGCGTTAACCCCAAGATTCCCGTGGAGGACCCACCACCTTACACCCAGTCTCCATCCCCTTAGTAAATTAAACTCACTAATGACAACCATCACATTCTCCATATACTTCAGATCGCCCTGGCCTTGCCTGCATGCGCCACCCCTGACAGCCCCCGGCCGGTAATTGGCGCCCCCCGCAATCTATACATGTCTTCATCCACTCCAAGTTATTGTTTTTCCTCCCCTGCCGGTTTTTTTTCATCATCCCTCTTTGATCTTCACCTACAACCACTTTCCTCTGTTGGTTCCCCGAGGCTCCGCCATATAGTACCACCCGGTACCCCCTTCATCTTTCCACTGGCTGTTAATACCTCTTAAATTGTTTTTAACTTTTTCCTCCCAAAATCGTTTTAATATTGACCTATCGTCGTTTGTGATTTAGCCACGCTCCTTAGACAACCCTATGGAGTTTTTCATTTGTTTGTCTAAGATTTTACACGAATATTTCACACGCTGCGTTGACGCGATTCTACCGCGATAGGTCGATTATCGTGATTTTAGTATGAAAACTGAGAAAGCATCGAAAGAGTGCATGCAAACCTCTGCCTAGGCTAAACAATTCACCGCCATATTGTTAGTACACCCAAAAGAAATACTCGCATCAATGGAGAATAATCCTTTAAAAAATTCCTGGATCCATGGTCTATAACATTTTTAGCAGATTCGCTGATTAATTATGCCATCTTGACATCTACATTTTGAACAGTCAGCGGGCGCTTTCTATATCGAGTCGATATCTTCAGTTATTTACCGTTATCTCCTCATATAGACATGGATACAAAAATAAATAAAAAAAACCTAGACAGTCATGCAACAAAGGCTGTGGTCACGCGCTACTATGCTACGCGACACGCGCCCGGTTTGTTGTTGTGTTACAAAACACGGCATTGGTCGAAATTGACCAATCACAGTTCAGTGGTCCTGATTTAGGAATGAAATGGCGTCTCAATTTAGTAAAGTCGACTCCGATTGGCTGAGACGCGAGATTGCATAAATCTGCATGCTTTGACATATCAGACGTTAGACAGGAGACTTGGCTCCGTGGATAATAAATGTGACCAAAATAATGGTCCGTGATGTGAGGAGTTGGCCAGTTGCATGGAGTCAAGGGAGGTGTGGCTCGTTAGGCATCGTTCCCGCCTCAAGACGGCCTCACGGCAAGGGCGGATCCAGGGGGGGGGGGGGGGGGGGGGCCAAAGGGGGCCATGGCCCCCCCCCCCCAAAACGAAACCAATTTTTTTTTTTTTATGTGACATCGCAATAAAGGCAGGCAATGAGTACACCACCATCTTTTCCTCAAAAAAAATTGGTTAAAGTGGTCAGAAATTGCCTCAGATCGCACCACAGAGCATCTAGAATCCAAAAATTTTTCGGGGCCCTAGCGGGCCCCGAACCCCACGCCGTAATTTTTTAGACCCACTTTTTGGGGGGACCAAAATTTTTTTTGGCCCCCCAAAAAATTGTGTTCTGGATCCGCCCTTGCCTCACGGCAACGTTTCGAGCCGACTTGACTGACTGGCTGACTGATGTGAGACTAACAGATCCGGATCACTTCCAAAATCGAATCGATTTGTAGCTTTGTACTTGTACCAACTAGGACCACCCCTATTTTGGATGCAAATCCGTCCAAAACTTCCATACCAACCAATCAACAAACTCACCAAATCCGATGAAAACATAACCTCCTTGGCGGAGGTATAAATAATTAATGCCTCACTGAATTAAATATAAAAAAGATGTAAATGTTCTTTCAAGTTCTCCATAGCGGTGTAGCGATCGCGCGCGAGTTTCATGCACGCTTGTTCTCAGGGGTCATCGAGTCTACTTTTTGATATTCATGTACAAAGCAAACCTAAAACCGCTTTCTAGGAACGTAGTGCACTCTGTTGTGGGGCATGTGGGGACGATATTATAACTAAGGTCTTTTCAGAACTTCCAGACTACGTGACGGTGCATCTGTCGTCCATTTCGTCGGTTTTGCCTCTGTTTTTGGCATTATTCACTTGGATTTCCGGTCCATTTCTCCCTGTAGTCAGCAGCTGAAGGGACGGTTCAACCATGGCAGATGCCAAGAAACCTCGCATGGTAACTTGTTCGTCTCTCGAACCCATGAAACCCGGTGTACTAGCTGACTAGCTTGAGTTATCGTCCATGTCCGGTGCCCCAAATTCGCGCTGCCCAATATTCGCGCTGCCCAATATTCGCGCAGCCCAATATTCGCGCAGCCCAATATTCGCGCAACCAACCTTCTCGGCTCATATTTTTTTCACACACATGACACAACACGGACCGACGTCAAAATCACCGTCGTTGATCCATCGTCACGTCGCCTTTCTTCTCGATGTAGTTTAGCCCCATAAATGTGGCCTATTTACTGGACTGCCTCCGTAAACATAGGCCACACATCCACATGTACAAAAATCGTGTCGACGGAGCCAAATTTTGATTTTCACATTTAGGCTTAGTTTGTAGGTTTTTTTTGCTTTAGAAGCATACTCACCCTCTTTACAGGCTAATCAGAAAGTGCTGCATTTTTAAGATGTCTAATTTTTGTGAAATTTCATGTTGAAATTTTGATACGCAAACGTGTAAAAATGAATCTGGAAATTTCACGAAAAATATACATCTGAAAAAGGCAGCACTTTCTGATTAGCCTATAAAGAGGGTGAGTATCCTTCTAAAGCAAAAAAACCCTACAAACTAAGCCTAAATGTGAAAATCAAAATTTGGCTCCGTCGACACGATTTTTGTACATGTGGATGTGTGGCCTATGTTTACGGAGGCAGTCCAGTAAATAGGCCACATTTATGGGGCTAGATGTAGTTATGCGGAAATCAAAAGCTTTTCCGAGAAGTACTTTGAAAGAACGCAGTCATGGCAGTGGCTATCGTTACGGCAGCTGTAACGCATTTCCCATTTTCTATCGCTACGGTAGTACTGGAACTTTTATAAAATATGAGAAGAAAATATAAAATTAGAAGAAAAAAAAGTGAATTTGAACGTTATGAAATTCGGACTTTATTTCCCTTTTAAAAAAAATCCTCCAAAGCCTCAGGTTAGAAAAGGAAAAAAATTTGAGTACATAACTGGATGCGAACCCGCAACCTCGCGGTGCAAAATCCTACCCTCTATCGACTGAGCTGTCGCACTGCTTGCTAAAACGTGGGGAAACAAATAATTATATACCTGCGTGCGTATCAAAGTATCGTAGAGGGCGCTAAACAACGGCTGCCGTAACGATAGCCACTTTGTTGAAAGAAATCAAAGAGAGTGTAAATTATTGCCGCACTGACTAGATACAAAACGTAACATTATTGAATGGCCCAGAAAACTAATAAGAAGTTAAGAACATCGCTACGAATTTCCAATCAGTGTCGCTGTCCAACTCCGAAACGTGAAGACAACTTCGGTCAACTTTCACTAAACATTAAAACAACAGAGGGCGTAATCAGAATTACGGAGCACGAAATGCGACGTGCACCTTATCGCGTCTTTATTTTACGATCTGTTTCGCCAAGATGCAGATTTCGGTACCGAGTTGTTTGTTGGAATATGCCTTAAAATATATTTCTGTGGGATTAAGAGCTAATCGTAATGTTTAAACTTAAAAGTAGGCCAATACCTGTGTTTTTTTTAAAATTGAAATGATGTGTTTCATGCAACCATGTGTTGAGACGGCGCGATCGGATCGGCCATGGTATGGTCGGCCGCGTTGCAGGTGTGCACGCCTGTATAATTGATTGATTTATCGCAGGTGTATTAGAATGAGCAATAAATGCCGGAGAACATGGTTACAGAAGGGTGGTTTTGTTATGTTTTTGATGGAGGGGTAATTAAAAAATATATTTGTCCATGTACTTAACAATATAGCCACGGCATACTAAAGTTATATTGCATATGTTTCTATTTTTGGAGAAAAATGTTATGTCATTGGCACATGCTTGATTTTTAGCAAAACGAAAATTCTCGGAACTCTTTTCATGCATAAGTTAATAAGATTTAACTAAGCTTCTTAGATTTTCGACAAAAATTTATTATAAGATATGTGGATTTAATTTATTTACCTCAAATTTTCAATATGATATGATTTAAAATATTTTGCATGCAGTTGTTTTTACCAAAATCGAAAGAAATTCATTTATTTTATATTTAAACAAACGTGTATTTACAATGTAGGCCAAAAAAAATATAAAAAAAAAAATACTTCTGCTTCCAGATACCTGACCGACCCTATTTTTAGGCTGCGACCCTAAACATTTTATCGGCAATTCCAAAAAAAAAAAAAAAGCTTGAATAAATAAAAATAAAATTTTGTTGTCTTTTCTGTCTTCACAAAATACCTCTCAACAACCCTTTTGCATCAAAAAATGCTTGTATTGAATTGTTTTCTTACTTACATTCGCTATTTTGTATGGTTCCCCTGAGTGGCTATGCGGATATATAGTGGGAGTGCAATTGAGCGTGATGCGTGTCCATACACACAGGTACATGTACATACTGGTAGTACTGAAAAGGTTAAATCTTGAGGGCAATCAACTGTGACTCCGTAACGGGCTACGAGAGATGTATAGGTCGAGCGGAGGACGTATTCTGCGATTGTGCCCTGCAGGAGTGCCTTGCAATTGATTGCCTTAAAAATATAATTTTAAGGCCAACATGTCGGTCCCTAACTTCACTTCAATCTAAAGTTTTAAGATAGATTAATCCTAACCCCTTGAGCAATTTGCTAGGAACCTTCCTCACTCTTGCAAATTCCAACACCATATGGTAACTCTACACCCAAACTGTTGGACTCTGATTACGGTGGTATGCCTGACCCCATGTAAAGCAAAATCAGTTTGCTGGTCAAGTACTCACTCCAACAGATTCCAACAAAACCTGGTGTTGGAGTTTGATTGGACTGGGATTGTTAGGGTTACTACATCTTGTAATTTTTGAGATTTAACCAATGTAGTCATCAGGCTGGTAGTCATAGGCTGTTGGATTCATGTTTGTCATGTTTGTTTATACCCCCAAATGGCATCATTACAGCACTGTCATTTGCTTAAGAATGTGGGGAGTACATGTTTGTAAATACCGGCTATCCTGGACCTAGGACAAAAGGGTTAGGGCAAAAAAAATAGGCCTACCTCCATGATTGACCAAACGTCCACGATTGAAATTCGTGTACAAAAGCAACGAGAGCTGTTGCTAAACAGTTACAGTACCAACAAAGGAATGAGGATTAGGGACAATGGGGGGTCCACGAGAGGTCCCCAATTTGGATTCGTGTACAAAACATATGGGAGGTCTTCCTAAAAAGTTAGAGTACACACAAAAGAGGGACAATAGGGGGGTCCCCAATTGCATGCAAATACCCGGTACACATTTGGTTGACTTGGTAGAATGCATGCAGTATATCAATACCACGGAAAAAATGATCAGACGTTGCAAAAACATGAAACTGAATTGAATTGAGTTAAAATTCTCCCAATTTCTGTCAGAAAATACATCGTGACTGACACTAACAGTAACAGTGACAAACAAAATTGGAAGTATTGTAAGTCCTTAATTCATGTTTCTTTATAAACATAATTTTATTTGCAATGACTGACCATATGAAGTCGAAAAAGTGGCATGTTGATGTTCCTTCTGATTCTACCCTTCATTTGGCAGAAATGTCTGGTCAGTTGGCTTCTAGTTGGTTTGCCCCATAATGATACTGGACTAGGCCCGGGTCTGAGTTGGTGACAAAAACAATATTTTTAACTTGTCTATAACCTAAGCAAGAATCACAATAGAGTACAGGGCCATAAAAAGCAACATCATTTTTTTAATTCTTAGGAGGCAAAGTTACAAATAAACGTTAGTCTCCATGGTGAATTTAAATCACAATGGGGGTGTTGGAGGTGCAGAAGACAGAGGGCGCTGTAGCCTCATATATGCGCAACCTGGCATTCAACTTCGTGACCCCGCATTCCATAGTTGTACCTCCATGGGCTAGGTAGATGATTTAAACTATTAGCTTCTGATTTGGGTCTTTTCAGGAGAAGAGAGGCCTGATGGAGCGTCTCAACGCAGGAGAGATTGTCATCGGAGACGGTGGGTACGTCTTTGCACTGGAGAAGCGTGGCTACGTCAAGGCTGGACCCTGGACACCAGAGGCAGCCGTAGAATTTCCTGATGCAGGTAATTATTGGTGCTTGCCTGGCATTTCAGCTTTCCTTAATCCTCAAGCATCGTAAGGTTAACTAGTTTACAACGTGTATTACTCTATGAGAGCACAGGCATGACATGACATGTCAAAAAAGTTTTGGACTTGCAGGTATACATGTATTTGCAGAACGATGTGGTGGATGTGTCATGTACATTATTTACAGTAAAGTGGTCATATATTCTTTTCACAAACAGAGGCATGTGTCCCCCCCCCCCTTCCCCCAATTTTTCCCAAACTGTGATAATTAGAACAATTGCATAAGGATCATATAAAGGATCATACAGAATGGTTTGTATTATAGGCTCCTAATTTTGTAGACCCCAAAATTTGACCTTCAGCGTTAGTGGTCAGGAATTCTGATCAAACGAGACAAATTTTGGCAATGCCATGGGAGCAATCTTTTTGTCTTTGTCAAACTACTAATAACCCCTTAAACCCGGTTTTGTTTTTTGAGTACTTGCCGGGCAGCCGGTATTAAATGACTACGACCGTACATGGTGGGGTCAACCAGGATATGTCTGCGGTAATCGCCGGGCCACACACACACACAGTGCCGGCCAGGCCGAGGTGCTGGATTGCGCGCCACGTAGGCCCAGTACATGTACAAAAATGTACATGACTTTGAGTACATGTATGTACATTTACGTTGGTATACCTAAAAAGACTGCACTGTGATCGGGCTGCTTATCTTTCAGTATTACGTGTGTTCTTTTTTGTAGAATAGTTGATGCTATTTGTGAATATTTTCACCCGCTAGTATTCCCTCCCCCATTTTACTATCCATACCATAAAATATATCTCATCTGTAAATATTTCCTTTCTTACCAAATACCCCAATACCATGACTTTCTTTCCCCGTTATATTATAAAATATACTTGTAAAAAAAGCAAAGACAGAAACTGGTTTTTGTTTCATTTTTTGTCACATATTTCTTGTCATTTCTTTGTTATTCCTCTTCACATTTACAAAAATGATTTTGCACTTCTTATTTTCTCTTACTTTCTTATTCTCATCATTTCAAATAAAATGAAGTAACTGAACTGAATACAAATGTTATTTACAAATGTCTTTTTTTCTCTTTTCTCTCTTTATAATTACAACTGAAATGAAACTGAAATGCTGTACAGTGAAATTATATTGGTGAGGTGGGTTGCATACAAGATGTCTTCCAGGGTATCAAACAATTTACTTGGTTCAATGATAAACTTTGAAACAAGGGGCAGGACAAAGGGGAACTTCACAAGTTTCACACATGAATCTAGTTTCTTTTCTAATGAAATTTCTTGAACAAACAACACAACGTTTGAACAACCTAGCACGTTTCCCCGTTGAGGGTATGTCAGCAGGGAAGTGTCTTCCTTTCAGTCTACGTGGACCAGGAAGACGGGCGGGTCTACCTCTAGATCGATATACAGGGAGGTTTGGTGTGTGGGCCCCTAGTATTTCATTCACTAGTGTCCACCTGAAATTCAAGTATTTGTCAGTCCCACCCAATGCTTTGTGCACAAGATGAGAGTTCAAAAGGCAGACATCTAGCAGGTAGAAGAACAGTTTCTTGTACCACTTGATGGACTTTCTGACCGTGCGGCGAGATGAGGCAAGTTGGTCTTACATGTCCAAGCCCTTCATGCCTGTGTTGTAGTCGATGACACACTTGGGCTTCTCGATGGACTTCTTGTAACGGTCGCACTTGCCGGAGTCCCCCATTGCGGCCGTGTGCATCGTAGACAACATGCGTACATCTTTCTTGTCTTTCCAGACCAAGGCAAGCAGGCCTTTGTCTGAAGAGCGATATGCAACTTCGCCTTTACGAAGTTGCAAGTCGCACAAGTCCTTGGGCATGTCCTTCCGATTTTTCCTGACTGTCCCGACGACGTTGGTCTTGTGACTGTGGAGTTCCAGAAACAGAGAAGGGCTGCTGAACCAGTTGTCAAGAAAAACGGTGTACCCCTTGCCGAGAAGATCTGCGTTCAAGTCAAGTACGATTTTCGTACTTGCCGGTGTATCGCTCTTGTCTTGCCCCGTGTATATTTTCAAGTTCCAGGTATATCCGGCGGCAGCTCCCGTGCTTTGGCAGACTCTGTATACCTTGATGCCAAATCTGGCGCGCTTCTTGGGGTTGAATTGCTTGAACTTCAATCTTCCCTTGAACTTCCACAGCGACTCGTCCATGGATATACGGCTGTCGGGAAGGTAGACTGATTTGAAGTTCTCAGTCAGTGTATCTATCACCGGGCGGACCTTGTAGAGGCGATCATTCGTATCTGCCTGACGTAAGTGCAGATGGAACAGCAGCTCCATGAATCGGTCACGGGGCATGGTGTTGGGGAAGAACGGGGTCTCAAATACGGGGTCTCTCGTCCAGTAGAGTTTCAAGTCCGGCTTGGGCATTATTCCAATGATGATTGTCATGGCCAGGAACACCGACATCTCATCTGGAGTAGTATCGAACCATTCCCTCATGTGACTTGGACTTGGCGATTGACGCTTTGGTTTCAGGGCGGCGTAGCGATTTGTCTCATCGGCGATGTGCGCCACCAGTTCGGGAGGGAAGAAGTTTTCGAAGATCTCCGTTGCTTCGCTAAGTTCATTCAAACCCGGCACTTGAACTCCCGTTGTTCCATGACAGCCAAATCGACGAGGAAAGTTGTCCGTGTCCTTCCATCGAATTGATTGGGTAGTCTTGGCTCGCTTCTCTAACGTTGCTAACGGGACTTGTTCGTCAGAATCGCTGTCACTACTTTCAATTTCTGAACTTTGTTCAGATTCCGAATCAGAATCTAAACCACTGGTAGCAGTCAAAGTTTGCTCGTCTTTACTGGAAGACATCGTGTATGCAAGTGCCTATACACTGTGTACATGTACATGTACACAGAAAGCCCAGTGTGATCAACCGAGCGTACCCTACACACAGAGCGCACGTACACTAAACAAAAGCCCCTATTCATCGCCCTCTCGCCCGTGGGAGGTGCATAATGGAAAGCACTCAGTGAGCTCGTAACACTAAAAGCCCTTCTATTCAATTTAGAAGAATAGGTCCTTTCAATTAGTAAATTAGGTTTTGGAAGAATAATGAGGGTTCTCCAAACTTTTCCCTACTACAAAAAAAAACACCTTTCAATCAAAACCTGCCGGTAACAACAGGTGGGAGATGAATGAAATGTGTACGTGCGGCAATGCCACTATACCCGCTCCCCGGCACATAGACTTAAATCAGTCCGCGGCCATGATCGCTTGCTGTCCTTAAGGGGTTAAGTCTCATACTTGTATTTTTTCTTGCTACTCTAGGCATTCTAAACACTTGTGTATTTTATGAGTACTGTTATATTTCTTCAATCTGCAGTTCGTCAGCTCGCTCGTGAGTTTCTTCGTGCCGGCAGCGATGTCATGCAGGCTTTTACGTTCTACGGCAGCGACGATAAACTGGAGAACCGTGGCAATGTGTCCCAAGAGAAGCATACTGTAAGCTTGAAAGCCGCATCTGAAATGACCTTCCTGGGCTAGGGCTTTGGCTATCCACCAAAGGGTGCCAATGGCAAACATCAAAGCCATACAATACTTACATTTGTTAATGGCTTGGTCTCTAAATTAGGACAATGACATGGGCCAAATATCATAGCTCCACATACCTTTTAGCAACATTCACCAATTTTACTGCAACAGAGAATTCTGTGATATTTGTATTTGATTGTTTAACAAGGTATCTCTGCGTCAGTGCTCGATGTCTTTACTTGCTCTTTAGGAATAGAACAGCGCAAAATTCTGTAGTTAAGCCATGAGATTTATTTTTGTTAATCTCAAAGCTTGTAATATTCCCGTTATCAGATTGTAATGCGCATTTCCATCTCTATTTATAAGCATGCCCATGCATAGACTTTGCTTATGCCTATCCTTCGCAGATTATGTGCACATATTCCAGGCAATTCCCTGCTGTGTCTTTATCTGTGTAAAGGCTAGTTCATATATGTACTTCATACGCAAATGTGAATTTAAATGATCTTACCAAACATTTGCGACGAAATTCACAATGATGGAAGTGTGTTCATGTTAATGAGCATCATGAAGACCTGTCATCTCCCAAATACTCAAAATTTATTTCCAATAATTTGTTGAATTTTCATGCATAATTGCATACTCTTCTTGGACCCTTGTAATTGTCATATTTTTCCCTTTTGTGGCAATTTGGTCAACTACTTGTGAGTTCTTCACTGTTCGTGAGTAACTTTTTTTGGTACTCAAGTTAACATTTACTACTTGTACACCACAAGAATTGATCACAGCATAAGACATAGAAGTGGCTGAAAGAACCTCAAATTATTTTCTCTTCTTGTTTCAAGGTTTCAAATTGATTGACCTGGTTGAATACAAAAATGGGTGTCATCCTTAATACAAGCATCCCGTTCCTTCTAAATTACCTACTAAAAGAACATTTCTTTGCTAGAACTTGAGCTACCAAATTCCCAACTTGCACACAAGTGATGTTTTTTGTTTTGTTTTTGACAGGGTGCAGTAGTCAACAGTGCCGCCTGTCAGATAGCCAAGGAGGTTGCTGATGAGGGTAACGCCTTGGTGGCCGGGGGTGTGTCACAGACCCCCAATTATCTGTCAGGGAGTGGCAAGGAGGCAGTGCAAGAACAGTTCCGCAAACAGGCTGAGGTCTTCATCAAGAATGATGTGGACTTCCTCATTGCTGAGGTAAGGCAACAAGAAGTATTTCTTGATTTGTTGGGAAAATGTTGGTTGGAGGATAACGTTTAGCACATGTACCGTAACTCCCTGTGTATTTGTGCAGGAGCCCCATCTTTGTACTTCAGCCCCTAGCCTGGATGCTATCCGCGACCAGTCCCCTAGCTGGTTTTAAACGTTCTTGTTCAATACCGGCCAAGCACGTACATGTAATGATACCTATATGTAATTAACGTAATTATTCCTATTCATTAATACCTTTTGTTGAATTGTTCGCAGTACTTTGAGCATGTAGAGGAAGCAGTCTGGGCCGTTGAAGAGTTGAAGAAGACCGGCAAGCCCGTGGCTGCAACGCTCTGCATCGGACCTGAGGGTGATCTGCACGGTGTGTCGGCCGGTGACTGTGCTGTACAACTAGCCAAAGCAGGTCAGTACAAAGTCTGTCTTATTTATTCCTGGATCCAAACTCATTGAGCTGTTAAAGCAGGAAATGTCACTCAACAAATCTATGTGGTATTAAAGAACAAATGGGCAATTACCAGTCTCAAGTAGTACACATAGCATGACCTTTTAGCTGGTAAGCATGTTTTGGTAAGCAGATATTTTCTGAAACTAGTTAACATCTGGTCTGAACAGCAGCTAGAAAATTTGAGCACATAATGTGGAGCTTTACATGTTTAAAAAAACTTGAAGCAATTTACTTTAAAGCTCCTGTTCATCAGCTATGACATGTATTTGGTGATAGTGCAAACAGTCCAGTACCACCACAGGCACCCATTTATACAGGGTGGATAAAAAAACCGAAACCAAGACATTATTCATAATTGGAACAGAAGTAGGGCACCTGTGAATCAAAGGGAGATATCCTCTGTTGGGGTTGAATCGCCTCTTTAAAATGACACCCTGGTCATGTCCTTACATGCATGGTTGACTGAGCAGTGACCAACTTTATGAAAGGATTTATTTAGAGACTTGCGCCACTTTTCATGGTGAAATCTCTTTGTTTTTTCCCCACCTGCCTTGACTGGCAACCATAGCCTTCCACTCTGTGACAATTGACACAACAAAAACCACAATTGAAAAGTGGCGCAATTCTCTAAATAGACCCTTTCATAAAATTGGTCACTGCTCAGTCAACCGTGAATGTAATGACATGACCAGGGTGTCATTTTAAAGAGGAGATTCAACTCTAACAAAGGATATCTCCCTTTGATTCACATGTACCCTACTTCTGTTCCAATTAGCAATAATATCTCGGTTTCAGTGTTTTTTTTATCCACCCTGTATATTCGTGAGTGGAGAAAGGCTTCTTGCTAAAGAACACAGGTGCCATACCTGTCTGACATAAGTCCGGCACCATAACCACTGGGCTATCTTGAGAGAAGTTTTTGGATACACAATTTGAAATGAAAAAAAAAGAACTGATGGTTGTGAGTAGAACTTGTAGTTCACGCACCAATTTTTCTTTTTCAGAAATTGTCACTTCAAACGTTGCATCCACAAACATCTCCAAAGCTGTCAACTCCACCATGCAGAAACTCAAATCTTGGTTATAGGGCCTTAGCGTTGTACATATGATGACTTTATTGTTTTGATTTGTTTAATAGGTGCTGACGTCGTTGGCCTGAACTGCCACTTTGGTCCCGTCAAGACCCTGGAGGCCATCCGTCTGATGAAGGCAGCCATGGACAAGGAAGGTCTCAAGCCTTTCCTCATGACCCAGCCACTAGGCTTCAAGACCCCAGATGTAGGCAAACAGGGATTCATTGACCTCCCTGAGTTTCCCTTTGGTGAGTTTTGGCAGCTGCTGTAGATTTTCACAAGAATTAATGCTATAAACATCAGTCCATTTACACGGCATGTGTTTGAAGGTGTAATACAGGGGTTTACGACATCCTGGCTTTGTCTCCAACATCAACTTCATCTAAAGGCTAAGATTTAAGAGAGTTCAGCCGTGTTCAAACCAATGAAAATAAACCGACCATTGGCCTTGAGTGAGAGGATTTGCTGTCTCTATAGCAGAATTTCAGTCGAGTTTGTCAAGTCAGAGACTCAAATTATGAATCCAGAGTCTGAAGTCAAACCTGGAGATGGAGCCTACATTTCATAAACACCCAGCGAAATAGCAAGGGATCTGTCTAAACTCAAGCCTATTTGTTTCACTTTCTTTCTCCAAAAGGTCTGGAACCGCGCATCCTAACCCGCTGGGACTGCCACAAGTATGCCCGCGAGGCCTATGAGATCGGCGTGCGTTACATCGGTGCCTGCTGTGGCATGGAGCCTTACCATGTCCGTGCCATTGCTGAGGAGCTATCCCCTGAACGAGGCTGCACACCAGCTGGGTCTCAGAAGCATGGCATGTGGGGTGATGGCTTGCGCCAGCATACCAAGCCGTGGGTGCGTGCTAGGTAGGTTATTGTTGACCAAGACATTCATGACTTGGTTGATATCAGTTCTCTTAGACAGTGACTCATAAGTCTGGTAGATTTACCCAAGCTTATAGGCTATGTTCTAGTGCTGTGCATTTTCAAAAAGCTTTTTTTGGAACTTGGATTTGATTGAATATTCGACCAATGACATTGAGGTAAAAAAACTTTTGTTATGAATATCGCGTATGTCTTGATATATTTTTTTGGAGATAGCTGACAAGCTGATATTTGATGAGTTTTAAAGATGCAAATTACGGCTAATTTTCCTCATGGAAGTTCTCAAATTAAGCATGTAAAATGGCTGTCCACAAAAATGTGGAAATATGACACACAATGAAACCAATGAACTTATACCAAGAAAATTACATCACAAACGCTTTCGTCATGTCCTCGAGATGGCTCACATTTTTTTTTATATTTGGTAAAATGGCATTTGGATATCAGTGGATGATGGAATATTCAGTATATTCGACACAGCTTTACTCTGTTCATGAACAGAAGATGAGATGTTGAAATCACTAACGAATGCTCAATGTTTGAGACGTGCTGCACAAAAACCCCAAACATCTTTGCATGGGTGCCTGGCGTACAACGTTTGAGAGTCTTGCTAACCGTCTTGTTGTCACTGTTGAGTAGGTATTTGTACATGGATTCCCCATATACTTATCATGACCATTGTTGTCAATCTCTCTGGACTTCAGGGCTCGTCGCGATTACTGGGAGAACCTGAAGCCAGCCAGCGGCCGGCCAGACTGCCCCGTACTGGCCAAACCGGATGGCTGGGGGGTCACCCAGGGTGACAAGGATCTACTACAGAAGACCGAGGCTACCACTGATGCTGAACTCCAGGAGCTCTTCCAAAAGTAGGCTGGAAATGAGGTTAAGTGATACAACCAACACCAGACCCAAGTTTATAGTCAACGAAAAGAAAGCGTAGATATTTTTGATAAAGGTTTCGTAGGTATTTTGTTTGTGTGTTTTTCTTCAACTGAAGTTTCTTTTTTCCCCATTCTTGAATTTTGTTCATCATCAATTTCCACTAACAACAAACTAGTTCAGATGTTGACGAAGTACATGAATAACACATTATAGCTACATTGCATTGGAGAGTGTGCATAACAGTCATGTATTCTTGAAATTTAGATTTCCTTTTTTTTCTAGTAGCAGTTGCTTGTATTCTGAAATTTAGATGGAAACATTTTTAACTAGACGGTTAAAACCCAAAATGTTTTAGATGCAATATTTCACAATATCGTTGCCGAGACAACACACAACCTAAAGCAGCTAATAACTTGTGTTCTTAAAAACAGATTCTGATAATGTATTCCGTAGCTATAAGCGAAGTGTTATTTTGATTTCTTTTTGGATAAAGTAAAACTTGATATCCATTGCTTTTTTCCTTTTGGCTCAACAGGGTAGATTTTTTTTATATCATTTTATGGTTTAGTGACTACTTTAGCCAACAGTCAGAAGAACAATACAAAATGCAACTCTGTAAATTCTAATCAAATGTGTGCTTACTGTTTGATCATAAATCCTGTAATTGTAAACAGTTCAGGGACGTCATCTTAGCCGCGTTTGAATGACACACGACTAGGGCTGGCTGTAGCACACGTTTATAGGAAGTGAATTCGGCAGCCTACAAGTGTAGTTGTATGTGATTTCCCTAATTTTTTTCTCCACAATTCCGAAAATTGAAATCTCATTGAATATTTTTCATAACAGTGTTACACACTGTCGTATGTAAATCACACAATGAAGGGCTTGGGCGCAGGAGTACTGCAACTGTACTTCCAAGAGCTTAGTTGAGGGTGGAGCACAAGTGTTGTGAGTACAGAACATGCCAAATGAGGCTTATATGCTATGGACATGAGTGAGTATCAACAAAAACTACTCCTGAAAGCTTTCAAAAGTCCCACTTTTATCCTGATTTTGTCCCCCAATAATGCGAAATTATAATTATACCAAAAACGCAGTTCTACCTCAGTCAAGCCCTTTAATTGAGAAAATACAAAAGGGCTTGTTCTTCCATTTTTGTTTGCAAGTTTCCCTTCGCTTTCCCTGAAATATTTCCCAACAGATATTTACTTGATGAATTGGAAGTTGAAACATGGTTTTTATGATGCTGTGGACATGGATGAGTATCAACAAAAACTACTCCTGAAAGCTTGCAAAAGTCCCCCAATAATGCGAAATTATAATTATACCAAATACGCAGTTCTACCTCAGTCAAGCCCTTTAATTGAGAAAATACAAAAGGGCTTGTTCTTCCATTTTTGTTTGCAAGTTTCCCTTCGCTTTCCCTGAAATATTTCCCAACAGATATTTACTTGATGAATTGGAAGTTGAAACATGGTTTTTATGATGCTGTGGACATGGATGAGTATCAACAAAAACTACTCCTGAAAGCTTGCAAAAGTCCCCCTTTTATCCTGATTTTGTCCCCCAATAATGCGAAATTATAATTATACCAAATACGCAGTTCTACCTCAGTCAAGCCCTTTAATTGAGAAAATACAAAAGGGCTTGTTCTTCCATTTTTGTTTGCAAGTTTCCCTTCGCTTTCCCTGAAATATTTCCCAACAGATATTTACTTGATGAATTGGAAGTTGAAACAAAAGAAATACTGTGGATTTTGATCAAATGAAATATATTTGCCTGCAAGGTTTTGCATCAATCCCTACTATTTGTCCACAGGTGACAAAGTTGACCTGCATAAAAGTCAAATCATGTGCAGTTTAATCTTTTTTCCTGTTTGTGTTGGTTTTAAAGTGTAATCCTAAAGAGGACAACTTTAGAGCGAATATTGAATATTCATTTAAAACCTAGTTTTTTTTAATTTTTTTTTATCTATTTAATAAAGATAGTTTACCACTTTTCATCCACACTTTTGCTATATTTTAGAGACAACTTCATGTTACTAACTCAACAAATTGCTGAAACATAAATTGAATAATAACAGGTTTAATAAAGGTCCAACAATGTTTTTTTTTCTTTTAAAGAATAGTTGATTGTGAACGATTACATTGTAAGATGCATTCCAGAGACCATAGGTCTGCTGAGTTAGTTAATTAGATTACTTTGGAAATTGAGGGTGTTTTTAGTAATAAAAACTAGCAATCCCTTTGAGTGTGAATGTGTTTGATTCTCTTGGAGTTGTTATTCAACGGCACGGTTGCTCAGTGCTAAGCCAGTTCAGTTTTCCAATTGTGTGGGCATTAGATTTAATGAATTGGGGGTCAGAATGAACATTCATTGTGTGTGTGCATCATCAAACAAAATGGAAGAGAAGTTGTGAAGAAAGTACACAATTCTGAAAACTATTTTTTACACCAAATTTGTACAGTATTTAATCATGATGGAACAAGTACAGTTTTACTCTTTGTACACCCTGTTAGTGAAGAAACACTTGTTATGAGTGTACATGACCCTTCTACCTCATTGTCAAACTTTGGTTAACTTAAATTGGAGACTTGGGGCTCAATTTCAAAGAGCTGATGAGCACAGAATTTTGCTGACCACAAAACATTGACTTGGCAGAAACAACTTATCAGGTATAATAGACCTTAAGCTATAACAGCCATCTTAGAAGACAATGGCTTTGTTGTGCTTGGATATGTATGAGTCAACCTTTTCTGCTTTCTTGTCTATATGTGATTTCCAACACTCGTGACTGGTTTTGGATTAATTTTGGCTTAAAATTGCCAAGCAATATATTTTATTCTTGGTAGCTCAGTAAAATTGAGCAACAGAACTCCACAGTTTAGAAATTTGACCAGTTTAATTGATGAAGTAGTTTTTAGAAACTTGATATTTCAACTTGGTGTTGAATCAACAACAAAACTGAGCGGGGGATCTGATTGGTTGACTAGTCATCAGGTCTTGCGGTGTCCCAGTCTACGAGCGATCTCATTGGGTGTTCCCAACTCCATACTGAAGCGGTTCTGCATTGTAAAGGCAGTTGATGTCGCGGGCCCGGTCTGGATGGGCGTGTTGGTGGGACGCAATACAAACTCCTCTGATGTACAAAACAGAGAGAGATCAAAATAATTGAAAGTGGTTGTTGGCTGTACAAAAAACCTGTTTAAAGAAGAAAGCTGTTCAATGCTGTACTACACAAATCAGAAGGACATGTGATTCAAACAACACAAGAAGCCTTCTGGGCTCGGTGTACATGTACCCCCTCAACGGTAGGGAAGGGAAAGTTGGTGGAGATCATTGGGAGAGACATTCGAATGCATTGGCAACGACGCCTGATGCTCACGCAAAGACGCTATGGCTTTGCGCACATTCAGAATAAAATAAGTTGTGAGTACTTCCTGTTGTACTTACATATTGGCACTTATGGGATGCCGGGAACAAAGGGCAACAATAGGGACAATGGTACCCCGCAAGTCTGTCTTTAGAAATTGAAGTACCCCATAGCCCTAACGCTATGTGTTTTGAGATTTCTAAGGAGACAAAACATAGGGGATAAGGGTCGAACAATAGTGGTACCCCATAAACCCCATATGCTAAGTGTCATGATCTAGTACGCGCACTTGGTGTGTCCCTTCACTGGACTCTTGAGGGTGGTAAATAGACGCCCTCTCTGTTGGTGCACGGAACCCATAGTCAATTAGAGAGATAGGCTCGAGTTTACAGGAGTACTGTAATAAAACTAAAAATGCATCAATAACAAAATTAGAATACACTGTCCATTGTCTTGTACCATAAAAATAGACTTGTAGTCAAGTCCTCCCAAGTCTTATGTAATTGATTTGTGGTGATGAGTTTTGTTAAATAGTATTTCAAGTTACGAGTCTTACTCTCCGCTGGTGTCATCACTCTCATATTATCGCCACCTCCTCCACGATGTCTCACAGATCTGCCAGTGCTCTCTGCCAATAACAGTAAAATTAAAAAAAATATATTAAATAATCAGTAAACTTGACTATAACGATACTGAGAAAACTCTGCACATATGGTAAGTGTATTTCATAGGTTAACCTAAACTGTTTAACTTTGTGCATGTGTACAGCCCAAAATTAAGGATTCTCCAATACAGTGTTGGAAAATATTTGTTTGCAGTAAGCAGTAAGCACAGTATGGTTAGTAAGGACAGAAGACATGACGTGATTTATTACAACTCTTGCACCATGTACATGTATCAATAGAGAATGACCAACTTGGGCCTGGGTACAAATACCCCCCTCAGTGGTGACAGAGAGAGTTGAGGCCGGCTCATATTTCAAGTGGATGCGAATTGAAAATGACGTCACTGGAGTTGAAATGTGTTCAACTTTTTCAGATTCCCACTGTGAAAACGTCAGGTGACGTCACAAATTTGCGGTTTGGTTCGGCGCCGAGTCTTGGGCAGACTCTCGATGGCTCAGGCACCAAGCATGCGAAGATGCTACTGGGTTTATACACATAGGGGTTGTTGTTAGTGCTCACACAGTGCCTTGTACTGACTCTGTAGACACTTACCGTCCCCAGATGAGAATGGGTGATCATAGCTGACCAGGGGTGCTGCCTGGTTCCGACCTAGGCCCTCATGTGATGCACTGGGGTCCAGTGTCCTGACATCAATGGACCGTCTGAAACACATTAACCATGACTTTTTAAAGAGTTTGTTGAATGATGAGAAATCTTGATACACATTACATAGCTTGATGATTTCTGGGCATTTTTAGGACACCCTGTTGAATCTGCTATTTTGGATACGCTGTTCTGTTATGAAGAGGTGAGTCAAAGAATAACCCATGAGCAAATTTACAAAGTAATTTTGACTGAAGCTGACAAGTACACCATGGTCTGTGTTATACAACTCGAGTGCAGTCCAAGTCTTTGGCACAGATCACATGCATAAAACAATGCTTGTTCAAATCTACTGACTCAACCTACAATTACTACAGCACACTCTTACCTTCTCAATGCATCATGTATTATCTGCAAAGAAAATGACAAAATAAACAAATTGGTTGTGGCAATACTGATAAATTTGTAAACCAAAGAACGCTACCAATGGAGTAGTATACTTTAAAGGGAATATACATCATTTGCTTTTGCTGTAATTTTCAGAAATGGATGGAATTGGGGGGTTGGAAATATAAAGCAAATATAGTTACACTGACTTTTTGGAGGTTTTGGGTTCGAAAATGCTATAAAAACCAAGAAAAACGATCATTTTCCTGTAGTCTGGTTCCCTGACTCCATATAAGAAGAAACAGAGCAGTTTACATACATTGGGGAATTGTAAGGTCAGGGAACCAGTCTAGCTGGCTCATACCCGTTCATAGGTTTGTAATCGATTGAAAACAAGTGCAATGGTCAATTGGGTCCAGTATTTGAAAAAAAAGCCAGATGTTTCCAACGCTGATCGGCCGATCAGCGTTGGAAAATTGATACAAAAATACCACTTTTCTTGAAAATGACAGTATACCAGGTGCCATAATTTTACAGGATGCTTTAAACTGTCATTTACCAACATCCTATTAAGGTATTTCGCAAAAACTTGGTAGTTTTATTTTTCGATGTTTGCAAATGTTGTATATTCCCTTTAATAATATACCACTTTTTTACACAGTATGACTTTACAAAAAAATATATGGGTATAACACCCCATCCCTATTGTCCATCCCTAATATCCACCCCTTCCCCTCCCCAGCCCCCCCTCCCCCCAAAAAAATCACAATTTACCAAATTTAAATTCCAAAAAATATCTAAAAACTCTAAAATCCTAATTTCACGCATTTCGAATAAGATTAATGCAATTTGAAGAGTTTTTTTTTTTAGACTTGTACTGATTGATTACATCAAGCCAAGTCTGAAATATAAACAAAAGTAGTTTAGTAGAGTTGATGTTAATTCTAACAACTTGTCTTGTGCTCTACCCAACATACTATCTATGACACATTCTTTGTACTGACACTTCAACTGAAATCAGGTCCCATGACAAAGTAAAACACCCCTCGTTGGATTTGAAGGATCTAGGGCTGCTAGAAGTTGTGGGGGTTTGTACCTGTAGTTTCTGATGTTGTCTGGTGCGTTCTGTCAGCTTGTCTGCCAGGTCATGTGACCGCTTCTTGGAAGATTCCAGGTCTTTTTTAACAGCTAGTGTTGAACAACGTAGAGACTTTGATTAATTCTTACTGTAGAGTTTTGAAGAGTACTTATAACCATTGGGCAAATGTGGTGCAAAATAGTTTTAATTATGTTTCCGTAAACAGTACACATCTGTATATTAATCTTTAGATCAGAGAAGTTAACTGTCTTTTATACTAGGATTTTTCAGAAAAATATTTTCACTCACCTGAAACTTGGTTCTTCAGGGCTAAAAAATCAATTTAGTCAAAGAACTTTCTTTCCAAATACATGTAGTACTTCTTTTGAGTTTATCTTGGAGATGTCTTTTCTGTAGACTTGCCAAAGAAACCTGTTCGATCAGATGAACATCGCAGTTTTATTTTGGTCTCTGCTATAGGACAAGCAATTCAAATGTTTAGAAGGATTTTTCAAACAAGACTAGTGTCGGAATATACACATCCATCAGATCATATGTTGATTTCAGTCTTAGAAAATACTAGACTGCCACAGAATTGTTTATACATATCTACCCTGAACAAGGCTAGAAGCCACTCCAGGTACAGGCTACAAGAGAAATGAAAAGATAAGGTACTCAGGAAAACTGAATGTAGGAATTAACATTCCTATTGAAACAGGACAGATCATAGGTTGGAGGGAAACGAGCACCAGGCCAGGAATTCCAAAGAGATGCAGCAACTTGGGAAAAAGCTAGTGGAATATCCTTTTGTTCTACATCTAGTTTCTGCAACAGTGTATTAATGAGAATAGGCAGAAAGTTGGGTTTCTCTCTCACACTCTGATTGGAGAAAGCAAGTTGGACAGACTTATTGGAGCAACGACCATGAAAGTTTCTGTAAAACAAACAGACAGTGGCAACAGACCTACTCTACACCAACCAGATTAGCTCAACACCAACCAGATTAGTTATACGCTTCCGCACTCTGTCCAATAAGGATAAGTGACAGGCAGATAAGTTGAGCGTTTGATCAAGGATACATGCATTCTCTGCCTGTAGCTTAGTGACTGTGTGCTCATAATACTGCTCCTGCAGCGTGCTTCGCTCTTTGGACTTGTTAGCGATGTAGTCCTGGTAGATTCTCTCTTGCTGGATCTGAAAAGAGCAGAAAGAGAAATAAGAGTTAAAGTGAAGTCAGTCACAAGATGTCACAGTCAAATCACAGTCCAATCACAAGTTACATCACAAGTCAATCACAACAATGACAAAGGAATTGCTATAGCTTGACTTGATATTGGATAAATTGTGATTGACTTGTGATTGACTTGTGATCGGCTTGTGATTGACTTGTGACTTGATCGACTTGTGATGGACTTGGTGGACTTGTGATGGACTTGTGACTAACTTGTGACTAACTTGTGACTGACTTGTGATGGAGTTGTGATCGACTTGTGACTGACTTGCGATTGACTTGTGGCTGACTTGCGATTGACTTGTGGCTGACTTGCGATTGACAAGTGACTGACTTGTGATTGACTTGTGATTGAGTTGTGACCTACTTGTGACTAAAAATATTACATAGTTCAGTATCTGAGGTTATAACATTTGCAAACGTAATTTGATGGCAGTGAGGACATTATGATTGTAGCATTTTTTCAGAGATACTTGTACACAGACTCGGTCCAGTTTACCCACCTGGTACGTCCAGAAGGCCATGGCTCTTGTGCACACCTCCAATATGGTGTCTGGTTTCTGCCCCGCAAGTACCATAGACTTGTACTGCTCCGTCGGTGAAAGATCGATGCGGACTATGTCAAACTTCCCTGATAAGTTGGTTTCACCTTGAAAAAAAAATGGCCAAAAAAAATGTAATAGTAATTTTGATTTAATAAAATAATACATTTGATTTCAAGCAAAAGGACTACTTGTTAATGCTACCACAATTTCTCTTTATTTACTTTAAAAAAATAACACTCACAAGCAGGGCAGGCAAAGCACTTGTTGAATTCTTTGGTGCCATCTTCATCACAGAAGATGTCTGAAAAAAGTGTTTTCTTAAGGAAAATGGAAATAAATGTTAACAGGCCTTACACAATTGCCGGAAAACAATTCAAGTAAACTTGATAGTGTGTGCATGTGCTAAGGTGATGAATCATTGGGAAGAGAAAATCAAATCAAAAATGATACTTCATTGTGAAATTGTGTAACTTTAAGCATTTGTGATCCTGCCCAATGAAATAAATCTGAACTGAAGTTACCGTAGGAGAAGCCAGCCCTTTAAATCTTGAACAATCAAGTGTCCACATGTACACCTACATGAATGTCACATAAGCTTGTAAATGAATTATGTCCTTAAAGTTAAGGCTTATTTCTGTTGGCTCTGGCCATAGGCTACTTAACTTTTTGTAAATCTTTTGCAAAAAAGGTATCGCTAAAAAATATTTCTTGAAGAACTTTGCACTCCATAATGCCTCAGTTAATTATTAAGGATACGAGAGCATGAAGTGACCCATGCAAATGAACTGAGTCTCTTCCGACACTTCTTGAAGTTGCAAACCATTTCATCCATCTTACGTCTTAGGCTCTTGTCTGAAAAATGAAAAAAGCAAACAAAAATGTAGGTATTGAAGGCATATCAATGTAATAGAGTTTACAGCACAAACCCAGCTTATTGGCCTCCTACCTGTACTAGGCCTAATGTTAGTACTAGTATTAACATAAAAATGGAGAATAAAATAAAAATTACCCTATTTACCCTATTTTGACAGCCCCTACCCTAATTTGTTTTTGGAAAAATGAGGAAAAAAACCCGAAAATCATCAATTACTTCTTTTTACCCTTGATTACACGGAGACACCTTTCATATGATCGTACACAAAAAAATTGCCAAAAAACCCCAAAAACCTACCTACCCTATTTTCGATTTTGCCATATTATTTGTAATTTTTTTTGGGCCTTATAAATTTGTTATACACCATTCTGCAATTTGATATATTTCTCATTCACAGAAACGACTACACTTCTCTTAGTTGCTCTAGCTGTTTATCACTTATTTCTGACCACTGACAGTGGGCACGCCGTGTGAAGGCCTACACGGGCTTAAAAACATTTTTGACTCAGACTGATGAATTAACGTTACTTTGATACGTTTGGAACAAAAGTTGTCAAACTTTGGTCAAAACAGTATGTACGTCAGACATAGGCTAACTCAACACTAACGACAACATGAGTCATCGATATAAAATAGCCAAGATAAGAAGCTGGTTAAGGAAATGCTCCTTGGTGCACCGATCAGCATAAAGTAGATGCATGGAATGGTCTCCCTTACTTTGTTGTTACAGCAACAGTCTTTTTTAGCCTGACGCTAAATTACACAAGCTCTGGGCATCTCAGCCGTTCAAGTTTGAATTTGAACTTGAACAGTTGAAGCAAGTTTGCAAGTTGCATGCGCACATATCATGCATATAACGCGGCGCTATAGGATCTTTGGTTTATATGAAGATCTGATGAGAGAGGCCTACAAAGGCCTAAAACCAGAAGAGCTAGGACCTGTAACTTGTAAGGAGGACGGTCTAATCAACTTACACAGTCTTGGTTGGTCTTAATCTTGTTTTGGAGCAAGCGTAGCCGGGCGTAGCTCCAAAATTTACAAGTTACATTCCGCTCATTTGAAGTCTTGAAAAGGCTCGACAACTATTCCAAAGCACACGGCTTTTGCCAAAATTACGTACTATAGCTTTGCCCCGTTGTTGATTTCAGCTCGTTCAACTTAACAGTAAACTTCAACTGCCAAAAAGTTTAGAGAAAAATTCCGTTAGCCCAAGACTAGGCCTAGTCCTAATCAACGAGTGCGAGTAGGCCTAGCTAGCGCCTACGACGAATTGCGAAAGGACGTGCAATGTCGACACACCTATATCATGTATATCGCGCGCGTGATGTGATAGTGTGAATGATTCGATTGGTCGAAAGTTAAGCAAAGTGCGCCCTCTGGTGTCAAGCATCTAGCATTAAGCGCTTGTACGTACGTGGTGACCTCTAAATTTCTTACAATCTTCCACTGAATAAAATGCGCTTTAAAAAAAAAAAAAGTGGCTTAAAACATTAGGGTATATTAAATCACACGATTTAAATTACTGGTTTTAATATGTAACTAACTTTATGTCATTGCTTTCATTTCTCTTCACAAGTTCCAGAAATGAAGTCAAAATATTCTTTATAGGATTCTGAGAGCCATAAAATTGGGGAATTGAAGAGATATGGCAATGGACGAACCTCTGGCCCGGACTTGGGACTTCCAATTCGAAGTATTTTGGATGCAATTGGGCTCGAAAGTGACTCTGTTTTGCCATGTTGTGATGGGATCATTTTTCAAGCTGGCTACTTTTCGGCTGTGGGAAAAATAGGGGCCGTCTTTGGGTGAATTTTTTTTCTCGAAAATTCAATGGTCAACCCACGAAAAAATGGGGAAAAATGAAAGATGACATGTTGATCATCATTTTTCTGTTCAGCTTAAATACCTGTGAGAGTTTCAAGTTTGAAGTATGGGCACTTAGCACTGGTGTCTATGGGAGTTTTAATGCAGGGGTGCATCCATAGCGATCACTACTGTGCTTCGATGATTGTGAAGTGGTACATTACAGTACAGGGGGTGGGGCGGATCCAAGTTTTGCTGTCAAGGCGGGGGGGGGGGGGGGGGGGTGTTAGCAGGCATTTGCTATTTATTTTCCTGCATATTTTTTTTTCTTGTGGCTCGTAAAACTGTAAAACCCCTATATCCCCCTGTAGATCCGCCATTTTAATCAACGATCGGGAATACCATTTGTATAAATTATTTCTCATTTTCTCATTCCCAATATAATCTTTCTAAATTCTTGGAGGGAGCACATTCGTGCAGCTAGTGGGGGTGGGGCGGGGGGGGGGGGGGGGGGGGGGGTAGAGAGGGTATGGCAACTATACAGAATATACAAAGTTCACAGCTAAACATGAGTAACTGCTTTTCCCAACACATGCTTTATTCTTCATAGCTTTTCATATTAATTTTCAATAATATATTGACAAAATAAATTGGCCAATAAGCCAAATACTTATTACTTTCTTTTCCTTCTGGCTTTCTTATCAAATTTAGGACCAATTCAATATTCTAATACATTACGTATCAACGTAAAAAACCCAAATTGCTGTCATTTCTATCAACCATTCTTAAAACTGGCATACATCATTCCTCATGTAGCTTTCATTTGAAAGCATCTTAAGTTTTAACCAAGCTTAGCATGTCCTGGCGTGCAACATACAGTGCACATCTTGTATGCTACTGGCTGAAATTTCAGAGTTGATTTGCACCTGTTGAAAGGTGTTGAAAGCGCCCTGCATCATTATAGGCACGTGCATGACACGGTCGCTACAAGATTCCCAAGACATTGTTGTGATAGCAGTTCGTGGGTGACAACGGTTCATTTTCGGCGGGTGATTATACATCTAATATACAATAATTACGCAACACTATCGTGACCCAACACTATCGTGACCTGAGGTGTGGGTCGAGGTATTTAAACATCCACCCATGCAGGACTATAACCTTCGTTCGGGGTATTCTTATATTCGAGCATTAGGCCAATCTGACAAGGAAGTCAGCATCATCATGTGGCGCACTCTAACTTAAACGATCTCACATACTTTTAAAAGGCCCTAACTGTCCGTCCTAATAAACATGTCCATGTATTAGATCAGCTCTTCAGACTATAATCTGTGAGGTACATCTAAAGACATCTCAATTTTTTAAAGGAACAAAGCCACAGCTAGCACACATAATCCACTGCCACAAGTTTACACAATTGTATACACAGATACCATCCTACAGCAGGTTCATATCATGAACTGTTCACAGTCCTCTCAGTTTCTGTTTCTTGGGTGCTGCATTCTGTTGGTTTATCTTCTTCTTCCCTCGTCAGGTCATCACGATCCTTCCCCGTCTTCATATCACTCTCCTCGTCGCTGGTTTCAGTGAGATTTTGTGAGGCAGCTGTGGAGAGAACACAGGTTTTCAAACAGAAACGCAATCATCTGTAAGACTGTGCATTCAGGGGTGAAGTAACAGTCACACATTGGACATTATTGTTTCCAATATTGTCCACAAAAGGTCCAAACATGGTGTCAAAATAGACACTGTTCTAACTTTAATATACCAGAGTGTAGATCATCTTCATCATTGTAATGATCAACATATCCAATAAAACAAAATCACCAACAATTCTGTTATTACAGTTGGTATCCCACAAATCAGAAAATTAAAAACGACATAAAAAGGGGGGTAGGCATGGCTGGACGGGACAATGCACTCCCCCTCCCAAATTCACCATTGTTCCCATCTGTATTTATAAGAAACAAAGTCTTTTCAAGATTTCCATGATTAAGAAACTGAATGCAATTCCTACCTTCAAATGATGCAGGGTAGTCTGACGACAACCTGTCTTTCAGCACACTGAAAAACAATTCACAATAAAATACTTTATGTAAATAACACATTTGTTCATGGTGATGTTTACATCCAAACTCTAGCAACTGTCCCAACTGCGGCAAGACAGGTGGGCATGCCCAACTTCAGACCACTCATTTACTAAACATGGATGAACTTTTTTGTTGAAAAGTTGTACGTATCATGCAACTGTCAAAAACACTGAAAAATCAAACATTGTGTCAAAAGACACAATAAAAAAAACAAAGTAACAAGATAGCACCCCTTAATAAACACGGCATAAATGTGCAAGTTGGCCAAAAGTTGTCATCAAAAGATGGTCTATAATTGGCTTGGCCGACATTGTAAGTATGTTACCACAGTTGGGACTGTCCCAACTATTGTTAGGTTAGTTGCAATAATTATGAAACATTAGTTTAAAAAGTCCCTTGGGAAAGGGTCTTAAAAAAAAGAGGCCAAAAAAGAAAACACGTGCAATAATCATTTTTTTAAAGGCCTTAAGGGCCATCTACCCTAAACCATCCCTCAAGATCCAGAGGGTTTTAGGGGATTTTGCACAAAAAACAAAAGGCAGAAATGTTTAATTTTTGTGGGATGATCTTGCTGTCCCTTGTAACTAAATTACAAGAATGTGTCATTTGGTTCCTGCGCAGTATAGCATTTCAGAGGAGTGACAAAGATTCCTAACCAAAACAAAGGCAGAGTTGTAATCAGTTCAATCATAAGTCAAATCACAAGTCTGGTCATAACTCTGGTCACCATTCACAAGTGACAAGGGACGACTACCTTGTGATTTGACTCGAGAATGGCCGACTTGTGATAACTGGTTACAACTTGTGATGACTGGTTATGACTTGTGATGATTTGTGATGACTTGTGATGACTTATTGTGACTTGCGACTGACTCCATTACAACTCTGCACATTTTGAATTAAACACATTCCTTGAAGAGACATATTGCCTTAGTTATAAACAATCTAAATAAATTTTAAAAGAGTTTCTGAGTACCGAATTTTTCTGAAGACAATATCCAGGTCCCTCTTCATCTCCATCAGGACCTGGGTGTGTTCCTTGAACTGCTCCACTGTCTTCTCATACCGGCTGGCCGACAGCTTGTTGAAGTTTGATAGCATCTCATTAGTCTTCTCAAAACGGCTCAGCATGCGCATCTGGGCCTGCAAGATGGCTGTCGTGTCCTCCCGATTGACCATGGACGTCAAGGAGCTGATGAAGGCGTCTGAGCCGGGGGTTGTAGAGGTAGCCATGGTAACTAATCCTCAGACGGTCAACCAAGGGTGATGAGTGACGTGATCTCCAATCACTGCATTTTTGCAGGCATCAATATCCAAATGAGGGCAAAGTTATTCTGAAAATGTAATAAGAGAAAAGAACGTAGTATTCTGACACCCTTTTGGCAATTGCGCACAAGTTTATGGGGAGCCGTACACATTTCTAATATTTTTCTAGCAAAATTAGATTAAAAAATGCCAAAATAGATTCATCTTTTTTGTGTGTGTGTGCTTAATTAATAGGCCCTAGTACTAGGCTACAGCAAGAGTCAAATGACTGACCATTATTGAAGTTTAATATAACTGATGAGAAAGTGACGTCAGGATAAAACATTGTGTGACTGATACAATGCCCCATAAATCTGTGCATAAAAAAATAAATTACATGTCATGAATGTCTGTCACTTGACTGATTGAGTTTGTAACTCCACCAAAAAAGAAGAAATATTTAATTTATATTACCATGAATGAACCGGACTGCCTATTTTGCCTACATATCCCCACACAAGCGAGCGTGTGGTATGATGGATAAGCCTAGGCACTGGACTAACAGGCACAGTGACCCGAGTTGAAGTCACCTTGCCACTTGGTTTCTTTCTTTAGTTTTTTTATTATCCCAAAAGAAAGAGTCTTCTTCCGTTAATATTTTGAATGGAATCCTACATTTAATTAAAATTTACAATTTTCTCTGATTCCTCTGGCTTGTACATGTCTCTTGTTGTGTTGAGGTCGTTCTTTCCCCACAAGATTCTTGGCAATGCCAGATCCTATGCTATTGCTAGCGTAATTTTTCGACGGAAAGCTTCATATGTAAGTAGTAAGTAGTACTCTTAATACTGGTGAGTTAGTGTTGGCAGATTTTTTTGGAGGATTTTTTTTAAAGGGAAATAAAGTCCCAAATTGTTAAATGGTCTGATTCCCATCTTGTGAATACGAAGTTACAACGATAATGTTGGCATGGACTCTTTATGGAGCCAGACTAAAATTTGTCACCGGAAAATGTCATTAGTACTAGTATTAGTACAAAAAAACCCCAGTAACTGCGCATGTTCAGTGCTTATCCGGCAAGCTAACGTTTACTAAAGGTTTGCCGTCTCCGGCTAAATATCCACTGCCTAAAATAATAAAAGAAGAATATTCTTATGTTTCGGGGATTGAGAAAAAAACCTTAAAAAAAAATTTTGCCATTGGGGATCGAACCCGGATATTCCCGCTCATGAGATCCATTGCTTATCCACTAGACCACAGGTGATACACAACCGTTGGTGGTAATTTAATATATCTTAATATTCAGCCCCCTATCTTAGAGAGTACAGCGCCCTCTGTTGATAGGGATTGCTGCCGGCAAATATCATTAACAATAATGACAATATTCAATAACATAAACAATTAACAGTTACCGTCATTTCATAATTCACTGCCCCGCAAACATGTGGCTCTCGTTATACTACACTGTATTGATTCTTGGAAAAAAAGCAAATCTGGAGACACGTTTACGGCTGAAAATCCTCTATAAATTACACTGTCAACATTCACAATACATAGTCATAGAGTAAACGCAACATTACCATCCCATACTCCATCCCATGGAGGTCGCCATCTTTAGACTCTTCAAAAATGTATATATTTTTAAGCTCATGTGAACAATTTTAAAAATCAAAACTTATACTAATAAAATACAATGATGATAAATACAAAGCGGTATAAAAATATTACAAGACATTACAAGTAATTTAAACTAAAGCCTTTGTCTAAGTTGCGATAAAAATATTGATTTATGTTGAAAGAGTATGCACGGAATTAATAAACTGGTTCACTGCCCCGCGGCCCGTCAGTAGTGTGCCCTTCAAACACATGTATACTGTGTGCCTCGCCGTTTATCTTTCAAAATAAGCTCGTCAGCTCCAAAAGCAGCAACAATGGCATGACATGAAATTGACACTGAAACAGCCAATTCCTCTGAACTGTATTACTATAATAAAAGTCAATATGGTTTATTTATATATATTTATATATAGTGGTGTTCCCTAATGTGGCGCACTTGCGACATTTACCCCGACTTTCCACATCCTGATGAAGTGTTGCCAAACTTCTTTGTTGACAAACTTCAAATTCTTTCAGTGAAACTACTTTTACCTTATTAATGCTTGCTATTTATGTGAACAATATTGTTTGCCTAACCAGGGTTGTTAATAAAGATATTGATTACTGCAGTTGTAGACAGTAACTGTTGTAGCGCATTTGTTGACAGTTGTTGAAACAACTAGTATTCTGAGTCATTTTCTTTGTTGTTCCTAACAGACAGAATACACAATAAATTGCTTTTTTTTGGACGAAAGAGGTAGGGTCATTGCATGATGGTGATATTCTATTAACAGATTGAGCAATTTCAGTATTGTTTTCATCTAAAAGTAGCTTATGAAATTGGCTTCCCATTTTCGGGTGCTACATAATTTTTTTTTTAAATATAATATATATATTTTTGGGGTGGGGGGTGGGGGGGGCGGTTGCACTTTGTTTGACTCACCCTGTATTTTTATATTGATGTTTGCTTAGCAAATGACTCATGAACTGAATTGATTTATACACCAAACACAGAAAATTAACGGCTACGGCCAAAAAAAAGTCCTGAATGCTGCAGTTTAAACATCTAAAACACTTAAGTTTGGCTCATGAATATGAAAATGTGCATATAGCCAAAAAAAACCTTACAAGTAACTTAAAGACGAACATGGAATTTGATACATTGAAAATGTATGGCCAAGTAAAAAAATAAAATAAATAAACTTAACACCAGTTTCTTGTCCCCCAATATTTCGTAAAGATTGCCCTTCTTATGTTCAAGTGCCCTTTTTCTGAACAAGTGCCCTTTTAAAAACAAAAGTCGTGCCCTTTTTTGTACCATCGGCCGTCACGGGTGCCTTTTTTTGAATTTCGTGCATAAGACGGTACCGCCCTAAAAAGCACCGTCCATATAGTGTTCGTTCAGTATGCATAATCGTCGGTTTTGAACAGCGCCCACTGCATATCGACTGATAGTATACCAGCTCCCCTCACACTTTTTGATTTTACGGAGGCCTCTAGTGTCCGGAGAAAACGAAAGTGCCTGGCCTTTTCACAAAATCCCCCCCCCCCCAATAAAAAATGACCTTGCTACGCTTCTGCGCCCTCTTCCGAAGTTCCCCGTCCACAACCCCATCTAGTTTTAGTAAATTCATCATGCATTTGCAATTTGGCGCATAATTTGTGAATATATTGTCTAATTTATTTGTTTCCAACAAAATTGTAGCTATGCAGAAAGGGTATACTGACGGCTCGTTGAGTCGAAAAAGAGAAACCATCCACCATCTTGGAAAATCTGCCATCTAGTTGCGGAAAACAAAAAAGCACCCAACTTCATTTTTCCAAAAAAAACCCCCAAAACACAAACGTAATGAGAAACTTTGTTTTTTTTTTACTAGGCCCATCTTTGATTCCCTTTTCAAAGTAAATTTCGCACCACAGATTCCACTTATATTACACCTGCAGTGGTCATAATTACTAAAGTGTCATTTTCAATGAGTGTCCTTTTCCAAATTCATCATTTCAAGGATTGCATGTCTATTGCTCTTTCATTCCCTTTCTGGAGAAGACATTAAGTTCCCAATATTATTACCGAACTGACCGAGTCTGCAATACTGAGTTTCCCGACTCGGAGTGACAAATTCAGGCTGAGTACGAGTCCCCGTGCGGGTCGAACATCTCGTCGTGTGAGGGCGCGCTACTAGGAAGAAACAGCAATCAAACGTAAACATGATGAAACAGCTACGTTGATCACGATCACATGAAAACAGCTCACGAACGAAGTTGATAGGTCATGGTTGTGAAGTGTCGTGGTGACAGCGTAAAACCAACCACTGATAACAGTAGGCCTAAATGTAATAATCTTTCCGTACGCCACTTCTTTGGTCATGTAATACTAGACCATGTAGACCCACTTTATTACTTTAGCTTGAGTAACTCCAGCTTAACAAGCTCATCAGAAATTCACATAACAGTGAATTCCTGATGAGCTTGTTAGGCTGGAGTTACTCAAGCTCAGTAGGTTGGGAAACCAGACGTGTGGCCTAACGTACATTGCAGCAATACGGAGGCCACACAAGTGGGGCTAGGCGCTAGAACTCCTTTTTTGACATTTGGGATGTGACCACATCCCAAATGTCAAAAAAGGAGTTCTAGCGCCCCAGTTAGTGGGTCTAGTTGTGTACAAAGTGTGGAGAGTAACATGCATTTTTGAAGTACATGTATCTTCTTTTCTAACAAAATTTAACATGTTGGAAATGTTTCTCAGTCCCAGATTCATGTGTTTTCCACATTTTTGTGATGACTGACTGTCATTGAGATAATAATATAAATGAAAAAGGTGGCGTCAGGATGAAACATTCTTTCCCTTTTGGTGGAAAGAGTAAGGAAATAGTAAAGTGCTTTGTGCAAAATCACACAAGCAATGAATGAGTATTTACGACACTCTGGGCTAGCTACACTACAATGTTTGCATAGATGATGCTATGGCTATTGCAAAGTTATGCTATTTTTCTTGCTATAGACAAGTAATTCACAGAAATTTTCCTGCATTAAATTTACATACATCATCAGAAGCCAAGTTGAGAAAAAAGAGGTGGAATTTCTGGTAGTTGGAGCAACAGCAAAAGGTTGTCATGGTATTTAAATCATACTGCATACATTGCAAAAGAAGATTCTAATTTTTTCCATCAATATGTTTATCAGGCTTACAGTAGATACACTGCGTCGACACAAGACCAGATGAGCTTTGCAACGGACCTTCTTGGTTTATGTCATCATGCCACAGGATATTTACTTTGATTAACAATGATCAATGAGCCCCACAGCCTTGAAGACTGGGTGGCAGTCAAGGAGGCACCCTTTGACTCCAATGAACCCCAAAAGACAAACCTCCGCTTCCTAGTCAACTGGAACCAGCACGAGAGGAACCTGAGCATCACTTGCCATGAGAGTAGGCCGCGGAATGTCAAACGAACTCTCAAGAACTCGGCCAAGTCGACATCAAAATCAGACACTGGCAGGACTCCAGAAGATCTCCGTAGCTGGTCAGGAGTTTTCACCCTCCAGGACATCAGCTATGCCCACCAGCAGCTATGTCTTGTCAAACCCAATTTGGAAAACCATCCTTTGGATTTGCCTTATGAGCCTCGGGGATTTTGGAGTCTCCTGTACTCCATTGAGATCCCAGACCACTTCAACCAAGAGCTTGAGTTGTACCTATCCACAGCTGCCCAGATTTGCGGCAACAAACTCCTGACTGACTATCTCTTCAATAGGGATGAAGTTGCCAATGAGCAGTACTTTGAGAACTGTAGCGAGCTGAGGCAGAAGGCCTATGCAGACCATGAAGCCCGTCTTGTCCAGAGACTCAATGAGTCTCTCAAGGGTGGTGCTGTCCTGGACAAGATGGTGGACATGATGGAGCTGTACTCAACAGTTGACTCCATCCTGGCTGAATTAGCCACAGCCCGGGCAGAGGCCTTCAACGTCATGCTGCAGCCGTTCTTGGACATGAGGGAGTTGTCCTTCAACAGGCTCTTGCGACTCCAGGACGAGCTTGAAGATGAGTTCATGAGTCAGGGCAGAAGGGACAGGTGTCTCATGGAGTACAGCGAGTGGCAGGAAGAGTATGTCGCAGCGATTGAATCCATTAATGAAATCAGAGTCAAGTACTTTGCTCGATGTGCTGAAACCACCAAAGGTATGGTATTATACACATACATGCTGACTATCTATATCCAGTGTAGGGTGTGTATTTACGGGAAGTACAGGAACCGGGTACCCGATTGAAAAACACACGGTACCCAGGCACCGGTTAAAGCAACCCAACGCCAAACATGCGAAAACTCAAATCTCGGAAGTAGCTGTTGAGATTATTTACAAAGGTGCGCGCGATAATACTACCGCACGATACAAGTGTGGACAGTGAGCTTTATTGCTTTAAACTGCAGCTTTCGCAAGCCTCAGAAATGTGAAATATGTTTTGTTTTCCCATGTGGCCTGGTTTTCATTTTGAAAATTCCCCACAAATGACTTCAAAACCTTTCTTTTTCGTTGTCTGAGAAGTAACTAAGTAATTTGTAAAGTTGGTTACGGGTACCTGATCCCATAATCTGGAACCGGTTCCTGACAAACGGTTGGGTACTTGGTTACCTGGCTCCGATGCATAGCTCTAATCCAGGGCCTTCTCTGAACCAGAGGTTGGCTGCCCATCAGCTCTACCTGGCTGTTTCAATCAATCTTGTTAAACCTTTAGGGACAAAGAGTGAAGTTAAATATTACTGGCACGTACTTGGTTGAGTCATTCAACGAGAGTATTGTATTTGCTCACAAGGTCAATTGGTACTGAAGCTGTGATTGAAGTCCAAACTAGGGAAAAAGAATTACAAAAGTAGGCCTACCTGAAGGAATTACCTGTAGACTAGAAATAGACATTGGAATCCATGTCAAAAAAGATGATTTGAAAGTTACATGTTGAAGTACACTTTTGTTCAAATTCAGAATCTTTTCTTGAAAATAGTGTTTACGGGCAATAACATTTGACAGCTGGAAAGACTTTAAAGCATCAAGCTAATAGCGAAAACACTTGAATTGCCAATTTCTAACTAAGACATTTTTGTCTTTTTTTCCTTTGTCAGATATGATAAGCCAGTTAGAAGAAGATAAACTCAAGTTTGGTAAGTCCACTTGGGCCGTGACCGGGGAAGGCCGGCTGCGAGACTTCCATCTGACCCAGTCCCAAGAGAAGATTCAACTGCTGCAGGCAAAGCAGGAAAAACACAAACATCGCATTGAGAAGATCAAACAAGAGGTAGTACTTGGTATCCAGGCCTGTTTGCTGAGGGGATGGGCAAGGGATATGTAATGACCCCCTCTCCCCCCCCCCCCCCCCCCCCCCCCGAAGACTTGCACCTATGCAAAATAAAACCTGCATAATGTACAAATCAATCGTTTAGTATACAATGACATTATTTCCTGCTAGAAATACAACAAATCAAGGCCTTGTCAGATATTAATAAGCTGGGTTTGGCAGTGTTTTCTATGAATATTTTAGACATCTTGATTTTCCTGTTGCTCAGACAGGTATGTATAACATGGATATTAAGCAATCAGACCACTACATTTTGGGTGATTTTTGGATGTGTACGGTCAGTCAGCATATTGGCCCAAAATGGTGCCTGCTTTATATTTATTGGCTGGAACGCATTGTTTTATATCCATCCAATTGTAGTAATTTATTCCATACTCTGTACGGAATTACCTCCGGCTTATTATTTCTAGTATCTTACTTTTTGAATTCAGATGGCATTGCTGGATGAAGGGCCTAACTACGTCAATGAGTTGGAATCCCTGGAACAGTTGGCCTTTGACCTTCAGGTCAAACTGTACAACACGCAGCTGGATGTCCTGAATGAGCGCGACAAGATGCTACGCAGAGAGCTAGCAGTGATCAAACAACAACTCAAAGGCATGTGCCATTCTTAATCCTACATGTAACTCCCTAAGGCATCATCTGTTGGTAACTCCCTGTTATCCTTCGATATTACACTGTACAGGAAACAATCTTTATAGAGAAGCTTTCAATGGCAATATGCCCACATGGCTGGGCTCTATCTTCCTCAAATATTCAAGATTATCCCAAACTTTCTGTTGGATTTTGAAGGATCTGGGAGGTATAGCATAACTACATTCCGGGGTTCGCCCGTAACTTGTTTTTCACTAGCCAGCCAGACTAGTGAAGTAGACTCTTATCTAGTCCACGGGCCTTTTCATAACTCCGCAGTGGAACTTTTAAATTTTTGCACCAGAATGTCACAAACAACAATATTATTTACAATAATTTTGACTCACCAGGTGGACTACTCAGGGATTGGTTTTGAGTATTTCACTGCTTTTTTTATTCGCATTTGGCAAGCGCACTACCACTAAGGTCAAACCTTGCATTCTGTCACAGTTTGTGTATGAGATTGCACTTACAAAATAGTTGCTGTCCCACTGAAGTTTTGCTGAGGGTGATGACGTGAAGCAAATTTTACATCTTGAAAGAGTGTCCTCTGTATTTCTGAAAGCAAATTTCCGCTTAAATGTCGTGTCATTGGCACGATGGTACCTACAAACTATTACTCACCAGTCCTAAGAACTTTTCAGAAACCTTCAGCTCCTTTTAAAATGGAAAGCAAAATCAGAGCCATAGCCATACCGTCACAAGGTAATCACAGACAAATCCCAACTCATCCAACCTGAAATCAAGTCACACTCTGTTGAAATGAACTGTGACAAAAGAATTCCTTTGGCATTGTTCAACAACTGTTAGTTGTGATCATACTTGTGATTGACTCGTGATTTGACTTACACCAGACTTGTGATCAACCTTGACTACAACCTTACACCAGATCCTTGACTGAAACCATTGCGTTTTTCTCTCGCCAACAGAAGCTGAGGAGGTGGACGTGTTCTTCGATGCTATGGACAGCCTTCTAGACGTAGACATGGAGGCAGACGGAGAGGAAATGGATGCAGAAGATTCGGGATTGAACAGGAAAGGCAGGAAGGGTTGGATGGATCCAAGGGTTGCTGATATTCAGGCCAAACTGAGCAAGATCAACCGCCAACGAGCACGGATCCGGAGTAACAAGGTATCCGTGATAGTCTTCTGTTTATCAGTTTCACTGACTGACTGAGCCACTGACTGAATGAGTCACTGAGTGTTAATAATGCCCCAAACTGTCCAGCTGAGACTATCCAACCAAGACTGACCAGCTGAGACGGATCAGCTGATCAGCTGTTAAACTTACAAGTCCAGCTCAATGGGCTCCGTGCACAAGTACCCCCTCAACGGTTACAATGGGAGAGTTGGGGGAGACCACTAGGAGGGACATTTGAATGCATTACCGATGACACCCCAACGCTCATATGAAGATGCTTCAGCTTTGTGTAGATTCAGAATGAAGTAACCCATGCGTACTTTGCTCCATACACACACAAACCACAGTGTGTCCTCACGCTGGAGCTGTGACAGTGGTCAAACAGCCACATTGACAGTTTGTGCACAGAGTACATGCGGCAGGAATAGAGTTGTTTTCATTCCAATCTTCAAAAGCCTGTCAGATGGCCTATTTTGGGAGAGCTCAGAAATTGTATAAAACTTCATATGTCGTGGTGAATTGTTGTACTTCACAAAGATGATTTGTATGTATAAAAAATAACAAATATTGTTTTTATTTGACAGCAATCCTGTATATCACAGCAAAATTCCAAAATTGTTGAGAAGAGATCAGAGGAAGATAGATTCAAATCCCACCACTGGGTTCACATGGTATGTATTGCCTTGATAAGGAAAACACATATGCAGCGAACAAAGATTTGCAATTATCTGTTATTTCAAGAGAGGCAATGTTGATTTGTATACAGTATTATGTAAATAATTAATACTTGCCAGACAGATTTTTGGGGTGGTTACCCTTCTCTGCTCCCCCTCTCTGATCTGCTCTTTGAACAGTATGTCTTGTTTAAACAGCTTGGATCAGTAGGAATTTGTTCTAATAAAATTGACTTTGTGTTGGATTCATAGTCGGGGTCAGTAGGCAAAAATGCATCGCTTTGGAATTTTTCCGAGAATTTCTCATTTTTAAAAATTTATTATTTTATTTACGCTTTTTATTTTAAATGGGTAGCCCTTTCAGTTGAATCTACTGGTCTCCCATGGGGCCCAGTATAAATAAGACAATGTGAAGAAGTTACAGTTTTAGATGTGGGAGGAAAACCCCAGAAGAATATTCTGAGGAAAACACACGGAATCAAGTAGGGACTGAAAACCCAATCCACATATTGGTCCAGACAGGAATCGAACTGGGTCACAGCGGTGGAAGGCAAGGAAAGTACCGCTACGCAAACCTGACTCCCCAAAAAAAGTCTCTACTGGAAAGAAAAGTGACTGCACAATGGAATCATAACCCATACTACAAGGCCTGAATTAATGGTTTTGATTTAAGCCCAGCATACAGTGTGACTTGTGAAATGTTAAGTTGTGGTGTTTTTTTCTTTTGTTTCATTTGTAGAAGCGAGAGCAGTTATTGGCCGAGCAGAAGCGGAGGAAAGACTTCATCCAAACAGAAAGGAAGAAGACGGTGGAAAGACTTCGCAACTACAAAGTGGTGATTACAGATTATTGATGATGATACTCATGCACTCTTTACAATCTGTTTGATATTTCTTTAGGATGAATTAATTAAAACCACAGTTGGCTGTGCTCAAGTCAATCACAAGTAACGGGATGAATATAACAAAGGAATAGCTTATGACTGACTTGAGACTTGACGACTTGTGATGGACTTTTAAGGATTAGTGACTTACTTGATTACAACTCTGGTAGAATGTGCTTTCAATTTTGGTGTTTGACGTATTCTTTGCAGAGTCATCCCAGCCCAAAAATTCTCAAACCCCAACAGTACAAGAAAGCGGCCAAGAAGGAAGCAAGCACCAAGAGCGAGGCTGAGGCAGCCACAGAACGAGAGAAGAAAAAAGCAGCCGCAGCCAGGGACAAGGCCAGGCGCTCGTACCAGCCGCCAAAACCAACAAAATCAAAGACAAAGACTTCAACAAATGGAGCCGAGCCAGGTGCAATCCCACAAGTCCCTGGGAATCAACCTCAAGCCCCTCCCCCTCCCCCTCCCCCACCCCCACCCCCACCACCACCTGGTCCCCCACCCCCACCACCACCTGGTCCCCCACCCTGTCTCCCACCCCCTCCACCAGCTTACCCCCCACCGTTTGCTCTGGTAACAGGAACCATAAGCATGAAAACTGTCAATAAGGTTGAGAAGAAAGACACCGGAGGGAAGGGACTGGACCTCAGTGACATTTTGAAGGCGAGAGGAAATCTCCAGAAACGACAACGGTCTGGTTCTGACCACTCTGGGGGAGCCAGCCAAGGTGAGTGAGGGTTGGGGGGGGGGGGGGGGGGAGGAGGGGAGATGAGTCAAGTGATTGTTGTAATTTGTGTGTGGTGTTGATTTTTTCAGAAGTGAACGCATTTTGAAGTTGTTTGAGTCCAGAATAGCGACGGTTTAAGATTGCAGCATTGATCACATCAACATTTTTAAAGGCTCATCACGTAATCTTGGAAGCGTGCATTAAACTGGCCTAAACTGAAAGACTGTGTGAAACTGTCAATCTTGATTGTAATTACTAAAAATGTTTTGGGAATGGATGAAGTTTCTCAATACAACTTGTTGTAATACACCGCTTTTTACCTCCGCCAGGGAGGTTGTGTTTTCACCAGCGTTGGTTTGTGTGTTGGTTGGTTGCTTGGTTAGTTAGTGTGATTGTAAACATGATAACTCAAAAGTACTGGACAGATTTTCATGAAATATTTTTTAGGGGTGGTCCTTGGTACAAGTACAAATCGATGAGATTTTGGAAGTGATCCGGATCTGCGTCTGGATGCAGGATTTTTTTTAAAGGATTTTTCACCCATCATATGGACACCTTTCCCCAGATCGCTCTGTGAGACCAGATTCATGTGCGTGGCACTGACCCGGAGACCCTGTATGCCTTATCACCCACCTAATCTAGCCACGCAGGTCAATGAATTAGACCATTTTATACAATGGGGGAGTGGAAAAGTAGACCAACACAGGCATATATACATGTAGAGGGGTGGTCCTTGGTACAAGTACAAATCGATTAGATTTTGTTTAGCCTTGGCGGAGCTGTGCGCTCTGTGAGTGCTTTCTAGTTAACTACATGGAATATATTTTGGAGATGATCCTAATGTCTAATTACACTGGCAAGTAGTTTGGGAGCAGAACTTATATCCTCTCATTCTATATCCTCATTTGGCAAGTGTGGGATTTTCTCTTTTTGTTTTGTGACCTTTTTCATCATTGGGAATTATTCTTGAGTGTTTTTAGGTTGTGGAAACCATACAAATAGTACTTGCACTTACCATGTGACCCATAATGCATATCCGTCATTGCTGTTTAAGGGCAGTACAAAGCAACTGTGTTGGGCAAGATTGGAAAGCTTTTCTACAAAATGGAGACGCAAGATCTAGTGGGTCACTATGCAAATGCGTTGGGTGTTGTCTTCTTCATGAAGATGGAGATGCTAAAAAGTACAATTTCAAGTAAAATGGTAAATATCTCATTCTTTCTTTTTCCCCCCTTTTTTAATGCTCAGATCCAATGGTAGCTACGCTGGCCAACATCCGTCAAGGCGTGAAGCTTCGCAACATCCAGAGGGACCCTAAAGCAAACTCCTCCCCTTACTGCAGCCTGGAGAACTCAGAGCTAATGGCAGCCATCAACCGCATTAGGAATCACACAGAGATCCAAGACTCGGACTCGTCGGAAGGCGAGTTCAGTGCTTGACGGCCACAACACTCCCAAGGGCATTGTCAGACAAATTTGGGGGGGGGGGGGGGCTACAAAATAGACACGGACCATAATGACCTATAAAGTTTCCAGAAATTAACCAGTTTGCTTGAGATTGGAAAAGTAGATATCATCTGACAGCAGAGGGGGCTGTTTGCTCATCCCCATCACCCTATCCAAGGTCGCTGATGGGGGCTAATCCATTTCACAAAGTGTTGTAAAGGAAGAGCAGGTCACTGGCTATTAACAATGTATACATCTTCTGTGATAGGGTAATGCACAAGGAAGGGCTAACCCTCAACGGGTAGCAGCTGAGAACGTGTTGATCCAGGGCCATTGGGTGAACAAAAAACGGTCAATGAAAGGTCAAAGCGATTAGCCCCCACCAGTGCCCTGGGCATGGGATAGGGCCGGCAGGGGGCATGAGCAAATGGGGCTTTCCCAGATTTGCTCGTACCCCCCGCCCTGCAAGGGCGCTGGGACATGCTGAAGAGCTTCACAGAATCTTGTGAAGGAAGTGGGGATGGCATTCTGGGTAATTTATCTTGACCTATGTATAAAGACATCTGGGGCGGATTGCAATAACGCAGTCTTAGTCGGCTGGCTAAACCAGTCCAATTTTAGCCGGCTATTGTTCTTAGACGGTCTTGGTTAAGACACCAAACTTAGCCCATTGCAATAAGCTGGTCTTTACTAAGCCCGCTTAGAGTAATGATTCACAAACAAACATTCCATGGTTACGGGCGAATACTGGAGAGACTGCACATTTTTTTTTTTAGGTTTGTGTAATTCATATCACGCGAAATCAAATGTCAATTCCGAAATTTTATGTTGAGAAAATTGTATTTGCAGTACACCTCAGTGTCAGTGTCATTACATTTTTCCAGAAGATCCCTTCTATCCCAGAGAATTTTCCCTCCAAGCAGTGTTCTGCTTTTTTAAGATTTAATCATCAAACACTCATCAACTGGGAAAAAGTATTTTGGGAAAGAATAAACACACCAGTGAATTCCAAAAATCCCAACTATAGACCGTTTTAAGCCAGCCCTACCCAGGCTAACTATTTTAAGACTGTCTTACTACTTAAACTGTGTCATTGCAATGGTCTTACTAACAGACTGACCGACAGCCAGAGCTTTTAGACTGCCTAATGTGCATAGACAGCTTTAAGACCGGTTATTGCAATCCGCCCCTGGCTGCAGTTGTTTAAGACCGCAGTTAGCCAATGCACGCAAATGCTATCCGAAAACTTTCTCATAGAAATGTATACATGTGTACATTCCATACCTGGTACCGGATGTGATTTCTTTTTCATTGCGGATCATGTGGACAAATTTTGATCGTCACATGATATGCAATCCGACCGTTCGTGATTCGAAACGGAGCCTGAGCAACTGACGGGAGTTGAAAATTTACAAAACAGTTAAGTTTTACAGATGTTCCTACATTATTACGCTTTTCAACGAAAAACAAACAAACTAGGAATGGGAATAAGATCTAAGAGAGTGATGACTCAGTCTTAACGGCCGTTTCAAACCTTGCAGGGTCGTGGCTGTAATGACTTGCAGGTCACAGGTCATGCAAACTCTATCCAATCAGAGCTCATTACAAGCTCATCAGCGTGTCCCAGCATCCTATGTGCAGGGCGGGGGGTAGGAGCGAAGGTGCGACTGGACATCATCTGACAACACGGGGCAATGTTGAAAGTGGATGGAACTGGACAGCATTTGACACTAGAGGGTGCTGTTTAAGGCAGATGGTACTGGACATTGTCTAACACTAGATGGTGCTGTTCATGGTAGCCTGCTGCCCTAACTTCTTTTGGTCGACGAAACCAAGAAGGGAGGGGGGGGGGGGGTCTTCCCTCTTGCGATGCCCCCAAACACCTGTTTATTGGTGTTTGTGTAGACCAAAGTGGTTCAATTCTAGGGAGGATGGATGGGGGAACGGCAGCAATTCTTTTGTCTCCATGCATTAGATACTGATGGGCAATATCTTATATTTGTGGCCTGGTTTTAAAGTCCAGAGTTTTTTATGGGGGGGGGTGGGGATGTGGTATGGAAAAAAAAGTTAATTTTTCAACGCTTCAAGCTGTCGGTCATACAAAAGGACATGATTTTTGTGAGGATTTTTATAGTGGTCATAACTAATGTTAATTGTTTGATACAAGTTAAAAATGTAAATTTACAAAGTGCAAATTCATAGCTTGTTATTACAGCCTAGCCAACCAGAGATAGGTAAACTAGAAGGTTGGGTCATTGTCCCATATGACTACATAGGGAGTCGTGTGAATGTTGACCCATTAATTTTATTGTGGTAAATGTATTGCTTTAAGTTACAATTATTCATTTAATTAGCATATGCATGGCAATAGGATCTGGCGAATTTTGGCTTGATACCTGTAAGTATTTGGAAACAAACATGGAGCCATCTTGTACAATCTATGGAAATTTGGGAGCTTGAAATGATGTCAAATTATATATTGTGTAAATTTTAAATTGTTTTCCAAAAAAGACTTTCAATATAGGAATGTTAACGATATTTGTACATTTTCATGATTATTTATTGAGTGTTGCCTTGGCCATTTGCTGATGGACGTCCGGCTTTACTTTTATTGCAACCTTACTATGAGAAATATTTTAATAAAATTGTTGAATAGATTAAAATATTGAATAGATAAATAATCGTACTTTGTATCAGCTGTTATTGTTGCTTTTCCAAATTCGCAGTGTCTTTAGTCCTGACTTTAAACTTCGATTTTCAAATTTTTTCTAGACAAGAAAAGAAGTTACTTTGAACGATTATATGCCTCCGTCACCGATGTGTTCTCTAGAAGACGCTTTCAATTTGCCCCCCCCCCCGGTGATGCAAAAGAGAGGTACTAGTCGAGGGGGTTGAAGATGAGTGCAACGCCGCCTACTGCCGCTAATGCCAAATCCCCCCCCCCCCCCCCCCCCCATCTGCGGTTGTGGAAAGCATAGTAGTCTTGTTTATGTCAAGTGTTGTAGTTTACAAGTGGCTGGGGGCTAAAAATGTTAATAATTAAACAATCTGCCTGGTCTGAACACTGTGACTGTTTCCTTCGCTTCGCATCATACTTACGAAACTATAGTAACGTAAGTAAGTGGGTGTGAGGCCATTGAATTCCCCACCCCCCCCCCCCAAAATAATGGTGGCTTGCAAAAGCCCCACCCCTTCCAAATTGGACCCCAGTTTACACGTCACTTACGCTGCATAATATAAATGAAAACCATGTAAGCCTATATGCATGAATTGCTTAGGCCCTAGTGTGGGTATAGCCCTATTGTTCCTGTGTACGATGAAATGGCAGGCGTGGCATAAATATGAACCCTGTTTAATTATTGTCTCATTAAAAAAAAGGAATAAATTAACATGATCATATCCTCTTGCTTTGATTGGCTCATCACTGCGCGTTTTCTAATCAGTGAATTGAAGTAATGGTACAGCTGATGACATTAATTATGCAGTCTAATAATAACCAAGGAGCCTGGACAATACTTTAATGCAGTCATAAAATAGTCGTCAGTCTGGCAGCAGACCGTGAGTTTAATTGGGAAGCGCTTTTATGTTATTTTTGCAAACGCTCCTGGCAGTTACTGCATCCAGTTCCAGAAGGGAAATTTAAAGCGACCGAAATGACAAACGGTAGGTTTTCAAATACCATGACTTATCACGACATCATGAAAAAACATAGGGGCTACCGACATTACATAGTCGGTAATAAATGGTATAGGCGCAGGCAAACGATAGGCTTAAGTCTTTCAGGAGCAACTTTGCAATAAACCATGATGTCGTGCAGCGAGTATTTTCCAAGGTGGTTTATTCCTGCCTAATTCTAGTTAATGGTTGGTAATGGTTAACCAGATCGAAGCTGTTTCACTTTGATATCGTGTGTTCCTGATTAATGGTCCTATTCAGTGCGTATGAACATGAACGCGATGGTACGTCAGTGTGGCGTATTGAAGCATACACGGGGTTTGGTAACAACAGATTTTGGACGTGATCTTTTCACTGATTGATTCACAGGAGGCAGCAGCTGTTCGCCGAACATGTCCGGGTCTTGCAACGCGGCGGTGCTACCGGCTACGGACATCGTGCCCGTCACGGGGACATTCCCGCCCGCAAGTTTACCGCCACACCTGCAGAATTACACGGTAGTGCGACTTCCTTCCATCGTCCTCAACACCCGATGGGACGACGCAACGTGGATTCTAACCAGCGCCTTTATCATCTTCACCATGCAGTCTGGGTTCGGTCTGCTCGAGTCAGGAAGCGTCTCCCAGAAGAACGAGGTCAACATCATGGTGAAGAATGCGGTGGATGTCCTGTTTGGCGGGATATCGTACTGGATGTTTGGCTACGGTCTTAGCTTTGACAAGATTGGTAGCGATCAAGAGAAGAACCATCCTTTCGTCGGGCTGGGAGAGTTCTTTGTTGACGAGACAGATCCAGAGAGAGTCGGCAATGTGTTCTCCCACTTCTTCTTCCACGCCTCATTTGCCACCACGGCTACCACCATAGTCAGTGGGGCTATGGCCGAACGAACCAAACTCGAGGCTTATATTATCTTCTCCTTCTTAAACACCCTCATTTACTGCTTCCCCGCCCACTGGATGTGGGACTGCGCCGGTTGGCTCAAGGCCATGGGCGTGGTGGACATCGCAGGAGCGGGGGCTGTTCACCTGGTAGGCGGGGTCACGGGGCTGATTGCCACGCTGATGCTCAAGCCACGCACGGGGCGTTTCCATGACGGGGTGGAGCTGCCAGCCATGGGTTCGCCGACAAATACGGTCTTCGGAATGTTCATGCTTTGGTAAGTTTCAAATATTCATTCTATGCGATCATAGTCAATTAGATCATAATTTTATTGATATATTAACGGTCAAATATGCACATATCGTTTTATATAAATGATGTTTCATGAGTGGGTTCAATATCCTCAGCTATAGACCGAATCGCCGTGCATACAACAAGTCATCAAGTATAGTCAAAATATATTACCTGATCTGTCATTTCCGAACGATTAGTGTTGAGTGATATTAGGACTTTTAAGTATACCGGTATAGACTATTGCTTTGGGCTCCTGATCGAGATGGTACATCCTCGAGACTGTTGGTTCACAAGCCCAGCCGGGGGATCAAAATACCTGCGATCTTTATAGAGACAGTTTGCTGGAAATCCTTTTCTCTTTGCTACAAATATCTCTCAATAAATTGACAGTTATGAGGGCAACTATTGGTTTCGCTAAGCCTGTACTACGCTGCAGTTGCTGTTAAACCAAACGGCCGGGGATGGTTTCTATTATACAAATATTGACTGCTTCGAGTGGTGTAGTAAAACTAGCCTCCCGAGGTGGTGATCCATTGAGCATTCTATTTTTCCCGAGGCGAAGCCGAGGAAAATAGAATGCTCCGAGGGAGGCTTGGATCACCGAGGGAGGATAATTTTACTAAACTACGAGATAAAGCAGTCAATATTTGTTTTATAACTCCTCTCGTACAGATTCTGCTTGATTTTAAGCGATAACTGATTAATTTTCTGAATACAATAACAATTAGCTTCTATTTGAATACGAAATTAGTTGAAAATTAACTTGCACTTTTTCTAACTAACCCTTCACGAAATGTTTGAACCAAGCTCTGTAGCGCTCGCGCTTGGAAACAATATACGCGCAACGTGCAACGCGCAACACACAGGTCCTTATGCATTTTGCACACAGTGCGTATAGTACTTTTGGCCGTGCACAGCAAGATAGCAAAAATAGCGACTCGCTCTCGGCCAATCGAGATACAGAATCTGTGGGTGAGGTGTTATAAAAAGATTTATGATCCTGAACAACAGGGATAATACTGTGGCGTCTATTATTTGGCAAATACTCATTGTGAGATTATTCCTTGTGTTCCTTAAAAGCCACAGTATCTGCAACAGTTTACTACCAGGGGGAACGGGGGCCACGCCCCCAACAGTTGTCTCAGTGCCCCCTTGAAAAATATATGCACCCCAGGTGCCTCCCCATGGGCGTCGCCAGGATTTTTTCTAGAGGGGGGCAAAACATATTTTCCCCAAAATTCTTGTATTTCTCAACAAATTCTCGATTTATCAGTTTTAGAGGGGGCAGGGACATTTTGCCCCCCCCCAACTCATTAAATTTACACCGCTATGACTTCGCGCCTCTTTTCCTTTTTTTTTCTCTTTTTTTTCTTTTCCGGGGGGGGGGGGGGCAAGCGCTCCCCCTTGCCCCCCCCCTCGCGACGCCCATGTGCCTCCCCCCAGAAATTTGGCTCCAGTTACGTCAGTGTTTAACCTTTTAAGTTTCACCAGTATATGTGCTGTTTTAACAAGTCAAATAGGAGTAGGCCTAATGCTTGATATGAAATAACTACGAGAATGTTCTCGTCTTCTTGATGATTTAGGTGGGGCTGGTTGGGGTTCAACTGCGGCAGCACATACGGCATATCGCACAACAAGTGGATACTCGCCGCAAGGTATGTATGTCTGGACTTAATTACATATCCGATGAAATCAACTGGATATCTCTTAAGTATTTCCAAAGAGTAAAATTTCACGCTATTCGAGTTTAAAATATTCACTCCCACCGACTGAAACTAGGCACCATGACGTTTTAGAGTGAAATTCATTTAATAGCCTAGATGGAGTTTTCATTTGAGTTTCCACTGGATTGATTCTTTTTTTTTCAGACTATACTAATCTAAACAGAATGGTTTTCACTCCAAATCGCCTAGTCCCTAGTTGAACTCTTTGGAATTTAGAAATATGCCCAGAAGGACTCATTCCTCCCCCGACCTCAACTATCTTCACCTGCTGTTTGACTATTTACTCTTTTCGTTCAAAGAAACATAATGTTGTAAGAGAAAGACACAATCTGTTGACATATTACTTCATTAGTCGAGTTTGTTCCGGTTCAAGTGACAGTTAATGTCACGATTACCTGCCTCCTCTCATCCACACACCGCTTGTAATCCAATGGCTTATAGTCCTCAAGTTTCTTCCCACTGTGGAACCCCTTACCAGGATCGTGCTACTCATTCTCAAATTTAATCCTAGCCCTAGTGTAATGTTAACAGATTCCTTCTCTCTCTTAACTGTACGTTCTTTTTATTGTAGCCGCTACCTCGATGATCTTATGGCCGCGAACGTCATATAAACCTGTAATGCGTGTGTCAAGGGCGGATCCAGGGGGGGGGGGATGGGCGCCACCCCCCCCCCCCCATAAAGATAAAATCGAACCCAGAATGTTTTAAGTGACGTTGCAAAAAGGTAGCCACTGCGTATACCAATATGCACCAATGTCAGAGTCCTAGTGCCCCCCCCCCCCTTGATTTCATATTAAATTTGGGGTGGAACATTTTTGGACCCACTTTTTCGGGAAACAAAATTTTGTTTGGCCTTCCAAAAATTTGTGTTCTGGATCCGCCCTTGATGTGTGTGTTTGTTATTGCTAACTCTAACATATCCAATCACTTCTGTCGGAGCAGCTGACGTTGAAATCACAGAGTCCGTTTTTAATAGTTGACACACTAGCTGTTTTCATTTGGAGCCACTTGTGGGAAACTATGAAAGCAATCATGACAGTGCTTATTGCACTAGAAGTACATTCGGGGTGCATGCTCGGAGTGCATGCCACATGAAGTGCATCTGCTAGATATATCAGCGATATGTGGAGTATTAACATGTCAAATTCTATAGTTGATGAAATCAGTTTCCACTGAAGCATTGCATATGTTCAGCTGCTCACATGCTCGCCAGCAATTTTCTGCCTGTCATATTCGGCAAAAGAATCGACAATTCAATCGAGCTCTGATTCCAACTCAGGCTGCCATTTTTTTTTAATAAAGTGTCCTCTTATAAATTATGACCTCGGGGAAAGTCCAATCTTATTATTTTGTCTCAATGGAAACAGTTAAAATTAATACTGTTTCATTAACAGATGAGTATATTAAAAACCCGTAGCGTATTTTTCATTCACTTATGTTATGACGAAACTCATTTTAAATGTCTTTTTAATTAACAGATCCCCGAGGCCTTGCAATTTCTCTTCTCAAATCCCAGCAATAAATAAATTAACCTTTAAATGATGACACTAACTTAATTTGTTCCAACACTGTTGCCTGTGGATCGCGTCTTTCGAATTCATCCCTAATAGTCTCAGCACAGTGCATTCCTCTGCAGGGTATACAGATATAATTATCGGGACATGCTAAATTTGACTTTCATATATACAGCTTTAAGTGTTATATAGGAAGCAGTCTAGCAGACTTCTCTCACTTCTAGAGCAATTTGAAGCTGACGAATATTGACGAGAAAATCGTGACTAGAGGCGCTTGTCTCCACTTTACGAACCTTGGCAGAAAGTCAAGGGAACATTCGAGTTAACCTGTAATTCATGCAGTGTACGTATACGGCTACTAAGAAACCAATTATGACCAAACAGCTGGCCAGTTATATCAATATTATAATGTGAATATAATGGTTATTTGTCCGGAAAACTAACGTCCTAATATATTAATATGCATGCATACTTTCTACATTGTTATGGTGTAAAATAAATACAATTAATACTGTTTCATTAACAGATGAGTATATTAAAAACCCGTAGCGTATTTTTCATTCACTTATGTTATGACGAAACTCATTTTTAAATGTCTTTTTAACAGATCCCCGAGGCCTTGCAATTTCTCTTCTCAAATCTTAGCAATAAATAAATTAACCTTTAAATGATGACATTAACTTAATTTGTCCCAACACTGTTGCCTGTGGATCGCGCCTTTCGAATTCATCCCTAATAGTCCCGACACAGTGCATTACTCTGCAGGGTATACGGATATAATTATCGGGACATGCTGAATAATGACTTTCATATATACAGCGAAATAAGTGTTTTATAGGAAGCATTCGAGCAGACTTCTCCCACTTCTAGAGCAATTTGAAGCTGACGAATATTGACGAGAAAATCGTGACTAGAGGCGCTTGTCTCCACTTTACGAACCTTGGCAGAAAGTCAAGGGAACATTCGAGTTAACCTGTAATTCATGCAGTGTACGTATACGGCTACTAAGAAACCAATTATGACCAAACAGCTGGCCAGTTATATCAATATGATAATGTGAATATAATGGTTATTTGTCCGGGAAACTAACGTCCTAATATATTAATATGCATGCATACTTTCTACATTGTTATGGTGTAGCTCGTGATATCAATAATAATATAGACCTTTCTAAAATGTGAACATGGAAAATGTGTTTCTCGTGTAAAAACAGGTTCTATATATGTGTTCAATATTCTTCGGTTTGTTGCATCGTGAAGGGCCTGTAACAAACCTACTTTTAGTCAGATTAATATAGTGTCGAAATTGATAGGATAAATTTACTTACTATACCCAAGGACGTATGGGCCGTCTCTAAGGACGACACGCCATTCAATAACTCCCTGTTTTTATTGTGAAGAAAAGGATCGTGTAGCCTACCCCTTTTGCAAAACATCTTTCAGCTTTATATAATTATACACACACATTAGTCGCAGTTATTTAGGGTTATCAACTATCCCTGCGCATGCGTATGCGCATGCATCGAGATTCAACGTCAACATGGCGGTGGTGAAGCAACCTCGTTCCCCATGGGTACGATCGTGCTGCGCCATGTTGTTTCCCATCATGCCTTGCGCGATCTTAACGCACGCGCCCATGGAGTCGAGGCTGGTGGTGAAGTCACTTGTTCACCTTTCTTGGTTGTTTAAAATGAGTCTTTTAGAACAATGCTTAAACGTAAGCACGCTTCAGCGTTATTTGTTCCGTTATAGTTTGTGTGACCACTTTTGTCTATTCCATAATATCGCTCATCCGTCATGGTCTTATACAGCCATGTGGTTGCGAAGGGCCATTTCTAAAGGTTACGTAACACTTTATTTTGAATGAAACAAAATGTACACAGACATGTTCACGTTAGCGGGTAAAATTTTTGAAAATTAATTTCTGCAGTTTAGAAGACCGTATCTTCATGCAACTATCAGGATTAATTTCCCCTATAATGATCCAAGTATGTGCTAAAAGTCGTTGTGATATGTTCATTACTTTTCGTTGAAATTAGAAAAATAGGCCTCGCTTCGTGCAATTTTAAAAATTGTGACACTGAATATTAATGAGGTTTCTATCCATTACGGTGTGCAGTAAACAATTGCATAAAAGCCTCCTTCACGAGTTGTTAATTAACAAATATCACCCTTTTTACCGGCTTCCAATGGTCGATACTGAGACCTAGGCCATGTCTCGCCGAGTGACGCTAATGAATATGCTAATATGCCCTTAATCATTGTGTGCCGGGCCGAAATCGGTCAGACGTAGCGCCTACGGTGCTTTGCTGAAGAATGCACATGGGTTGGGTCGACAATTAATTGTTTTGATCGTCTTCGAAATTTTCCTTAGAGGTGGTTCAAAGTGTAACACTAGCGTCCGCAACAACATATTAAGCTGAAATTCGGAATATACTTAGATGATATAAGTGTTCAACTACTCGTGAAATAACAACTTGGGTAAATTCCTACAAATTGGGATAAATACATACATTTGGGGAAATTTTCGAACGATTTCTTCCAGACTTGAAGGTCAGCTTTGACAGTAACCAGTATTGACGTTTCGGCATCGATGACGGCGATTTTTTCACTGAAGTTTAGAATTTCTTCTTCAGTTAAAATGTAACATTTCAATCATACCGAGCATATTTTTCTGAGAAACACAACGTTGAAAAGGCCATGTTTTGGGGATTCACGAATTTCAACGCTTTGTTACAGCGTCTTAGTACGTAATCGGATTAGCTTTCCTTGACAACGACCGACGCTTTGCCGTAGCAACTATATGGCTGTATACGTCAAATAGTTTATTTTTGGTTGTGCATCCACGTGACCTTATCACGTGAGCGGTGAAAGATCCGCCATTTTGGACGTCGGCCGTAGCGCTCGATCGATTGCGTACCGTACATGTACATTGCATTATGATATATTGCAGTGATCATCTTTCAATGGGATTTTCTCCAAAAAGTCATCGATAAATCCCCAATAAATTGAACAGAAAATGAAAGATGATGTAAAAAGCTTTAATTTGATCTGTGTCTAAAATACAGTTGGAGAGTTGCGAGTATTTTTCCTGAATTTCGGAAGTGGGCGTATTCATCACTGGGGAGTGGGGACTGTGGCATGCAGTTAACTTACTGGCCTGCAACCATATACGTCCAAAATGGCGGGCGTGTGGGTTACCACCATTGATCTCCATATACACAGATCAATGGTTACCATTGAGGCACTGATCTGTGACGTCACGTGAAATTCCTGAATACTAGAGTTATAAATCGTTGTGTATGCCTGTATCAACTTCTCAAACGTCTAACAAGACATCAAACTTTTTCTACAAGAAGTTATCCACAAACGCTGCCCGTACCTACATTTAGTCGTGACATGCCACAGGAAGGCCAACAACTTGGGAAGTCTCTGTCATTTAAAAATAAAAACATATGGCGATAAAAATACAGGAAAATTTGTGAGATATATCCATGCAGAGTTTGCTATTAATACACATAGTGTAGGACCAACATTTCTGGTTAATTTAACCGCGATCGATTGAATAATCAGGTAATTTATTGCTATATTTTTAATGCAAACTATGCATCTTGCATGGCACAGTATATTACACCCCTGAGATAAGTGGGAAATTTCAATTTGCATAACTTTGTTAACGATTATACGACCATGCGTACAATCGAAATAAGGACCGTCTGACTGCCTTCGTAATTACCCAAACTAAACACAAACTGTCTTCATTAATACATAAGTAGCTTATGAGTTTTTTTCTGTTTCGTTTACAGGTCGGCAGCATGTACCATCACAGCATCTATTGGAGGCGGGATGACAGCCATTACTCTCAGGTAAGTAATACCAGTAGAATTATCGTCACGCACGGACGGTCGTACTAACCTGCATCTTTCAAAACAGTTAATAGAATGACATTTCGATCACGAGGGGCGGGACCGTACTTTGGCATCCTCAAACAGCCGTTGATGTGGTAGCGTTTTGTTTATATTCTGAAGGCGTCCTTATTGAGAAAATGTGCCCATATTGCCTATTAAAGGGGCTCATGCATGCCCTCGAACCACTTCTTATATAGTGGAGACTTTTCGGAGCACGACATTGTAGAAAACGGATCGAAGTTCGTAGAGCTGCATTCCTCCTTATAAATTTTTTTGTGAGGGCCGAAATTGGCCAAAGAAAATAGTTCAACTATGTCACACTTGCTCTCTTCTGCACTGCACGTATACATGTATTACTTTTGAGAACGGAGAAAAGTGCTGTCGCATTTGACAATTTTTTAAACGTTTTCAAAATTTCTGATTCCAGTTCGTGTTGGTGCATTCACAGGGATGGCCTTTTTTAGAGTGTTGAATGACAACGAATTATAACAGTAGAAAAACCTGAAAAGCCAAGGGGGGGGGGAAATATAGTGATCCTTTATTACGATGATTTCGTTACATTACCTTGCACAGTTGTGAGTACATTTCTCCAGTTTTTGGAGGGTTTGATAACGCCCTATTACTGACGTGTTTCTAGGTGCAGAAAATACAGACACGGAAAACTGTTCCCTTTTCCCTTTTATTATGTTCTTTGATTTTGAAGCAAATCAAGTAGTTGTTTGTGCACTTGGATACAATGATTCAAAGTTATTCCAGAAGAAAAAGTGGTAAATGATCAAATGAAAAAACAGTGCTCTTAAAGAAACGATGTGATATTGCATCGTCTAATGGTATAGGCCCTACCCATTATGCGCCTATCAATAATATTGGGTCCCCACCGGGGCTGCCCCACCCAAGACGTGGGGATGGTGACTTTTGAGTGACAAAATCCCCACCCCTTGGGCAAAATTTAAGTGACAATCTCTGACATACATACGGCCATCATAGGCCTAGTACGCCAATATAAACCAAAATACCCTTGGGCATGAAAAACGTGACCAGACCGCGACAACCGACCTGGGGCAGCACGGGGGGGGGGGGGGGGGAGGAAACATTTGATAAGCGCATTATACGAAAACATGTAATGTACGCGAAGAGAGTTTGCGAATGAATATGGTTTTTATGTCGGTTCATGGCGGCAACACGTGACTACGCAACACTCCCGAATTCGGACTTCTGTATTATAAATAACTAAAATTAATGCATAAATGTGGTTTCAATTTTAAAAATGATATATGCCGTCAATCCCTATAGATTTCTTTGCGCCAAAGACGCGCATTTCTGTATTATTGTTCAATTTGGGTGAAAGTTTCAACGGACTCTTGCGGTCATGTTTCCAACAGTATCGATTGAATTAGATGTGTTGCACTTTCATAATGGCTACAGCCGACCTCTGGGATTTGACATCACGGGAATAAGGTCTTCTCGCATCCCCATGTTTAGCATTAAAGTTGTATAGTGTTATGAGGAATATAAATTGGAAAATGTCCCCAAAGTAACCTACCGAATTGTTATCAAAATCTTACTGGGATCGAAGATATAGGCCCTACTGGTACTAAACATCCCGTGAAATTATTCCGTCTGGCTTGCTGTCATTTCGAAGAAATCAAGAAATGTAGATGATGTCCAAAGTCAGTCAATAGACCGATTTTTTGGGAACAACTATTGATGTGGTCGAAATCGTGTGTTGTGATCAAAAGGTTGCTGCACGTGGTTTTTCATTGTTTTCTCGAAAAATGTAGTATCTGTGTTGAAGCTGTCGTATTACAAGATAATAGAAGCTGTAACTTCATGTTTGTAAGTTCTTCTTTGGATTTCGAGTAGTGTTATTATAAGAAAACAAACAAAATCATGGCATGAAACGCAAATGATTCTCTTTTAAAACAAATCGTAATGTAAAGTAAATCACATGAATCAGTTTTTAAAATAATGTACATTCTCGCAATTATTTCGAATATAGGGATAAAAAAAAACACCGATGTCATCTATGGAAAACAATTCAAACACATCTTTTGCCTTATATCCTTCATTTTCCGAGAATTACGTCACTGTCGAAATCGACAATTCCTTTTTTAGCAAAAAGAATAATCACAAAATATTCTGGGAATCGCCAGAATTACAGAAAAAGACATGATAACATCGAAACGTAATCCGCATTGTCACATTGGGCCATTGATGACTGGCATAGCCGAACCATTCGTATAACTATTGAAAACCGAACGAACTTAAAATGAACTTTAATTAATGAAGACATCATTTTTGTCTGGGTTGTTTAGCAGGCTAAAGCTGCTTTAGTAATTTAGTTATGTATTTACGAAATTTCGACATTATGTCCGAATATTCTGCTTTTGAAAATTGCTTTGTTAATTTCTCTTGTCTCAAAATTGGCACATTTTGTAATTGGAACAAAAGGTATGTCAACTTCATTATTAAGAATTTCAGTTTGATTAATATAATTCAGTTTGATTAATACTGCTTCTGCTGCTGTCCTCTTCCTCTAACCTGTCCCTAGGGACGTTAGAAAGCTTTGTTTGTAAGAATTATTGATTTTGAACATTTTGATTTCAATTTCGTCTCCAGTTATCTCGGTAAGCGGCGAAAGTTCGACGTCACGTTTCTCATCAACGGTGTCCTCGGATCCCTTGTGTCCATCACAGGTAAGCTCAAAACGATAACAGAAATGCTTAACAATATTACTTCCTATATTTAGTTTTTTTTAAGCAAAAAAACATTATAAGCTGTAGATTGTCATTGAAGCAAATTTACAGTGATTTGAGCTTAAGCTTGAAGTAACTTAGATATTAATAGTATATACATAAAAATTAAATAAAACCCAAAGATTCTCATGCTGACGGGTTTCGCAGGGTGTTTACATGACAAGATTAAACTTGTCAAGTTGTCGCCCCGATAAGCTTCATCCACACAAGCTTATCGGGATTACGCCTTAAATCCTGTCATTTTAGACACCCTGTTAATCCCGTCAGACATTAGAACTTTTGGTTTTTCAGTATATATGTATTTCATTGACAGTTTCACTCCTTACAATATGAAGTTACCTATCGCACGCATTAGCATGCGATAAAGGTAACTTCAATGTGAAATTATTATATTTAAATATGATATTTTTGGCACCTTCCTGATTTTGCCCTTTCCATTATACTGGGTATGTATATACCGGTGCTATAATGAGCAGTGGCGTATCAAGTTTGGGTCGGGAAGGGATGGGTATAAGTCACCACAATTTTTATTCGTTCGTTAAAAAAAAGATTTACTGCATTTTCATGTCATCAAACATAATTAACAAGAATCTATATGGAGAATAACAGAGATAATACAGAATCCAGGTATGAATCATACTAGGCCTGGGACCAGCTGATTACAAATTATTATCAACATACACTTTAGGCTTGAGTATAGAAAACTGGTTATATATCAAGTGGGTATAATTATAAATGTGAAAAGAAATTCACAGAAAATATTCAAACTCTTTTAAATATACACATATATACCTTTAAGTTACAAAGAAAAAAACTGTAAAAGCTGGCCAAAGAATTATGTTATAACGATATGTTGCTTTAAAAAAAAATCTGCTGAATGACATCAATTGAACATTTATTCGGGTACATATTTATCAGTATACTTTGTCAACAGTAACGTTTTTAAGTTTGAGAAATTTTAATACAATACCGGATGTTTCCTTAAAAATGGCAAAATGGCAGGGGGGAGACAAGCTACGCCCCGGCGGATACGCCACTAAGCCATGATCTATTCGTTCGTAATTACCCCAATGACGATAAGTTAGATAGCTATTAGCGATTTATTGACCTCTCATACCTCCGGTCATTTATCCCTCTCTTCGCATTTTAACAACTGAAACAAAGCAGCAGCTTGTATTTAATTTGAAGGCGACCTTCATTTAAAATGAAAAATCACTTCAGAATTTATTTGAATTTACCTGCAGAGAGTACGCTGACATCCATAATTTATTAATACCTCCATTGTGCTCTTGATTTATACGTTTCTTTTTTTTTTGTTAGAAATTTTAGAAGTTGTGTACTTAATTGTCTTTGTCTTCGCTGCCTGTCTTTAGAATGATTGGGTTCTGTCGGGAGTGACCAAATACCCTGTAATAACACATTGAAATCGAAGGGTGCTTTTTGACTTAAGTTTTGAGGAATCAAGAAGAGAGAGACAACGAATTGAAGAAATGATAATTGTAGAGGTGGAATAAAACTCAGAGGAAATATGTTATTTTACAATGCAGCGTAGTCGCTGATGGATGGGCGAAGTTATTCTACTGGAGCATCCAAGGACGGATCCAGAACACAATTTTTTTTTTTTGGGGGGGGGGGAATTTGGTCCCCAAAAAGTGTGTCTCAAAAAAATACGGCGTGGGGTTTGGGGCCCGCTTTTAAGGGCCCCGATTTTTGGGGGGATTCTAGATGCTTTGTGGTGCGATCTGAGGCAATTTCTGACCACTTTAACCAATGTTTTCTTAGGAAAAGATAGTGGTGTACTCATTGCCTGCCTTTATTGCGAAGTCACACAAAAAAGGCTTCGTTTGGGGGGGGGGCATGGCCCCCTTTGCCCCCCCCCGGATCCGCCCTTGGGAGCATCTACGTGGGTCTAAACCACTCTCCTGGGCTACAACAAATAGGAAAATCCTGCAGAAAAACACAGCAAATGCCTGTTATTGGCAGCTATACCCCCCCCCCTTGATCCAACCTGCATCCACCCCTGTATTACCCAAGTTGTATAAAACTACCTAAGTTATTGGTTTTACTTCGAGTAAATTTGTCCTAGCTTTCAAAAAACATTCTTGAAAATATCAGCCAAATACAGGGTGATTAAAAAAGAAGAAACCCAAATGTCAGGACTATTGTTTTAGTGAAGTTCTGCATGCAGCACTTTCAAATCTAGGATATGAAAGCCCAATTCATAAGCTTTCTTTCAGTACAGGAATCACTCACATTACTTATGTACTTTTCAAGTTACTTAATTTTAAACTCAACCACCGTTTTAAAGTTCTGTCCACGGATCACAATAAAAAGTGTGCGTTCTTTCAGCAAAACTAAACAATTCACACACATCCCTATGTGGTTTGTTTTCGTTTTGCTGAAAGAACACTTATCTTTTTGTGATTCGTGGACAGAACTTTAAAACGGTGGTTTTGTTTGAAATTCCGTAACTTAAAAAGTACATAAGTGATTTGAATGATTCTTGTACTAAAAGAAAGCTTATATGAATTGGGCTTTTATATCCTAGACTTTGAAAGTGATTCATGCAGAACTTCACTAAAACAATAGTTCTGACATTTGGGTTTCGTGGGTTTTTTTTTACTCACCCTGTATAACTGACTTACATTGGGCAAGATTTTTAGTAATAGTTACCCAGATTTTTGAGGGCGAATCAACCCCAGAATCTGTATTTTCCTTTTGCTTTCTGACATGGATATCTGAATCTATTCCCCGTTCTTGCCAGCCATGTGTGCCCTGGCCCACCCGTGGGAGGCCTACATCATCGGAGTGGTAGGCTCTCTCATCGCCTGCACGGGCTGTCTCCTGACCGAGCGGCTTCGAATCGATGACCCGGTCAGTGTGGTACCCGTCCACGCTCTGGGAGCCATCTGGTCGCTAATGTCTGTGGGTATCTTCGGGCGGAAAGACGCGCTGGCTGAAAAATTGACCGTCTATGACGGTGAGACAAAACGTTCCTACCTTGTTCCTTTCCCAATTCCAAATGTTTATCAAAATTCGATTTAGGCCTAATTATGCGTAACACTTCCTAATCCTTTATTGTGAAGACAGTCAATTTTGTACTCAACTGTGAACAGCTGGATGCAAGATCGATTATTTACCAGTCAAATCTGACTTTTGCTACACTTTAAAAAAAGGTAACCATCAAATTATATTCACAGAAAATAAGATGGGCTCAATAAACATATCATGCGATGTTCATTAAAATATCATTTTTGCAGTGTTGATAAAATAATTAGCATGACGGAGAAGCAAGGATTTTTCGGTAGCACTATGTGTGTACATGTTGAGAAAAACCGGTCAACTCGACGTTTCGAACAACACTCTATGTTAGTCTTTATAGGAGAATTGCGTTTGCCGTGACATTTGCGGCAACAATAGAACACTAGTACGCCAGCGACAGCAGCGTCGATATAACTACTCTGACAAAAGCGGGATGGGGGGGGGGGGGGGGAGTTTGGCAATGCCAACTAAAACTGGACCCTTTGTGATATTAGTCAATAAACCTTTTGAACTTCACCTCCGAAGGACGTTCATCCATATTAAAGATTTCATTTTCCTTTCAGCTGACGTATAAGACAACACGATAACCGAACTTAATGCAATTACATGTACAATGTCTCTCAGGCCGGGGTTTCCCTTGGTGATAGTGTAGACACAATCGTTAGGGCTACGTGCGTTTGGACATGAACCCATCTTCAATAAAGCCCTTGTCTTATGAGATTGTTTCGATAGAATAGTACACTCCTTCTGCGTCATTGTCACAGTTGTATCAAGGGAAAAAGATAAAATCTTAAAAGCAGATTTAAATTCTATTGGGAGGATTTCTGACCGCTAGTAAAACATGAAACAAGATTGTATCTAACGAGAGACCACTGACAATAGTCTGAATTACGCACTACTTGAAAATATCAAACTGAGTACGTTTACCTAGGTACACTTTATAAGCATCATCTGATGGTGCCAGTTTTGTTATTTTATTGTATTTGTAATGTATTGTAAAATTATACATGTTTGTAGTCATTATTTATAGTATGCAGGGCCCCAATGGAAACCAGTTTTAAACTGTTTGGGCATACCCTGGGTAAAGAAATGGAATAAATAAATAAATAAGCAACTTCAACACAGACAATTGCAAAGTTCGGAGACCAAGACATAAAGAGTTGGAAAGATCAGTTGGTAGAACTTCGGGGCGATGTTCCTGTCACCGGTTGAAATCCCACTCCGTGATTCGCCGGTTCACCATTATAATGAAAAGCCCTGTAACAAAAGGCATCGGTGAATAGACAGCACAACTTTGGCCGGATAGATAGAGTTGGTTCTTGGTGGGTCGCTATGGTTCGGAGGTCGCTGGCTCAAAGCCACCTCTAGCCCATTCCTCTCTTCATACATCATCATATTGAAAGACTAATTCTTAACGAAAATATTGACGAATCAGGAGACCTCCAACTTAAGCCGGGATAGCTCAGCTGCTGATATCCGGAGGTCCCTGGTTCAGATCCCGTTCTAATTTAATTTCTTATCCATCTTTATATTAATATGATTGTATTGTTTATGGTTTTGTTATGATCCCACCACCTCTAGGGTTGCTTGCTGGTGGTGGATTCAAACTCCTCGGCATCCAAGCCTTAGCAATCATCTCCATCATCACCTGGACAGCAATCACATCCTTTGTCCTCCTCAAACTGATCGACTTGACCCTGGGTCTCCGGGTCCCGCTCCATGAGGAGATCCTCGGAGCGGACCTGGTGGAACACTCCATCAACGGAACCTACGACAAATCCAGCCACGAGTGGCGGGACCGGGACGGGAAGCTGGTCATGGTGGTGGAACGGTTCCGTAAAGGCGAGACTCTGGATAATATGAATCCCAGAGACGCTAGCAGGCTTAGGCGGATGTCACTCCAGAGGACCTCGAGCAACGAGACCATGAAGTCCGCCTTCGGATTTGTCCGGACCGAGGAGGTCTCGATGTTGGACACGAGGGCAGAGACCGAGTTAGCGGGCTCGGCAGATGCTGAGTCCGGTGATGAGAACGGTCAGCCCACGGTAATGCGACGTAGGAGAGGGATACAGAGACTTCGAAGATTACAAAGAAATAATGTACTGGGAAAACGATCAGGTAGCTGGACACCAAGACATTCTTCGGATCTCTAACGTAATGGCCAAGTCACTTGAGGCAATTTGGGCAATCTGACAGAAAAGCAAACTCACTGAAGAATGTTCTGGGAGAACTAAGTACATCTTTCCTCAGAGAGATTTACAAATTAATGTTTGCCTGTACATATTTCAACGTCTGCAAACATTATTGTTTGTATTTTCGAACACGACCGCGCATGTTCTGTGCTTTAAACTGTGTAAATATGTGGACAACCAAGCAGTGAATTGAATTGGGTGTCATATTTATCGCCTATAATTCTCTTTATAAATGTAACTTAATTTGTAAACAACATTTACCATTTGAAGTGAGTTATAATATTAAAAAGTCAAACATTGAAAGAGATCACCTTATATTAAAATTCATGTATTTATACGATAAGCTCACATTTTGTACATTTTGTTTCCGTTAATTCAAATTCCTTTCTTTTTTTCATTTAAAATGTATAGTAACTACCAGTGTTGTAGGTCTCGAGACCGGTCTCGGTCTCGGTCTCGGTCTCGAGACCACTTTTTGCTGGTCTCGGTCTCGGTCTCGGGAGCTGTGGTCTCGGTCTTGGTCTTGGTCTCGGTTCCCTTTGGTCTCGATATTTTGGCTGGTCTCGAGTCGAGACCAGCCAAAAAGTGAGGGGGGGCGGATTCCGCCCCAGCCCCAGTTTTGGATTAAGTAAAGAATCAGTTGAGGGCAAATGTGACTGCAGTGTGATGCTGATAGACATGTCTCTCTTCACTTTCTAGTGAGTGAGACATAGTCCAACAACCATTGCTCCTTTTCTTATTTCTTGTTTTTGTTGTGGGATGGTTTGTTGAAACAAGCACTTTATAGCTATCCTCATTGATTCCAAATACAACTGAGATTAAAATCTTATGAATCAAGATTAAAACATTATTTTACCGTCAGATTTTTTGTTTTGAATATGGGAAACAATTCAACTCTTTTCCCCCAGAAATATTGGTGATTTGTTTTTTATTTTCCTTTTCAATTTTTACTTTATTCGTGGAGGCGGGAAAACGTTTTGTTTTTTTTCATTATATTTATTAATGGATATTCATCAATTCGTAGACCGTTAAATTGCTATTACTAGTGGTGGACAGCTGAATTTTGTGATCTCTTTATTAAAATAGGCACGACTTGGGAATAGAGAATGCAAATTACGTGAAATTTTCAGAGTTACTACTGAATAACATGTTCTTTATCCCAATTATATATTTTTTTTACAAAATGGAGGGTGCCATTTCTTTTTCTTTATCATACTGTCACTTTATTTTTAACTTGCCATTTATTCATCTTTTCATCTGTGATAAACACAAATTGAGCTACTGCCATAGTCACACAAAATAGAGTCTAATTGCCTGCCTTGTCTCCTTTCTAAATGCCAATTGCGTTTGCATGAGTCGAGAAGACTTTTGTTCCATTAATCGCTGAATGCTGTTTACGGCCATCACAATAAACGATTGAAATATTGGCAATATGTTGTACTTGTAAATTACTAAAATATTTAAGTAAATCGCCCGGCATAGTAGCCAATGCGGGTTATACGCTGGTACAAAACACAAATAGGCGTGCGCACGCAGCCATGAATCCTAAAAGTACATCTCGCCCACCACATTCAGTTTGTGACAGCGCCCTTCTATTGTGTCGGCCATATTCTCAAATAGGCTAATGGCGATGATGACGGCGGGCAGATTAACAGAAGATAGATCAGGCAAATATGGTTCATCGATCTTCTATAGTGTATGTAATGGTATTGACATTATACACAAATAAAGTGGCATTACATTTCAGCCTAAGCCAGGCCTCTCTGGCAACCACCTCTCAATATTTGGGTCTACATGTAAAAGTCTATATTCCATGACTGAAATTTAAAAAAATAAATCAATATTTTCTTGCTCCAAATTTTTTTTGAATCAGGTTTACAAGGAGGTCCAATGTAAAATTAAAGCTGCTTTTAAATATCCGTTAGTAGTCATTGCTGAAACCAAGGGGTGGCTGTGGAGTTTAGTTCCTATAACAGATGAAACATCCACCTTTAACTTTTTACTTTTGTCAAGCTTCAACATTGCAAAAAACTAGTACAAATTGACGTAATCCCATAAAGTTAGAGTTTCTTCATCAGATTGACACTTTATAGTAGTTAAACAATATTATATTTAAAAAAATATGTTTTTAAGAAAGTGGCAACAATATATGGAGTTCATCAAATTAGGTTTTCCCCTTCTTTAAATTAGGTTGTTTCCCTTTTTTAAAATTGATTGGACAAAAACAAATTCTGTTGCCATGTTGTAATTTATGGTATGAAGCAAACATGAAGAGCACTTGCATGACACAATTAAGCAGGTACATGTGATTCCTAGCTTTCAATCACTTCCTTCACATCCCCATCAACATCAACATCTCAAGGACAGACTGTTCAGCTGTAATTAGTGTCTGGTTTTTTTAAATTAGATTATTGTTATTTAGTATCAGCGGTCTCGGTCTCGGTCTCGGACCATTTCGGTCTCGGTCTCGGTCCGCCTTGAAGGGGTTGGTCTCGGTCTCGGTCTCGGTCTCGCAACTTCAGGTCTCGGTCTTGGTCTCGGTCTCGGACTATCCGGTCTCGACTACAACACTGGTAACTACGCAACCGTCATGCATGGTCCATGATTATTTTGGATTATTTATAAGCGTTGCCATGACTGACTAATTGTGTACAATTTGTCCCCAACCTGGCAGCAACATTATACAATATACATGTGCATAACAAGGTGTTTGTGGAACTTCCGTCTCGATGTTATGTTCTTGGAATCCATTTCCTATCTCGTCAATTCTCGTGAAAAAAATATGAGGTGGACGCGACGTCAGAGGGAGATTTAGCCGTACAGCTATGGTCTAATGAAAGGGTGTGATACAATAGATACGATGTGTGTTTGTCATCAGGATCCGAAATGGGAGGGATACTGTATGGTTCACATGCCAAGTAGGTGACAGCAAATACATGGGAACTTGGTGTCATCATTAATCAGGACAGTCTCGCAGTAATCTGCGATAATTATTTTGTGCATTTCTTGATAAAATCACTTTAACAGTCGGATTTTCTTTGCACAGTATAACTTCAAAATGCACTCAAACGAATGACAAAGCAAGCCTGAAAAGGGTTTTGATTAAAGAATAGTTTGGATTTGATTTAGACATTACTTTAGGAATTTAATTATAATCTGAGTATTTTCAAATGTGTTGCCTTTTGTTCAAACCACCCTTTTTAGTGGGTTATGTTGTGTACAGGTTGAGTCAAAAAAAAAGCGGAACCCAAACCCCCAAAAATATATTTCATATTTAAAAAATATGTAGCACCAAAAATAATTATGACTGGAAAGCCAATTTCATAAGCTACTTTTAGATGAAAAAAATACTGAAATTGCTCAATCCGTTCAAAGAATATCACCATTTAACCCTAAAGGGGCCGGGTTATTTTGACCATCTCTCAGCCGGGGGGGGGGGGGGCGGATTCCGCCCCCCCCTAAGATCTCGGCCATCGAGCGACGAAAAATTTTGAAACTCAGCACATGCATAGAGCAACTCTTCCTAAACATGCCCAAGAAATTTCATGACTATAGGTCAAATTGTTTTGGAGTTATGGCTAATTAATTATTCATATGTATGAATGGCAATTCTGCTCGGTGTACACGACATATATGCGAAAATTCAGTTTTTACGGCGCGTAGCGCCGGAAAATTTTTCGCTACAGGCTAACCCGTGGTCCGATTTTTATGTTTTTGGTATCAAAAGATGCGCAAAGCTCGAGGCTAAAAAGTCATAACAGCTCGGGTCGCGAAAATTTTTTTTTTAGAAGCTATCGCGGAAAATGTTGAGGGGGGGGGGGGCGGATTCCGCCCCCGGCCCTTTTAGGGTTAAACGCAACGACCCTAAAACCTTTCTCGTCCAAAAAGCAATTTATTGTGTGTTTTGACTGTTTGGAACAACAAAGAAAATGACACAGAATACTTGTTTTAACAACTGTCACCACCTGTAGTGCACAATATCTTTATTAGGCAAACAATATAATTTATAAAATCTACTTTTTTTTAAAAGACGGGCCTTCAAAAAGACTTAGTTGAATATTTAAACGTTTAATTGAGATTTTATCGCTGGTGATGTTTAAAGACAATTGTGACGATGATTCTTGAAATCGCATTTTCTTGGACGCGACAGGTTTAAGGGCCATTGTGTTTAAATGGTGAGATTCTTTGAACGAATTGACCAATTTCAGTAATTTTTTCATCTAAAAGTAGCTTATGAAATTGGCTTTCCAGTCATAATTATGTTTGGTGCTGCATATTTTTTTAAACATGAAATATAATTTTTGGGGTTTGGGTTCCGCTTTTTTTGACTCACCCTGTATATTACTGTCTATAGCTTTCATTAATTTGTACTACGTTCTGCAGCGTTATACAAATATTTTCGGATCTAATCGGGTACCGTAAGTTTAGTTAGTTTAGGCCAATGATATTGGCAGAATTTCTTTGGTATTAAGAAATTCAATCCGGATTCCCTTTTTTTTCTTCTTAATTTGTAACAAATACATAATTGTTTAGTCTGAATTTCGAATTTAACGCCATTTTTAATATCTTTCTTTATTTATATTATTTATTCATTATCCATTATCATTCTGTAATAAGTTATTTTATTTTTTAATTTCTACAGCCATTGAATGCAACCTTTCGATCTAATTTTATCTAAACACTGATATGTTTAATATCTTTATTGATATGTTTAATATCTTTATAAATATATATTTAGGTTTATATCTATGGTAATTTATATGTAACTCAATTCCTTTATATTTGTTTCAAACTGAAACCACATTATATTATACTGTATCTACATTGGTTTGTACCTTTGGTTTATTGTCACTTGACAAAATTATGAAAGACAAAATTCACAATTCAAATACCATCCATTTACACGGAGTATTTTTTTGTAATCTAGTAATATGTTTTGTAATATCGTTGAATACTCTCAAGATCCATAACACGTCACAATAGTGCCGAAGTGTTTTGAGGACAGTAATGTCTTAAGTGCATGCAGTGCTGCCCGCCCCCCCCCCTCGTTACCCTATAAGAATGGCTCCGTCTTAAGGTATTGTCCCCGTTTTCAAAATAAAATGGAGCTTTTGCGGCATGAGACCCGGGCAAAAACACATTGCTATGTTTATCTCCTCAGCTCTAAACTAATCAAGAAATCTGGGCAGGATGGGAATTGGGCCCAAGATTCTCTGTGAGTCCTAGATTCAATTAGAGAAATGGACGAAGTGGAAAAAAGGAAGCACTTAGCCACAGAGAGAACGTTTTTTTACGCTTGCGTTGTGACGGTCCTTCTCTGTAGGTTGGTACGTCTAGCTCAAATGGAGCGGTTCTAGAATTTAAGGCAACCGTTTTAACTGTACTCGCGTCTCAA